GACCGTCATAAACGGTTCCGTCATAAATGTCGGGTAGCATAGAGACCATAAGTAAGTAAGAAGGCATGTGCATTTATGTTTGTGAGTTGCTGATGCACGTGTGCGCATGCAGTTAAACAATGTTAGACAGAAACATTGTTACAATGGTGAGTACAATTTGTTCAAGCAATTTATATCATATTTTTTATGTGTCAAGAAAGATGAAATGAAAAACGAATGTTATGGTGTAATATTTGAAACATCCATTTTAACTCCAACTGCCGTTGTGGCCACAATTTTTCTCAATTGTTGGGCATCGATTTTGACTTTTCGGTAGATTGAATACAGTACAATCCAACAGTATGTCCATAATGCTAAAATTTTAGATATTAATTTGATATATCAAACATTTTAACTTGATAATTTCATATTTTCTTACCTAGAAGAACAAAAGATAGTACAAAAATAAAATACATCATTTTGGCAAAATGAGGATCTTCGAACTGGGGTCGCCCCTCGGATATGAACTTATAAATGAGGAATGGTAGAGATACAAAAAAACTAATGTACGAAATAACGAGTGGAATCCCATTTAAAATAATGATGGCAAGCAAAAAGTTTGGTTTGACCTACGAAATTTAAAAGGAAATATTTCATTTGTTTCTTTATATATAAAATCTCCAATGTTTGAATTTTAGTTACCTGACTGATTCCATAAGTCCACGAAATGTTCATAATCAAAGATACCAAATAACCAACTGAAATACACAAATTTGTTATGAGTTATTCGAAACAGTTTCGCAAATATTAAGTTTACCAATTACAATTCCAACGGGAATATTTTGTTCTAGTCTTGTAAGGGCTTCTCTAGTTTTTCCAATGGCTAGAATATCGAGTATGGCCCAGCTAGAAGAGATAATTCCCAACCATCCTAATATCAGTCCACCGAGTTGTAAATCTATGCAACAACAACAGCGAGAAACAGTTGGAATTTTCATATTTCTCTCTTTCAAAATGCGCGTGATATTTGTATTTTTTCAAAACTGTAAAAGTGTGTAATTAAAACCGTTATTGAAATAATTGAAAAAGTGCTCATCAATCAAAAGTGGACGCCTCTCGGGAGTAGACACAATTCATAAAATTCACTTGATTTAAAATTGATTTCAGTAATTGTTTTGACAATAAGAACATCAAACTTCGTTTTGATATTTAATACGTATAATAGATGTTCAAGTTTATAAGTTATTTTTCTATGAATTGGTATTTTCTCTCTAAAAATGGTTATGCTTTATATTTTAAAGAATCTCACTTCAAATTTTCTGTCCTCGGCAAATGAACAATCTATTAAGTCAATAGAGAAACGAAACTAAACTTTTGTGTCACATCAAGTTAGATAATTTTATAAATTGTAAGTATATGGCAAAATTGATATCGACATGAAGATAATGTTATCGCCAAAAATTCAATTAATTTAAAGATTGTGTCACCGGTAAAATATCTAATAAAATAAACTTGAGCTGATTTTACAGTGAAAAATGAATTGATTATATTGTATAAAATTATTTATAACATTACACCATAAACATTATCGTATGTTCAGTGAAACATTTTATTTCTGTAAATTGATTGTGTATCATAATCATACAGTTAGAACATTTAACGCTAGTACATTTTAATTTATAAATATCGAAACATTCTTGTGTTATTTAAATTTGCAGTGATTTCTCGCTATGCTTGCATTTTAAAAAAAAACTTTATTTGACGAAATCCCACTAAATTCACGTATTACGTTTAAACTCCAAGTGATTTTTTCTAAATTCTTCCCAAATTCCATGAGAAAGTGTCCATGTTGGTTTATTTGATTCTTTTAATTTATTGTTGATTTCACGCATTGCATCTTCCCACAGGAAGTATTCTGATTCTGTTTCATCAATATCAATTACTAGTTTGTTCAAATTCGACTTTGTTGTATCAAAATTTTCGAACAATTTTCGAAATAATGAAATTTGGCCTATGTTGAAGTAAGTTGAAGTAGTAAATTCTTTAACGTATTTCAGAGATTCAATACACTCAATGACATTAAATTCGCAATCGCCAAACAGTAGTACAGTTTCTAAGCTCTTGAAATGATTGATAAGATCAGATGTACGATTATCAGAGTTCGTCCCACACAATCTGAGATGTTTTAGGTTTGGCATGTCAAATGAAAAATCTCTATTTAGTTTGATTGGTTCACGGCACATAGTCACAAATGTGGTCACTGAAGTAAGATTGTATACACGATTAGATGCTCGATTAAAAAAGTCAGGGCTCACTTTATTAATTTCGAGTGTTTTTAAATTTTTCAAGCTTTCAATCGAACGAAGAGTTTCTCTTTTAATGGTCTTCCTTATGTGTGTTTTAAGTGTGAGCTTAGATATATGTTTATTATTTGCGAAGATATTTCCAAGCTGATGCTCCTGTATTGACTCAATGTACAGCTTTAATTCTTTCAGATTCCTCACATTTGCCAAGCAATTTGTGTCAGTTACAGAGCCAAAGGGAAACGAGAAAAATTTGAGCCTGGGAAAGATTGCATTCAAATCAAATTTGTTTCTTTTGCTTGAACCCAGGAAAATAAAATGTTCCACTTTTGGAAAACGAATATCGCGTTTGCCATTTGACATCTCTTCCCAAATGCCTGTATCATCTCTAGTCAGAATTTGAAGTTCTGTTAATTGGTTTGCACATCTTTTCATAATTTTTTCATTAATTTCACGCCGCCGTTCCTTATCCATGGATTCATAACTTATGTGAATTCTTCTTGCATGGCTGCCAAATTGTTCAAAAAGTGACATAAGTTTAGTATGGTTCCTGATTAGGAGAATTTGTTCACCGTCATAAACCTCAATGGTTTCAGCCATATCCGGATATTCCTGAATCGCTATTATGCGCGTTTCAAATACTCTTCTGATTGCATCTCCGGCGACTTTCATTTGTGCTTGTGCCATTTCCTTCGTTACATTTAATCCAGCCTTGGAGAGAATCTCTCCAATTAAATGATCAGGTAAATATTGTTCATCAATGACCGGCGCATCTCTAAACTCATTCGCACCTTCACATTGGATTATCTAATTTTATGGATAAATGGATGTATTTAATATTTTATGTAATGCAGTTTTATTGAATACGATGAGTCGAAGAAAGGTACTCACAATTCCTTCAAAAAGAAATAAGGCCACAGCCAACCCGTAGAAAATTTTCATTTTTGAAAGAAAAGCAATTTATATATCAGTCCAACGACAAAAAAATTGTAAAAAGAACTGATGAATTTATGGAAATGCTCATCGCTTTTTATACATTTCAGATGTAATAGCTCATTGCGATGCATTGGTAACAATATGAACATTTCAAGTTTATTCTCAAAATTTTAATATTTACTCACGAAATATTTGAAACGAAAAATAAATGTGATGAGACCAACGCATCGCAATGATAGAAATGTATGTCATCTTTTCATTCCAACAAACATCGGTGTCGTGGAATTTTCAATAAGAAGAATACATTTGTTATCAAACTTCTAGATTTTACTGATGTATAAATTAAGGCAAAATCATTTTTAGTAAAACTCATGTGGAAAATCTTCCGATATAAAGAAATAATTAAAATAAGCACTTTTTCAAGTTTTCCGATAAAAATTATTCAAAAATACTTCTATATAAAATGAAATAAAATTCAGCGACTTTTTAGAACAAATCATATGGAATAAATGTAATAAATTGAATAAAAAAAATTAAAGGCCCCGGCGAGACTCGAACTCACGATCTCCTGTTTACTAGACAGGCGCTTTGCCATCTAAGCCACGGCGCCACATACCGTCCCTTAGCTTCATTTGAAACATTCTTTATACACTATTGCTACACGTTGATTCTTTTCGCAAGCCTGTCAAATGTTTTCAATGTATGGAAGTATCGAAAATAAAATTTGTTTTGACGATTGGAGTGTTCTGGTTAACCAAATGAAAGAATCTATGGGGTCGAATCCTTTTTCTGAATCTTTTGGGCCAACGAATGAAAAATTATTATTATATTTCGGTGTATTCGGGGTGTCTGTTTAGATTTCCAATCTTAGAAAATGTTTTGCCTGTGCGAATTGAGTTAAAGTGAATTCAAGTACAGTATTTACTTAAATATAAAAATGCATTAAGAGAATTTTCATTTTTTTGTTTCATATTTCTGGATCTCAATAAAATGTTCGTCTTTTTTATCAAACTTTTCCATTTCTTCACATTCCTCATCGTCGCGTAGCTTAATCATAATTATATGAGTTTGAATTATTTTTTTAACCACTTGGCGAGATATTTCTAGTGTTTCGAGCAGACAATATATTGAAATAACTGGTCAGTTGAGCTGACAGTACGTTAGCCAGCTAAATGGGCTAAAACAATTGACGTTATTATTTTAATGATAAATCACTTTTCTTGTTTTAATAGAAGTGATTGTTCATTATAACAATAACTTCTATTGTTTTACTCCATTTAGCTGGCTAACTTACTGTCAGCTCAACTGACCAGTTAGTTCAATATATTGTCTGGTTTCGAGATTTGGTAAATATTCACTTGTAAATTTAACAAGATCCGCTGTGACATATGTCATATCCAGTTGGTGTAAAGTTGGTGACAAAGGTAGGAGTCTTAATTTTATTAAAAGCCACCAAATCTTTGGCCTTGTATACAAACCATAGGTCCCAGCCGCTTCAGATGAAAGTATAACATATTTTATCCTGAAGGCAAAAAAAACATAAATAAATTGATAAAATAATGCGATATACATATGCTACATTTGACGGCCTAAGAAGAAAACAATAACATACAGAATATTCTGCAAAAAGACGAATACAAATTTATGTGAGCAAAAACCAAATATACAAACAGACAGCGCAAAGGTAAAACAGCCTACTTACATAAGAAACACATGTATTCGTCTTTTTGCAGAATATTCTGTATGTTATTATTTTCTTCTTAGGCCGTCATTTATAGTTGGTTTTCTTCTTTTTATGTATTTATTTAAATGTTTTGTAATTTCATGTTCAAATATATGATTTATACAATTTGCCATTTGTGTTTACAGTTTAAAATTGAAAATATATGTCATTAGAGATGTTTTATTTAAATCTCCATTTGTTTGTTGATAACACGGTAAATAAAAGGTATTAGATTTGGGTTGAAATGAAAATACTAATTTGAAAACAAAAAAACATTAGTATAATTTGCTTTCTCTCATAACTCTTCAACTTGGTAGCCCGGCTGGCAATGTATGGTATGATGAGTGGTGGTGTTGACACGGCTCTCTTAAAAATGGCTGGAAAATCAGAACGGAATTCTTTTTTCTGCATTTCATCAACGGCAAAGTTTCACACATTAAGTACAGAAACACATAAGTTTAAAATGTTATCGTTAAGATTCCATCTGCTTGGAATTTATTCGTATATTAAAATGACCACCAAATTATGTAGTGTATGTGTTAGATGCGTTGACTAGAGTCTAAATTAAGTAATAGTTCTCTTTTTTGATAGAACAATATGATAAGTGTGTGTATTTTATACCATACATCGATTAATAAATGTGAATGAAGTACACAAATCTCAATTGGTTTTGCGTGTGGTGTGGATGTGGATCCACAAAGTACAATGTTTGCAGGTGTTTTATAGTGATTTGCTTACAATGATAAATTTAGAAATAAATTTTGTTCTACACAATAAATATGACACAGAGATCAATTAGTTACGTAATCTTTATGATTTTAAACGTCTATTCTCATTTTACGAAAAAATAGCATTCTCTCTCTCTCTCTCTCTCTCTGTTAATCTCCTCATGAATACAAACACAAAAAAATATTACCATTTCGTTTTTCGTTTTTTGAGAATGTGTTTTTACAATAAATTAAGTGATAATAAAATGATGAACATGTTCTTCTTCAATCGTTGCATACATGGGAAAATGTTTTTTTTTTATTTTACATTCATGAAAAGAAGATGTGGTTGACGAAAAACAGTTGTCGTTTTTGTTTTCAAATTTCAGTTGGCATTTGGTTGTAACGGCTGGAGCAAAGGGGAATTGATGTAGATTTAACGCCTTCGTCCAAAGCGCAAAAATACGTGGTCAACATCGGTCCGTTTTCCAGCTGGTGAATTGAGCTGTGATGATAAATCCTCAGGTCGATACAGCAATGCTAATAATGAAACAAAATTCAATTAATATCGTTTGGTAACGGTGGTATGGTTAAAACACCTACCCGCCGCTTCATTGTGAATGTATTGATTTAGTGCCGATGACAATTGATTTGAATTTTCCAGTGCAATGCATACTTTTCGAATGTGGGCTGGCATACTTTCTACAATATCGGGCGCGCACAGTGCGGGCGCATTTAGGATCTCTTTTGATGTCGCCACATTTGATATGGACAATACGATACACGCAACGAAAGCAAAGACGATCATTTGGTACTCCATTTTTATCTATTTTAACTGCAAAAAGAGAGAACGAAAAGACAAGTGTGTTGTATCAAATTGTAGAATTAATATAGAATTAAGATTTAATGTTTATCGCATTGGCAACGCTGGTGTTGAATTTCAATTGCTACAATTTTGAAAATGCTGCCATTTGACCAAATCCGCTTATCACGAGATTTACGGTTGAAAATGAAAATTAATTTAAATTTTATGTGAGCGAAATGCGGAAAATTGCGGGAAAACAAATCTCGACTAATGTGATGACCATTTGTTATTTTCAACACCTGACTAAATCAATCAATATACATGGCAAATGGTAATGTTCACGTTCGATAGCAATCGATTATTGAAATGGAAATGGCTTATCTATTTATTTGCCACTGGGCACTTTTTTCTATCACAATTCCAAACGTGTTTACTGCCAATGTGTGTATGCATTGTGTTTGGAAAATTGAAAAACGCAAAACACCATTTGATACGGTAAAAATCACAATCTATTATTATTTATTACAATCATTTACGCAATTCAGGTTATCATTTAAAGCTCCGTATTTTTCTTTTTTTTTATTTTTTTTTTTTTTTGTGATTTTTTTCACCTTGAATATGACGATTTTTTTAGCAACCAATCAATGAACGAATAATTTATTCACATTGCATTGCACACTATTTCGTTGGCCATGTGATGTGCAAACAAATATATCAAGTGTAGTATGTATTGTAAAGGAAGATAAAATCATTTGCAACCCACTATATCATAATCTCAAGCTGAATGCTTGATACTGATAAAAAACGATATGATTCTCTGCATATGCCATACAATACAAAAAAAAATATCTCTTATCCCTATTAATTTGACATCGATCCGAAAATATGCGGAGCTTATGATTTTCTTTATTGTGTTTTCCTCGTGATGTTGCTATACATAGATAGCATATTGACAAACAATAATAGTTTACTATAGTTGATGTTATGAACGAGACTGAACAAATTATTGTCGATTATAAATTTGCATTTATTACGCTACCTGTCGCTTGGATATTTCTAGAAATGGCTTACAGCCATCCAATGAAATGGGAGACACTCACATACATGATGCTTTTTTTCTCTCTCTCTTTCGGTTATGTTGCGAAAGGTCATCTTTCAACATATGTCACCTTTTATAGTTAGTTGAACGTTGAAGCATGCATTTAGAAAATCTTCATTGAATGTTGCATTTCGATGTGGGTGAAAATGCTCTGCCTTCAGTGAAATTCGATGCTTATTACGATCCGCCCTCATTATAAACATCGGTGTGCTTCAATAGAAAAACTCAATGCTATAGCATTAGAAAAAAGATGAAAGCATTTTCACCATTTCGATATCAATTTTCAGAAAGATTTCATTCAAAGTTATCGCCGTCAAAGTAAAATATTTTCTTACGCTTGTAAAAAAGTATGTGCGAACGTAGTAACGTCAAAAAAGGGCAAACGATATGATATAAAAAAATTCGAAAAATTAAACATATCAGACAATTTCGGTACATGTTTATACGAAATAGCAGATGAAAAGTTATTCTTTCGTAAAAGAAAAATAGAAAAAATAAAATGATGTTAATGATAACGAATATTGTTCAATGGCATCAATGTCACGTGGACTAATTTTCCACAGGTCGATTTTCTCTCCAGCCACTACTGACATGCAGTCACAAATGCGAATGTGTGTATCAATCATCACGAACCAGATGCCATGCGATTCATTCGCTGGGCTCAGTGTATCTTTTGCTCTCTGTTTCTATCTGGGTTGCTGTTGTGCTTTGCGCTGTGGTTTGCGAAGTGCTTGTTTTATCTACACAAATAGCCGTTGGCGGTCAACGTGTTCACAAAGTATAAAACAGTAACATAATCATAAGCAAAACACAAAATTGTCATCTATTTGGACAGATGTCATGATAAAATGTTGAGTTTATGTTTTTCCTACTCTGATGGTATATTTAAGCATTTGAAATACTACCGTTTACACAAAATCACTAAAAGTGCATTTACAAGCTTTTTAGTGTAAATGCTGTGTCATCTCGTTGCTCATGCATCATAGATTATGGCTTATGTGTGTATGTGTGTAATGGAATTGAATGTAGATTAACAAGAACAATCGTAACGTGAATGGATATACGTCATTTCATTTGTTTGATGTTCCTCTCTAAGTAGTTCCTCATTCAAATGGATTTTCACCTTCTTTCCTGTTTCCATTTCCAAATCAATTGATGATATAGTATTTTTTTTCTGTGTTCGAAAATATTTTGACGCACGAGAAAATACGATCTCTCTCATTGCCAATGACTTGTTATGGTATCTACAACAAAACTCTCTTTGGAGACGCAACGTACAAGCCGATAAAAAATAACGAGCAGTGGTGATTTTCTAAGAAATTCCACTGACTTGAAAAGATCACACATTAATTTTGCCATATGGTTCATTCTACGTCATTTGATGTTCAACAATACTCACTCGGATTACACGTAGTCGCTTGTGAATGAACGGAAGCAGACATAACGGTCGATTGGGGTGGAGAATTCGTGTTTTTATTTTGTTTTTGTACTTGTCGCTTTTTGTCCATTGTTTCCAAAGAAACAGAATTTAAAAATGTCCAAGTTCGCTAAACCTGACATATAATAATAACTTTATGCTGATAATTTGATGAAATGTTATGGAAAAATGGACATATTCCGACCCACGAACTTATTTTTGTTGCAAACATATATAACAACACGATAATCCCATTTTTATTCAGAGGGGAACTTTACTTGGATTTTGGCCAGATTTTCAGAGTATTATAAGTCTCGTTTTTGTTGAGAAATTTGGAGATTATCACACGGCTAAATGAATGGACAATCCGTACTTATCAAATTCAATTCACATTTTGATACTGTGGACGAAGCTTAAATAAAACTCGAGGCGAAAAACGAATGAACATGCGTAGTGTATTAAAAATCAAGTGAATTTGGAATTAAAATTATCATCCCACTTCATTTTTTGCAATTTTACGAAATCGCCTGAGACAACGCTAACGATTTCATTTTTTTTCAAACATATGGTTCAAAAACTTAGAAATACATTATTCGTAATAAAAACATTTTGAAAATATAGTATTAAAATATTCAATTTCGATGCAGAATAATCGACTCTCCGATAGGGAATTATGATATAAAACCATAATTTACATATTTATTTGATATTTCGTTCGATAAGTAAGTGAGTCAATCAATGGCATGTAAACTAACAAGCAAGTACTGCGCACATATGGAGTGAGAGACCGCAACTATCCATATTTAAATGCTCCGTTTACATGGAAAACTTTGATTATTATTTACAATCGATATAGTTTAGCACATATTGCAAACATTTATGGTGTTAATATGCTTAGTTGACATGCGATAAAATATTGAAAAATATCGATAGCAATTTCATGGTTATATATAAGTCGTTGTTATTTAATTATTTGAATGCATTTGGAAATTGTTGCCAGGAAAGTAGGAAAAACCAACAGACAGACAGACAAAGAGAATGACTTAAAATGATGCCTCACCGCCTTTGGGTTATATGAAAGTTTAATCGGAAACAAAGCTCAAATATGAGTAGAACTAAACTTTAAACGAGTCTCAAATTCTCGGAATCCAAATAATCCAATTTCTATAATTAAAACTACCATCACTTCAAAGGTATGCTTCGCGTATTGTTTACAGTTTAACATTTGTCGGTAATAAATGATGTCGATGCTCAGTAAGTTTTGGATTTATCGGATGTGATCACATTTCATCTTACAAAATTATATTCATTTGGTATGAAGCAATACAAACCTCACGGAATGTTCTATTTCCAACTGAATTCAATGTTGTTCTAAGGTTTCAAAGCGTTCCACATCGATTCAACAACAATGGGCATTGTTGATAGTGTGCTACGTTCATTTCATGCAATTGTGATTTCATTTTTTCCCCGATTTAGAGTACATCCAGTGTTAAATTCATTGGGGAAAACAAGTGGCCGGAAAATTAGCCGAAAAGAAATTGGGAGCGCAATTGTGACCATCGCGCACACACACAAACACAAACCAAATTCCTTCAATATTGGATTGAATGTAGGAGAATCTAAAGCACATGGTAAACAATGACGATCAAATCTACAGTTTGAACAGTTTATTGTGTAAATATGAAAATAAAGACATTTGCCAGGATGATGGAAACCAATGTGGATCGCTGTGAATACTTTTATTTGCACATTTAATGTGATGGGATTCATATTGAGCGAATGGTATTTATGATTTTGTAACCATAACAAAATCTAATATTCTCTCATCAAATAGCAGTTTTGAAGCGAACAACTATAGTTGTGGTATTCGTTTGCTACAAAGCAAACGTTCACGATGACGATGTAAGCAAAATGATTTGAAACATTTCCCCAATATAGTTTGAACTATATTTCAATTCTCTAGACAACTTTATGATATTTATTTTCCGTTGCGATTGCTTAACATTCGATTTGTATAATATGAACAGAAGGAAAGGAACAGCAGTAGCATCATTAAATTTTCATTTGCCCAACTTTAATACCAATTGGGGTGTTCAAATCATATTTCAATTGATTGAAAAGAAAATTTTGAAAAACAAGTTGAGCATTATTTTTATATCAAGAATTCTAGATATTTGGTGAGGATTTCTATACAAATTAAAATGCGGACATACGCAAGCATCAAACTAGGTGTTATGCAAAGAATTGCCAACAATATGCAGAAGATGCTACAAAAAGGTAAAGTTATCTTGTTGTGTAGAAGTCCACTTCGGTGTAGAAGTCCATTTTACGCACCAATTTGAAAACTTTACCCAAGTAAACTAAATGAGCAATGCATAAAACGTAAAGGAAGAAGTCCTGAAAAAGTGATTTAAGCGTTGTGGATTTTAAAGTTTTCCCGAACTATTGCTACAATAATTTAGATATGTGGCGCCCTTTGTTAATCAATAAGTGTATTTGTTATTTATAAAAAATATACCATATCGCATTATTGAATCCAAGTGGCAATGCCAATTATCGCGGCATCTAGTCAATAACTTGCCCAATCTGCGCCACTTGAAATCGTAATGTGTGAGGTACATTTTTGGGTACTTGTTCAATGGACTTTGTATTTTGTACTTGTTCCGCTTAAAGAATTTTGTTTATGACAATTTTTATTAAATTGCGATAACGAATGGCAAAACATTTTTCGTGTGAAATTTCAAATGCATTGCGTAAACGTTTAGAACATGTGTTTTTATAAATGGAATTGAACGCATAGGTCAAATTTTCATCATTAAATCAAATCGCAAAATTGAAAATAAAAATAGAGCATTGAATATTTGTAGAAAAATATTTGATTCTAAAAAATGTTGTTTTTCTCCTCTCTTTCTCTCATTGATAATTTTGTTTTTGCCATTTTAATTCTATTTTTACGCTTTCTTATTATATAAATGTACAATACATATTTGTATGTTCAATTGACCATAAAAAATGTATATTGTACCCAAAAAAAAACAATGTTCTATTTCCTTCCATATTTTTGGTCGAGATTTTTATGATTGCTTAGAATCGAGCTCAACATAGACCGCACCTGAATAACGAAGAAGAAGTTTTTCATATATTTTACACAAAAATGGTGACGCATTTTGTTCATTGATTCACAACAAATGAAAATTAAATAAAAAATGAATCCGATCGATTCGGTCTTATCAAAAACGGTATGAACATCAATATTTCGCGTGATATTTATTTATAATAATTGCATTTCCGATTTGTTTTCTTATCGCTCTATATTCACTTACCTGTTGAAGTGTCCACAACCCGTTCAATATGAGTTCGATTCACACGCACTAACCTCTTGACACTGTCACTTATGGCAAAAAGAAATGATACAAACGCAACTGGTGGTTTTAACTCCTGTTGCTTTCTATTTTTTATCTATTGAGTGTGCCTCTTGGTTTGAGATATGAAACGAGCTTGAGTACTGTTCCGTGTCTGTGCGCTACTGTTTATTCGAGCATTCGAATTGGAATGATCGTATCAACGTACTCACGTTCACTTTTATACATTCGGCATGCTGTTGATTGCGTTGCGAACCATCGGCACGCCGACGCATTTCATTATTCATCATTCAGCAACTGGTGATTTTTCACCCGGACTTGGTACATCTGTGTACATTTCTGCATACAATTTGTTGTAGGTTGCTGTTACCATATTTAACATTATTTTTTTCCTTTCTTATTCCTATAAGTGACTGGAGTCATATTTTTTCGATTTTTTTTTCTCATTGTCATCGAATACGACAATTTTCCGCCCCTCGATGACGTTTTTCGTGATTAGACAAAATTTGCTCAAATTCTCCAATGATGACACACCAAATTTACCTATGTATTTTACTTTGACGAAAGCTTTCATTGTATAATACAGTGCAGAATGTGTGTACAAAAACAAAAACTAACGAAATCTATCTCGTCCAATGACTATTACGTCAACCGAATTTCATGATAATTCGAAAAAATGTTTGAAGCAAAATTTATTGGTTCGTATAGAGTTTAACGAATTGTAAATGATATCATGAATTCTAATATCGATGATTTTATTCGTAATTAATTCTACCTGTATCAATGATCCTGATGAACATAGCAAAATAAGACATTCCACGAATATGTAAAAGACCGATTTAACCCAATATAAAATTAAACGGAATTGTTATAGCCCTTCGAAACATGTAGAATACAACACATAAAATGTAAAATGTGAGTCACTTCTTGTTAAGTAGGAGTAATAACAATCTTCCCGCTATCAGTAGATTAAAAAGTAATCGTCATTTAATAGACGATGGAATTCTTCGTCAGTGCATTGAAAATAGAAATGGACAATTGGTATATATTTAGTGTGCATCCTTGTGCCACATCGACGCAATTATTTTATGTATTTTAAATTGATTCCAATTACAACATTACAACAGCGATTGTCATTTCTACAAATCATCCATTTGCAATGCATTTTTTTTAAATTCATATTAAGACTTTGGAAAAAACTCGAAAATAATAATATTTTCTCCATGCTTTTATTAAGATTAAATGAAATGTTCTTCCACAGTAAAAATTCTATTTAAAATCCCCACGTGTATGATAATAATGTATTTGGCTGTGCTGGAGCATTGAATTTGCCCTGAACTGGGCGATTTAGAAAAGAAGAATCTTTTGACACCAAATCCAATTTTATCTTAAATTCCGTAAATTTGCATTCAATTTGGTTTTAAGATCCTAAAAATAGCCTGCGTCGGTGGCCTGACGGGATTAAGTCATAAATTGAGATAAAAATGTCATTGTCTTATATTAAATTGTAAACGAATCGCATTGACTGTGTAAATTTGCACATTATTAGAACGCGGTTATTGCATAAAACAAAAGATCATCCTACGTGTGGAATGGTGTTCAGTAAGTCTTTGATAAAATGAACTCTCTATGAGTGGATATGTTTTCCATAAAAAAAGCAATAAACTCCGTATTTGATATCAAGTAATTAAGCAACTATTTACTATTATTATTGACTAAGCAAACAATCTTTTCTGGTGTCATAAATCAACAACGGCGAAAAAATGATTATGTATCCAGCGAATGTGATAGTGATAGTTGACGTCAACTTTTGTTTTTCCCCGAACGCAATATCCATCAATTTGCAAAGCAAATACCATTCACACAACAAATAAATGAACGCATTGGATTAGTTTTTTTTTGGCCGAGATGTTCACATTCAAATCACGTTGCCCGCCATCATCTATCTCCCGGTCATTTTTCAATCTACCTACCTGTTTTACATTCCATTAATCTTTATTGATTTTTATCAAACTCTTGCTATATCTGTAATTGATTTATATATAAATAGATTTAAATGGAATCAAATGCTAATCATTTACAACATTTTCCATTCATTTCTATTTAAAATTAGTGGTAGACGGATTCCAACAAATTTATCGCCGTTTACCATAGTAAAATACATTTTGAATACATGCATTTTAAGTGGAGGTGCAATTTTTTCAATTTTCAAACTATGATTTCGGCAAATCTATCGTATTATGGAATGAACTTAACCGAAAGTAAAATTATAAAAAAACAAAATTAAATATAAAATATCATTAGAATTCTCTGTGTGTAAAGCTGTTTTGTCCAGAGTTCAAAGGTGTCAACATGGCAAGTTCAATAAAAGTTTTTTTTCTCGACCAATGAAAAAGCACCAATAGACAGCTGGCGATAGTGTTATTTCGTGACTTTTGTAGCTATGACGCCATATTGTTCAATTTGATAGTCTATTCTTATTTTATCGAGTTAAAAAGAAAATTCAGAAAATTGATTTTTATTATATGTTCCAATATATGATTTGTGTCATCGTTGAATGCAAATTTTTGAATTTAAAGAAAGAAAACATCTTGGTAGCAACTGCGTAATGTATTTTCTCGATAGTAGATTTTCCAGTTTTGTTTTATTAATATTGTGTACGATGTGATTGATTGAAGATGGGACATCATTAATATTTATTGAAGTTTACACAAAAATAGCAAAAAATGTCGAGACGCACTTGAATGAGAATAATCAACTAACTACTAGGGACACCATAATGTGCAAATTTATTCAATTATTATCATGATTGTTTAAGAATAGTTTATCTATAAAATGTTACTTCTTGTGACATGAAGAAGGAATGTATAAAAAATATATCAAAATAATGAATCGTTTGTAAATTGTTGGAGACACATAAAGAAGAGAACCCTTTAAAATCATACGAAAATTTATTGAAATAAAAAAAAAATGAAAAGGCGCGTGGAAAAAATGTAAACAAATCGTTACGGAATGTTCACGTTTCACTTTTTACTCGATAATAACTTGGTCAAGAAGTCATTGGCTGCGGCACTGAAATAAATCGCCTTAAAAAATTTGACAATTATTTTTTTCAGTTTCCCAGCAAACGATTTAACGATGAAAGCCCATCGGCCAATTTATTCGTTTGATATAATTTGATTGAGTCAAAACTCGGCCGTAATTATATGCATCGGACGAGTGTGTTTGCATATCCATTAATTGCTAATGAGCTCAAATGTGAATCAGCAACGGATATTTAGCCGTTAATAACACAAATGCCCAAATGGAATATTAGTGTATGGTTTAAAGTCGATGTAAACGACTACCAATTCAAACTAATAGTCTTTTGTGTTCTCTTCAACCGCATTTAGTTGTCGCCAGTACTTCAAGCAGTTTGTAACTCGCGACAATATTGAATTCATCCATTTTTTTTTTGAATTTTTATTGTAACCAACCAGTTTAGTTTCTGTCAATACTATCATTGCCAAAAAAAAGTGATTTCAACGAGAAAATAATCCGCAGATTGTATATTAAGTGAATTTCAAGCAAATTTGTTTTAGAGAATTGTTTTACTATTGTTTCTTTTGTGATTTAATTTTAATCATTTGAGATGCAGTCATCTTCGCGTAATTTGGATTCCAACTCGACATTCAACGGTGGCTATAGTAAGATATTTTTTTTGTTTCTCTCGAAATCCCCGGTCTTCAGATTTATATTTGAAAGTACAATGTTTGGTGTAAAGGCAATTTTGTGCCGGGCGCTAATTCTATTTATTCAGATACCTACTTGCGGTCGATTGAAGAGCCAGAAGAATTCTGGGGTGAAATCGCATCGCCGCCTATGATCCATTGGGATAAGTCATTTGAAAAAGTTCTCGACAACAGCAATTCACCGTTCACAAAATGGTTTTGTGGTGGCTACTTGAACGCCTGTTACAATTGTGTCGATCGTCATGTTTTAGCTGGCAATGGTGATAAGGTGGCAATCATTCATGATAGCCCCCTGACAAATACCATCCGAAAAGTTACCTATCAAGAGCTTTATGATACGGTAAATTTGAAACAGTATTTCAAACAGTGAAAATCACGAATGTCATTTGACTTATTCGTTTATTGTTCAATAGATTTCTCGCATTGCTGGTGGTCTTCAAAAGATAGGTGTTAAGAAAGGTAAAATGAAGCAAAACATTTGAACTTTTCCCCGTTTTGAATTAACTTAATGTGCAATTTGGCCCTCATTTAATTTACAGGCGATCGTGTAATTATTTATATGCCACTCATCCCTGAGGCGGTAATGGCGATGTTGGCTACCGTTCGAATTGGAGCTGTGCATTCGGTTGTCTTTGGTGGTAAGTAATGTCAATCGGTAATGATTAAAATTCATGTGCAAAAAAACGAAAACAAAAACAAAATCCACGGGAAAATTCGGATACCGTTATACTGCAAAATCAAATTGAGTTCATCAACTTCAATTTTAAACAATCGGACGCTAAAAATATAGATTGACGTAGTTTTTCGTTCACTTTTCTTCGAACTTAGCACACAAATACAAAGCCTATAACACAAAACATTCAGTTTTTTTTACATTCTGAATAAAATCAACGTAGAATATTGTTTATGCATGCGTTCTCATACTGACCAAAGGTCAACAGATTGACATTAAATGGAAAAAGTCCAGCGTTCATATATATATATAAAATGGATACCGACGACGTATCAAAATCGTTTTTACAAAACATTCGATAATTCGTGTGGTTAGGTACGTTGGTTTGTGTGTACATTAAATGTACGATGAATTGTGTGTGCTAAGATTTATTCCGACCGTTTGTTTGTTATTTCAATTGAATGCAAATTTTCTTCGTTCATATATGTATATGATTTTCGGAGGGAGAGAGACATTTGAACGACTATTCATCGTCGTCTTTTTTTTCTATTATTATTATTACCGAAAAAAATATTCATCGTCAATAACAATAATTTAAACACATTTTAACGGGGAAATAGAGTAAGGCGCATAATCGTGTAATTAAAAATTCAGTTTCATCGTCTAATAAATGTCAATTGGAATGGTGGTTGAAAAAAACAGTCATTATTATTGCGCGATATTGATATTTTAATTTGTGTTCGATTATCTATAAAATTTAGGTTTTGCTGCAAGTGAGCTATGTACTCGCATTGAACATGCCGAGCCACAGGTCATCATTGCGGCCAATTGCGGTGTTGAACCAAATAAAGTTATTCAATATTTGGACATACTGAATGATGCACTGGCCATGTCCGAGTGGAAACCAATTTGCAATGTGATTTATCAACGACAAAATGTCATGACATCACCATTGCTGTCGAAAAATGATGTGCTGTGGGAGTCTTTATTGGCGCACAGTGAACCATGCGAATGTGTTCCGGTCGAAGCGAATGATCCACTGTATCTGTTGTACACATCCGGAACGACAAGCAAACCGAAAGGTGTACAACGTCCGACTGGAGGGCATTTAGTTAATTTGATGTATACCATGAGTGCTATTTACGGCCTTAAGCCATCTGATGTTTGGTGGGCCGCATCTGATTTGGGCAAGCACGCTTTATTTTTTTCACTATTTTTTTAAAACTATTTTTCGTCCAAAAATTCGAGAAATAAATTTTATTTAAAATACATGTGTAGGTTGGGTCGTTGGACATTCGTATATTTGCTATGGACCGTTGTTGTATGGCGCCACCAGTGTCATGTACGAAGGGAAACCAGACCGAACACCGGATCCAGGTCAATACTTCCGTATTATCGAACAACATAAGGTGTCGGCACTATTTTCAATTCCGACCGCTTTTCGTGTCATTCGACGAGTCGATCCGGATATAAAATTTGGACGCGCATATAACATTGATTCGTTGCGTACGATTTTTGTTGCTGGCGAACACTGTGATTTAGAGACGAAAAATTGGATTGGAAAAACATTTCGGGTGCCAGTATTGAATCATTGGTGGCAAAGTAAGCGATGATTTTCTATTGCAAAATGAAATTTGTGTGAAGAAAAAAATAATCAATTTTTTGCATTTTTCAACAGCTGAGACTGGATCGGCAATAACTGCAAGCTGTTTGGGTTTCAATCATAGTCCACATCAACCGGCATTCTCTACTGGTTTGCCATTTGTTGGATACAAAAGTGTGTTTCGAAAGAAAAAAATAATCTGTATTAGACCGAATATAAATTGATTTTAACTATCAAATTTCAGTTGATATTTTACACCCGGATGGCACAGAGGCTGCTCCCAATGAACTTGGTCGTGTTGCGGTGAAATTGCCATTGCCACCAGGCAATATGTCAACATTATATAAAAATGATGAACTCTTCGAAAAAATTTATTTCACAAAATTCCCAGTAAATTCGCATTTTTTGTTCGCTCAATCAATTTCCATTGTATTTTAAATTGTGTTTCGTTCTCATTCATTTATGCAGGGCTACTATGATACTATGGACGCTGGATATAAGGATGAAAATGGATATGTATTTATCACAGCGCGTGACGATGATATCATCAATGTGGCTGGTCATCGAATTTCAACAATGGCCTTGGAAGATGCAGTGCTAAGACACCCCGACGTAGCCGATGCGGCCGTTTTTGGTGTGCCTGAGCCCACCAAAGGAGAAGTGCCGTTGTGTTTATACATTATGAAGGATTCAACAGACAAAGCATCAACGAAAATTGGCGTAGAATTGATTAAAATAATTCGTGAAGTGATTGGTCCGATTGCATCATTTCGATTGGTTGCACCCATAATGTCTTTACCCAGAACTCGCTCTGGTAATCAATTTATTAATTTGCAACCATCTTACTCATTTTTATACCTGCTGAAATGTGTGTTTTCTTTTGTTTCGATAGGAAAAACTTTACGAAAATCGATGGCCGATTTTGCTCGAAACAAGCAAGTCATTTTACCGGGAACCATTGAAGATCCAACTGTGTTTAAAGATATTCGTCGAGCCTTGCAAGAATTGGGCCATGCCCAAACTGCACCCGATCCGCTTACAACTCGCAAATAGAACTCAAAAACTCTCAACAATTCGGCTAACTACTTTTTCTCCGTATTTAAGCAGATCTTTCAAGTGCAAACATCCAAATAAAGAAAATATTTTGTAAAAACGATTCAAATCATTATCAGTGATGTGCACACAAAGCAATTTTTTTTAATTTTTTTAATCATTCAATGCGGTTGAGCTAAGTTCATTTTAAGAAAAGGTCGTGGAATAGATAGATATGAATACAAAACAAATGCGCAGAGAAAAAAACTCGAACAAAAAAGTTAAATAATTTTAATTTTGTAATTTATTTATTTCAATAAAAGAAACTGAAAGTCGGTAGAACAATGGCTTACCGCTAAAAAAACAACAAATCAATAACGATTTTGTCAAGATTCAAACATTTGAATAATCATTTCTTGGTTTTTTTATTCTTTTTCGTTTTTGTTTTGGATGTTGAACTTTCATTTGTTTCTATGTCGTCTGCTGTGGCACTTATTTCTTCGACTTTTCGTTTGGCCGGCGTTTGTTCTTCGCTTGCCTCCACTTCCATCGGTTCGACGCTAAAGCCTTCAATGAATGGTTTTACCAATTCAAATACAATCTTTTCACGTTGCACGTTCGAGGTGTCTAAACTCAATCGAATCACAACCGGATCGAAAGCACGGAAAACAAAATCTTTGTACCGTTGTGTGTGATCCTGGAATCAAGCATTTTGAAATTAATTTTCGCTTGCAGAAAAAGCGCAAGAAAAATTTGAAAAAAAAAAACAAACCTCTTCATCGAACACAAATTGAATGCCAGATTTGTGTGTGACTCCTTTCTTGCCACTCAGATAAATCGTTCCCTCCAAACCAAACTTTGGAATTAAAATTTGTAGCGCATTTTTCCGTACGAATAGAATATAACCGTTTTCCTCTTGAGTACGACCGCGGAAGAATAAATGTGTATTCAAACTAACCGAAGCTCTGCCCGCATACTGTGCCATACGATTTCTATAGTTGAGGTTATTGCACAATAGTGCAGTCTTTCGTTTATCCAACAATTCGGAATAGGTGCTGTCGGCGCCGATACAAGCCGCCAATAAACGATGCACAATTATATCAGCATATCTGAAACGAAAAAAAAAATCGAGATATAAAAGGTCAATGCACCCCTCAGCACATGTATGGCATGTAGGCTTAATTTACCGTCGAATTGGAGACGTGAAATGTGTATAGATCGGTGCAGCCAAACCATAATGGAAGAATTCATCTTTTTGTAAAGTACCACTGATGAAGTAAACAGCCTGCATCATGCAACGTGTTGCCAAAATCCGTAACATTGTATTGAAATATGGATTATCTTTACGGACCGCTGCGTCCAATGATTCGGCTAACTTCTTACCGCATGAAGTGTCAATGTCAAAACCAAGATGCTTGGCCGCTTTGATGAGTGGCTCAAAGTTTGTTTGTGGTGGTTCTGGATGCCGACGCAGCATGGCAAATTCGGGGAATTCACTTTCGATCTTTTCGGCTACGCTTATATTCGCCAACAACATGAACTCTTCAACCATTGAATTTGTTTCGCGCATTTTCTTTACTTCAACTTCGATTGGATCTTGCGTCTCCGAATCGACTTGGAACCGGATTTCGGGCGAGGCCAATACTAAAGCACTGTACATCGAGACAAAAAAATAGAATAAACAATACTATGATATTAAATAAACAATATCTTACCCATTTTCAGTACGTCTCTTCTTGAGGATCTTTGCCAATCCATTCAAACCTCTAAGTGATTCTGCAATATCATGTTGCTGTGTTTCATCATCTATGATTAGTTGTGCCTCTTCGTATGTCATAGCCTTCTTCGATTTAATGATACTCTTATGATATTTTGTATTCACAATATTGGCATTCTCGTCAATTTCCCAAACACATGAGAATGCAAATCGTTCCACACCGCCACGCAATGAGCACAAATTCGAACTGAGCAATTCGGGTACCATATCAATACGTTTATCAACCAAATAAACGGTGGTCGCTCTTGAGGCAGCTTCTTTATCGAGCGCATTTCCCGGTCGAATAAAATGACTTACATCAGCAATATGAACGCCAACATCAAAGTTTCCATTCGGTAATTTGCGACAATGTAAAGCATCATCGATATCGGTGCACCCTGGTGGATCCACAGAGCATATAGTTATATGACGTAAATCAACACGTTTGGCCACATCTTCTTCTGTAATTGTCCAAGGTAGTGTTGGTAGAAAACTGAGCACTTCTTTTGAAAATTTACTGTGTGGTACATCATGTTCAAGCAATAATACTTCATTTTCGGTTTCTTTATCGCCCAATTGTCCAAGTGCACGTACGAAATGACCTTGTGGATACCGTGAATGCCGTGGCCATTGATCGATTGCGATTATAATTCGTTGTGATTTCAATTGTTCCGATTGACGTGTTTCGATACGAACTTTTGGGATTTTCTTTTCTGCCGGTACAAAAAGGTGACGTGTCGAACCCGGAATTGGATTTATTTGCAAAATACCACAGTATTGACGCCATTTTCGACGAATAATACCGACCACTTTTCCAGTTGGTTGTTTGTCTTCGGTCGGTATTTCGACGGCCGGTAAATTCACTTGTTCGAGTACATCGCCCGGATCGTCTTGATCATCTTGCAAAATTAACTCACTTGGTGCCTTCCATGAACTCTCATCAAACAGTTCGACTGCCACAATGTCTCCGTCTACAGCTCGATTCAGACCATCGTGACCTTGTAATAAAATCTAAATTGAAAGACTCTTTATTACTCTCTTTAATGTGTTTCAATGATGATTATTTGACTAACCGATTTTTCCATTCCCTCTACATTCACAAAACCTTCGAGGTAATTTTCACGTGACGCTGCAAAACTGCCTTGAATCAATTTACCACTTTTGATTCCATCGTGAATTTCGGTAACGGTTAAATGCGGTGGAAAAATGGCTTCTTTCTTATCTTGACTGGAGAATCCTTTCAACGATAGTTTATCTTGTAATGTTGGATGTTTATCCAAACCACGTACATAGTCACCAACTGTACTGCACAGAATACCGTCGGCACGTGCTTTTTCCAAATTTTGTTTGTCATCACTCAACAAAACTACTCGCAACTTGGTATCGTTTTCGAAACTCTTTTTTAAATGAGACTCATACCATGCGGTTGCCACACGAATCGCACGATCATTTCGATCATTGGCCGTCTCGCCCGGTTGACGTTCAACATAAGTGTCTCTGTAGATTAGAATGGAATTCATTTAAAATTTATACTCGAAAATGTCCTTCTTTTTATGTATCTCTTACTTGTGATGTTCGTTGACGAATGTGTACACTTTTCTCGTCTGATCGGAAATGACGTTTCGTAATTTCTTGAAAACGGCCGCACTTTTATGCTTCACTTCATTTAAGACCGTATGCAAAATGATAATGTTGCACAAAGCTTCCTCTTCAAAGATATCGATTTGATCGAGTACAACATTTGTGTCCAACACCAAATAGTGTGGAAACGGAAAATTGGGATTCGCTGATTCGGGAACTTCATCCAAAACTTTGTCATGTGCACGGTGTTCACACATTAGACAAAGCGCTGAACCACACCAAATATCATCGCGGAGATAATGTTCACGGACAATCTAAAACAATGAATAGAAAGCGAATCAACAATGTTTTGATGCATTTCTAACCTCAATATCGATTCTACACAAATTTCACATACCTTGAGTATATTGCCTCGTTTAGTTTTCCGCATAAAAATCTTATTCGTTAGCATTTTTTATCGCTTCACATTGAACACTTTATCTTTGGATTTTATTAAAAGATTTGTTTCACTTTTATTCAAAATCAGTCGGTGTTTTAGGGCAAAACACGATATTGTTATTCTGCACTGTAGTGATTTTTGTAATAACACAGAAGGTACATGCTTTGAATAGCTGTCATCGCCTATTTAGTACACATTGAACGCACCCATCGTTGCGATGACACTTCGACGACGGTTCAAATGTATATTCATCGTTGCGATAATTTTTTTTTATGTTAAGTTCTGATTTTGTTTATTTGATGCGCAATCAATAATGAATTAACTGTAAAGTGTAGAGAACGATAAAATAGATTTATATTGATGGACGATTTGAGTGCTAAAATTAAGTGGACACAAGAACTTTCTTTCAATATAAATTAAATGTGTTAACGTTCAATTTTATCAATATTCTTGCAATTATTTTTGTTCTTACGATATTATTGTCAATGGAAGCGAAAGCACTTGTAAGTAATCTTATCAGGTTACGAAACACTCATTAAGAATTTTATTATCGATTGCTTTCTACTTTACAGTTCTTAACCAACTGATTCACTTCAGGTTCTAAATATACGAAACGTAAGAGTTATTCGGACTTGCATTATTTCCAATTACAGCCGTAAAATGGTGACAATAATCTATTCGTTGTTATTATGGACTTTTCTGTTATGTTCCGTGAATTGTGAATACAAACCGTGTCAATTACGAGAATATCCAGATGGATTTGTGTGCGTTTGTAATGAAGATTATTGTGATACAATGGATGTGAAAAAACCGCAGAAATTTGGTGATTTCCTGACCATTTCATCGACAAAATCTGGAAAAAGATTCGAGGTGAATAAGGGACGCTTCAAACCGAAGCCAATCGAACCGAATGTCAGACGAGTCAGACGTTTCTCGGATTTGTTTCGCACCAAACGTAATACAAAAACAACAACGGTTGAATCACTTTCATTGACCATTAATCTAAATAAGACGTATCAGAAAATGGTTGGATTTGGAGGCGCCTTTACAGGGACGGTATCATATTTATTTGACTCGATGCCAGAATCGTTGCGGCATACACTTTATCGTAACTATTATGCACCGGACGAAGGAATCGGATATACAATGATGCGGTTACCAATAGGTGGGTGCGACTTTGACCAGGTTAGATGTGACTAGTAAATTTCACAAAAGAAATACATAAATTAATATTAATTTGTTTCCCAGAGTCCATGGGCTTACAATGAGTACCCGATCGATGACCGGCAACTGTCCAATTTTACGCAATTGGATCCAAGAGATGTACGGCGCAACGAACAGATAAATGTTATTAAAAAAGTGGCGAACATTGATTATATCAAATTGATAGGAGCTGCATGGAGGTAAATGTATACATTGTTTTACTTTATAATTGTACAATTGAACGTTTGTTTTTTTTTTTTTTTTCAAAGCCCGCCAAAATGGATGAAAACTAATAATGCATGGTCAGGCTATAATGCGCTTAAAGAGGAATTTTATCAAACGTGGGCCGATTATCATGTACGATATTTAGATTTAATGGCCGATGCAAATATGACATTTTGGGGACTTTCAACTGGTATATGATTTAAAAACAGCACAATTATGAGTTTTATTCCAAATAAATCTTTCATTTCATTTTTTTCTACGTTGTATAGGCAACGAGCCACTAAATGGTGAAATTGGATGGTTTTTCGTTCATTTCATGAGTTTGGGTTGGTAAAATTGCTTTTTATGATTTTTCCAACATTCATTTAATCAACTTTTATCCAAAATAGGTTGGATGCCAGGGAATCAAGGAAAATGGATTGCGGAAAATTTGGGTCCATCACTTTTGGAAAAGTCAAAATTTCGTGATTTAAAATTATTTGCTGGCGACGATCAGCGTTACACATGGCCTTGGTGGTTTGAACATTTGAATAAGAGTACATTTGATGGAAAGTCCGCAATGGATTTTGTTTCGGGTTTGGCCGTTCATTGGTATTGGGATCGCTTAATTTCGCCGACATTGCTTGATCATACACACGAAAAATTCCCAGATAAAATCCTACTGAACACTGAATCTTGCATTGGTGACAAGCCTTTCGAGAAGCATGGCCCAATTTTAGGCTCATGGCCACGAGCTGAGCGCTATGCACTGGGAATGATTCAGGACTTTCAACATTATGTTGCTGGCTGGATTGATTGGAACTTATTGTTGAACGAACATGGAGGACCTACTTATACAATCTATAACACTGTTGATTCTGCCGTTATTTTGAATACAACCACTAAAAATGAATTTTACAAACAGCCAATATTCTATGTGCTGGCGCATTTTTCAAAATTTATACCGTCGGATTCAGTGCGCATCGAAGCAGAATTGAGTGGTTTTAGAGCTTTTAATATAAAAACTGTTGCATTTCTATGCCCAGATAATAGTGTAACTGTCATTCTTTACAATCATTCCGATAAATTGCGAATAGTCGATTTTACAGATGACTTGCGTGGCTCTTATGAATTTCGTTTGGAGCCACGTTCAATTACGACTTTTGTATATGCATAAAATTAACGTTACATTTTCAATGTAAAATGACCAAAAAAATGATTGAATTCGAAGATTTTTTAAGGAAAAAGAAACAAATAAAGACTTTACTTGACAATGTAATTTATTCTGCTGACTCTTTTCTTGAAGTTCTATTATAAAATTAAATATATATATATATACGTTGGTGGTCTTATTTAATCTATTTTGGTCCCTGTACAAATACATGCACTTTTCATATATTTATTTTTATTTATATTTTTCTAACATTTTTTCTCTCTTCCTTGATAAATTTACATATTGAATAGTAAATTGCAAATTTTGCACAAAAATTTATTCATATAATTGGATTTTCTATCATTCAGTAAAATGTTCAAAATGTATCTATTATGATTGTTCAGCGGTTGCTTCGTCTCTATCGTGTTCACGTGCATCTTCGATGGCATTTAGATTTGTAGTCAACATCGATTCAGAGTTCTGTTCAAATATGTGAGTCGCCGTAATATCAAAATTTATGTTATCCAATGAATCGACCGAATTGGTCATCAACTTCATGTTGGCAGCCAGACTGATCCCACCAAAATCATCGTCTATGTAAAGATCTTCAATTGACTGGATTTGCTATCGACACAAAAAGAAAAACGGAAAATGTTTAGAATTTAATGAGAATTGCAAATATTCAAACGAAAGATATACTTTTCCATTAAAAATGCCAGTTAAGACACTTGAACAAAGTGATGATTGTAGCTGATCATTTGGTAGCATTAATGTTGAAGCGTGATTTGCATACTTTTCGCTCGCAATTTGATCGATCATACGGCCGGACGATGCTTCGATTGCCGAATTGGCTCGGCCGAGAACGGGTAATGGGTTGCCACAAATCGAATGTCTTACTTCAGCCAAATGTGGTGAATTAATGGCATCCGTATTGAAATCGTAGCCGGATTGCTTTGGAGCAATTAAACCCACGTCCGAGGATCGGCGTCGGCACTTACGCATATTCAGCGTTACCCGTGTTGTAAACGATGATCGACTTTTGGTCGATGCATATGTTGCAGACATATTTGGTGAATTGACGAGCAATGACTGCAATTCAGGCACTTCAACATTCGTACCAGATACGATACTTTCTTGATAGAATGTTCGCTTTATTAATGTTTGTGATTGTTGATTTTCAGCATCTAAAGATCATAAATTTCATGAAAGGCTTTCGTTTCTTTCCAGAATGTAAATGAAAAAAGTAACATTTGATGGAGAACATATAAATTGCAGCTAGTTCATACCTGTGCTTGGTTCCTTGAATTCAATGACAGGAAGTTCAGTACTTGTTCCTGCGACGGGCAGCTGTGCACCAGCTTCATTTTCCACCTCTGATGGCACTACAAAACGGATAACATCTTCGATTTTTTCATTAGTCACCTCATCTAATTTATTCTTCTTTCGAATATATTCGCCAATCTTTTTCGTGTCTGGATTGAAAATTTTGTCGTTTAACAACTTATTCTTAATGGTTTGACACGTATTATTTGCATTCATTTCATTACGCAATGAAGACTCAAGCTTTTGAACAGTTTCACGAACTGAATTTCGCTTTTCAGTCTCTTCTGTTTGCGACTCATTCCCTTTGCTCAACAGATCATCGAGCATTTGTACAACCGACTCATCGGCCTCTTCAAGATCTGCTTGCAATAGACTATCTAATAGTTGACTATTTTCATGTACATTATTGGACTGAACGCTACTTTTCTCGGCCAAGCATCTGTTTTGCAGTAGACAATTATTGATATCGGCCTTAATGTCGGTGATCTCTTTGAGAAGTTGATTTTGATCCACATCTCTAATCGGTTGATTTGATGACGGATATGTATGGCGTTGTGCCCTTTCGATCGCTTTTCGCGCCTCATTGAATGACATTTCAGAACGTCGGCTAATGCTTAGTTTGTTTTTGTTTGGCGTTCGCCGCTGAACCGGTTGACTTTCAAGCGAACGGAAAAATTTGATGCGTGATTTAACGGAAAAACTATCCTCGCTACTTGATGCACTCATTCCACTCGCCGCCGAACAAATGGATTTTAATGAATCATTATGGGCCATACTTTGATTTGGTGTCAATTGTGTGTGCACAATTTTAATGCTAACATTCATTTTGCGATTGCTATCGTTACTTTCATTGAGCGTCGGCATAACGGTGTCATCGGCTTGTGTGCGGAAATTTGATATTGATGCCATTGCCAGTGGTTCGTAATCCACCGATGGATTGTTCACTTGATCTGATGATAGCCAAGTACACCGTCGAATTTGATTGTTGCGTGCACATTTGGGTAGCTCGTAGCTCTCAATATTGAATTGGAATGAGCCATTGCTTGTGTTTAACGGTTTCGATTCAATGTCATTGTGATTGCTTACCTCTTTCGGACCAAATGGTTGTTGAATTTTATTTTTGGATGGTGTAACCGATTTTTCTTGCAAACTGCTTTCCTCCAAATGTGACAGTTCCAAATCTTTTGCAATGGCTGATTGTAAAATAGCTTGATTGAATTCATTTGATGGTCTACCCGATGACAATGGCTCTGAATTTTGTGGTGTTAAAGCGACTGCGTCTAAATCATCGTTGGCACTTGTTGTTACCATTTTATCGCCAAATAATTCGCGAACATTTCGTTTAGTGGTGTTCTTCGTTGGTGAGACCTTTTTTCGTTTCTTTAATGTGCTGCTATTTTTCTCATTCATTAAATTTTTGTCAACATTAAAATGGGAATAATTCAATGGTGATAGATTATTTTCAACGGATTTTGTGGACAATGCATAAACTGGTGATGTCAGGGCATTGATTGCCGAAAATGGTTTGCCATTCGATTTATTTGGCGTTTCATCGTATTTTATTGTCTTTTGCTGCATTGATCGTTGACGTGAATTTTTAACACTTTTTGTAGGCTTCAAACAACAACATTTGATCAGACTTTGGTTCTTCTCGTTTTCACGATAGATTTCCGTTTCAATGGCCTCTAATTTTCGAATCATTTTCTCCAAATCGATGCGAGTTTCGGGCTTTCGTTTCAAACCTTGCTCAAGAATGTCATGAAAACGTTGACATCGCTCCTCTTCGACGATTTGCAAATACTTTAACGGATATGATTTTTCCAATAGATCGACTAACGTTGCTTCATCGTAAGTTCCAAATGGTATGCTTTCATTTAGCATTTCCCACAATAACAGTGTCAATGCATATGTATCCGATTGTTTTGTTGGAAAAACAAAACGTTGGCGCAGTGACAGCAATTCGGGTGCTTGATAATTAAACACAGTTAATTTACGACGGTAATCAGTAAAATATGGCAGATACTTTGCACTTATTTCGACAAATGACTCGGTGGATTCTATATTCGTCGACTGTTGATAGCGTTCGACTTCCAGCTTGGAACTTGGTGAACGCTTTGAATGAATCGATGACACTCGATTTGGCTGTTGCATCGACATTAATTTAACTTCATCTTGAATATCCGAACTGTATGGAACGGCCAATTCAAACGATGACAGTTTAACATCCGTTACCTTATCACCAATTAATATCGCCAATGACGAAATATTCGAATGGCATATTCCACACTCTTGTAAATATGCTACGGCTCGAGCTACTCGTTTCACTATGGTCACCACTTCAACCAATTCCAACTGTCCATTCTATGGGCGAAAGAGAAAGGAAACATAAGTTTTTTTAGACTATTTATTGTCTCTATTTTAATTGTTTACCTTATCAACAAACAGTTGATAGTTCAAGGTGTATTTGGCTGGTTCCATAATCAATGCCATTTTTTTATACGAGTCAAAAGCCAACGCCATTAAATTGATGATATTTGGATGACGTATCTTCCTATAAAAACAATAAGTAATGAAAGCAATGCGATTAAAGGGGGAAAACTCATTTGTGCAGTTTTTATTACCTCAACACTTCAGCATCACGAATGATTGCTGTTTCTGCGACCAAAATTTTATCCTCGTTTTCGTCATCATCATCGGGATATTTGCGAGCAGTAACAAGAGTATTTCGAAACATTCCCAATTCAAAATGTAATGGCATTTCTGTTTTGCTTTCCATGCGTCCCATCGAATCGAATTCGCTAATCAAACAAATTATGTCGGCAAATTGCAATGTTTCATGGAATGTTTGTACTCGATTCGGTGGTATCATCTGTGAAGCATTCAAATGATCGATGTGTTCCGTTCTGGATATAATATCGGTGTCATCCATGGTATTCGCGCTGTCGGTAGACTTATCCAAGTCGGTGATTTTAACATGTCCCTTCCTTTGACGAGTTTCATGTGATTGTTCGTGCATTGAAATCGATGCGTTCGACGTCCTTTCAAAATTCTCCTCAAACATTCGAACACATTCGTTTGGATCCTCTTGAAACACTTCACCTGCCAATATTGAATCGTCCGATGTAAGACAATTCGGTAGATCTTGTCGTTTTTGATATTGCGGTATTTCGGCGCATGGTGTTGCATATTCAATCGTATCGCCGTGTTTATTCACAAATGAATCGTATCGTGTCGATGGATGTCCAGCGGTCACATAATTATCGGAGTCAATTGATGGAAAATTATTTTTTTTCTCTGCAATACTTATCATCGATGAACAGTCCGTGTAATATGGTGATTGTATTTCAAAATTGTTGAATTCATTGTATGCGTGCGTAAAATGAGCTTCGGTTAGTAGTTTTCGTGATTTTTTACTGTTTAACAGTAGACGTTTTGGTTTTTCCGGAACTTGTGTTGCATCGCAAAGTGTACTCAACGATGACATTTCGCTTGGATATGGATTTGAATTTTGTTTATAGAATTTTGTCGGTGGACTTCGATAGTTTGATTGACTTTCTTCGTCATTCACACTGCCCCTGTATGTGCAATGGGCATCTTCAAAGTCATCGATTGCTTCTTCTAGGATTGCCGATGTATCAATTGCGTTTTGTGTTCGTTGTATTGCACGTCCGTATGCATTTGATGTGGTTGCGGGCATTGAGTGTCGTGTATTACGACGATTTTCAAAATTAAAATCACTTTCATCGGTGCTGTCAGCCATGTGAAATTTAACACAAAACTTTTTTGTTCGATGTCCATTGTGTGTTGGCATTGTATCGTTATGATCTTCCGGAATCACTTTTTTCCGATACGATTTTGCTGGACATGTACTTGGTTGATAGGATCCATTCCGGTTTTGATCGGTTGGCGTTGTACTTATGGCAGAAAAATTTGGCATATCACCCGATATCGAATGGTATGCGGCCATTTCATTTGCACCCATCGACAGTCTTTGGATGCGCTCATGTTCACGGAATTTTGTAAATCGAATTATACTTTCACGATAGGCTTCATCGCTTGTCGGTTTTGCCGACTGTCGTTTGGTGAAGAATTGGTGCGGCGCACTTTCTCGACGACGCAAACGCATTGTACCGTCTCTGCACACATACAACACGTTCGATTCAATTATTCGACAAATGGCGTGAGAATAAAATGAAAAAAAAAAACGAAAGGAAATGAAATAATAGAATTTGCAAGATGATTAAGTTATAAACAAATTTTAAATGAGATGATCTATTAAATCTGCCTTTGTCTAATCTGAAACATTCATAATTTTCCATTGCAAAATTTATTCATATTCACAAGACTTGAATTTATATGAGAAAAATTCAGATTTATTTTGATCAACAAAATTACCAATGTCTCTCTCTTCTTACAGTAATTTAAGTAGTCATACGGAAATGTTATGATGGCGCAAGAAAGACTGTCATTGCGCGCAATATAAATGTCATTTTTGAATAACATCACTTTATCATGCATACCAAAAGATGAACACCATATACCACTCTCTGTTACGATACAATTCGCTTTAAAGTACAAATTTATGGTTTTTACTTCAATCTTTCAGAAGTAATAAAAATTCTTAAAGCTGAATTTATCTTTCCAAACAATCGATACGCAACATTTCAACACGCAATGCTCTGACCTAACTCAAAAGAAAATGTTTGTGTTCATTGTTTGTTTGTTGTTGTTTTTTTCAGTGTGAATTCAAATAATGGCTGCTTTCTGTTGAGATTGTCTAGATTGTGTATGATTTTCGACAGTTTATGTTTGACTAAATGATCATTTAAATTACGTATTGTGTGTGCAAACGAGACTGAAATATCGAACGGATTCATGCACCAGTGCATTTCACTATCATATTTTACAGCCATAAATGGTTCAACATTATAAACACACATACACGAAAAATGAAATGGAAAATGTTGCGCACGTGCAACACGGCAGCATAACGATAGAATCATAGCGCACAATAAAAAAATTCAAAAAAATGCAAGTGACTCTTTTACTGGCAGATTGGTATGGATGCTTTTTATAGCGTATAAAATGTATGCAGTAAAATGTGGCCGGAAATTAACAGGTGCGACTCGCCAATTGTCTGTCTTTATATCTGCTTTAAAAGTGGTTTCTCTGTTTTATTATTTTGCACTCTGCCATATGCAATTCGGATAAAAATGAATTGCCAGATTTTAGTTGAGTTCATTATTTTCAACGGGAAATGGCACACAGAACTATTTCAATTCTATTCGTAAATGTATGCGAAAAAAAGCATCCAAAATAGATTGAATGCAAAAATAACTTACTTATTTTTCAGCCATTTCATGAGTCCACCCATTTGGGATACGTTCTTTTTTGCTTTCGTCAGTTTGAATGATTTTTCACACTTGTCCATCAACAATTGCAATTATGTCGCAATTGAGATTTTTTTATTGAATGTTCTACCAATTTTAAATATTCCAAATACTAGATAATATACAAAAAAAAAGGATTGCAACCGATTGCAAATATGGCGTCGAAATTAAATTATAAATATATATATTTTTTAAAAAATCCCGTTTTGTGGTATGTTTTCTCTGTGCTCAAAAATGTTGTGGTGAGTGCCCGTTAATAAAAATCCGTCGACTAAACTGACAATACGACTTTGTCCGTTTGCACCCGTAATGTTGAATAACCAAATGGAAACTAGCATACCGATGAAGAGATCGCATTGTTTCAAGCGCGAACTCGATACTCGTACAACAACAATAACAATATCGACCGGAGCATTGTGCGAACCGATTTACATAGTGCAATTCAAATGTGGTCATTCTATCTGGCTAAGCACGTACCGTGGCCGATCTCTCTCTCTCTTATTCTCTATGTGTGCGAGTTGATGACCGAACACGAAAAATCTATTTGGTTCACGTGAACTATATGTGTCGTGAGCATCTCCAAATTTAAAAAAAAATCAAAATTTAAAAATAAATTTTTTATACAATTTCAAATGAAAAATTTATTAAATTTTTTAAACAACCGAAATGGGTTAATTTCAAGTTTGAGTGTATTGTGTTTTTAGTACAAGATTTTGAGGTTATGTAACCATTTGTCAAACGATTGCAATTGTCATACACAAATACATGAAATAAACATTGTGAACAAACATAACGCACTTAATACATAATTTCACGTGAATTTGGAGACAAAAAACTGACAATTACCGTTGTAATCGACACACCGTTTGTGAACGAAAAAAAAAAATGAGCAGCAAAAAGAAATCCATGGTAATATAAAACGTTTCATTGTTCATTCATAACATTTGTTATATTTTTTTGATTTTTATAGAAATCGGATAGAAAAGCATTTGTTAAAAGCGAAAGCAACGAAGACATTTGGGATGATCGACTGTTGATGAAAGCATACGAACAAGCAATTCAATTAAATAATGCCGATGTAGCCAAAAGTATTGCGGCCGATACAAATAAAAAGTCAACAACAATAATTCCATCACAAGCATCAAACATGAGCACATCTGACGATGGTGACGATACGTTTAAAGTGGGCGATTACGTACGTGCAACATACAACGTCGATAATATCGATTATGAAGCCCAAATTGTTAGCATCGATGATGAAAATGATGTTTGTGTTGTTAAATTTATTGGCTACGACAATGAGCAAACAGTTCGAATCGTCGATTTGGTCTCATCATGGGGTGAAGAAGAGCAGCAAAAACAAGAGCTAGATGCCGCCACCGAAGAGCCAGTTGATGACGGTGACGACGATGTATATCCCAAAGAACTATACCGAAATTGTGATTTGCAGAAAAATTCACTACCCATCCCGCCAATACCGCCGATGCCACCCGCGCTAAAGGACTCACTTGGTGAACAAGAAACGGAACATTTCTCAGCAATGCTCATGTCTTGGTACATGAGTGGTTACTATACCGGATTGTACCAGGGCCATAAAGAAGCAAAACAACAACAAAAGAACAAGAAATCATTGAAGCGAAAGTAATTCCTCTTTGTAAGAATTTATTATAAAACAATAAAGTTTTACGAATTTTACATAAAATCCAATTCGATTTTTCTATACTAAACGACATTATTCATTTTGATTTCTGTATTTTGAATGCCATTTTTGATGTTTCACTGCCGATTCTTCCATTGAAGGTTTAACTTGTTTTATCGATGACAACAGATCTTCGTATACTACTTCGGGCACTTTTTCAATTGATTTATTATATGATTTCAATTTGTTTCGTATTTGTATCATCGAGGCTTCTTTGCATGCAATTTTCAAATCGGCACCGGTAAAACCTTCGCTTGCTCCAATCAAGTGTTTCATTTTGTTGATCGGCCAATCTTTTGTTATTGGTAGCAATTGATTTATTATATTACCACGATTTTCATCATTTGGAAGATCAATAAGGATTTTTCGTTCGAATCGACGCAAAAATGCCTCATCAATTTCCCTGTAAAAAAGATTGATTTGATTATTTTACGAGTTTGTTGCACCGGGATAAATAGTAATGGGTTTTACCATGGTAAATTTGAATTTGCCAACACCAACACATTTCCAGTACACAGATCCAATTCGTCAATCTGGATAAGGAGCTCATTTTTAAAGCGTTTTGTAGCTTCATGGTCATTTGGTGAGTCTCGATGAGAGGCCAACGACTCAAATTCATCGATAAAAATGATGGATGGTGCACAAGATTTTGCCATGGTGAACAATACCTACAAAATTTATAAAAAATACTATAAATAAATCGTGTAAAAGGAACCGATTAAACTTTACCTTAGCATACTTCTCCGATTCGCCACGCCATTTGGATATCAGTGTACTGGCAGATATATTGAAAAATGTAATTGCGTCAAATGTTTCTGAATTCAATGCCTTTGCCAGCAGAGACTTGCCGACACCCGATACACCATGTAATAAAATTCCTTTCCAAGGCTTCGTCACTCCAGTGAATAAGTGCGGAAATTTCAGCGGTAACACTACACTTTCCACCAAAATTTGTTTAGCATGATCATTTCCTTGGATATCATTCCACTTGATTTGATTGTCCGTTCTTACGATTTGTCTAAATAAATGTTTTTTGTTTATTTCATTTTCAATTTTGGCATTTTTTTTTTAAATGAAAACAATACAAACCTCTCAATGACACATGCCAAATCGCGCATTTCACCGGAAAGATGCTCAAACATATCAACACCTTTGCGGTACTTATCAACGGTGGAATTGGTTTCAGAGTGCTTTTCATGGTTATACGCTTCGCCAGCACTTGAAAGTGAACTTTTAATAACAAGATTATCTGTGCTATGCTCGGATGGTTCTTTTTTCACTTTTTTCTGGTGTTCTTCCGATGATTTATTTGAATTCGAATCAGCGCCTCTGCTTTTGTTGATTTTCCCTTTTGTTTCATTCCATTCAACTTCGACTCTCTTCAAAATTTTTGGCAACTTACCGAATCTCAAATGATAATAACTACAGAAATCCAAATAAATGGTATCTAAATCGATATTGTCGCAAATTTTGCATTCAGACGATAAGCTGGCCTCATTCCATAAAGCTGATTTGGTTTGTTTTAAACCAAAATTCGATAGATATTGTGAAATCAAATATAAAATATTCCGTTGACGTTGGAACGGCGATTGTTTTGTATCCTGTTAGAAAATTTTAAGTTAAATGAAATAAACCATTTATTTTCGAGAAAATTCCTACCTCCAGCGACATATTTGGTAATATGAGTAACACACATTTATACATTTTTATGACGTAACAATCAAAGCACGTTGCCAATGCGATTATTGTCAAAGCAAAAATAAATAAACTCAACAGGCTGTTGCGATGGCAATAGCGATTATTATGACAATGCACTCTCAATTGAACGATTTTAATGAGGGCATGAATAAAAAGACTCTCTGTAAGATGGAAATTCAAAGCTTGTTATACAGAATTTTCAACCATTTTCTCGAAAAATGACGAAATCACTAGAGTTTAAATCGAAAGAAAAATATGAATAAATACAAAATGGCTACAATGCAGACAATCTCTATCTTAAGATGAATAGTATTAAAGCGAAATCACAATAAACATCTTAAATAAGTGTCACTTTAGCAAATTGCTTAAATGAGAGATTGTTTTAATTCTTGATGCAAACTCATTAATTCATCACTTCTTTCGCCTTTCCATCATGATAAATATTCATTGCCCTAATTTTAAATCGGACATGATAAAAGTATGCGAAAAGAATGTCACATAAATTACTATATTATGCACTTGCACTTTCTTTTCTCTCCATAGAATAGCATCTTTTGTTTCGTATACCGCCTTTTGTGTAAATGTTTCAATGAGAAAAGGATATTTTGCACTTCAAACAAAATTCATGTCAACGGAAATTCAAAATAGTGTTGATTATCTCAATAGACATTAAGTACTTCTCAACGTGTTCCTTGTTATGTGATCACTGTCATTTATCAATACGAAATTGATGAGATAAAGCATCCTGTTTCGATTTCAATTACTTTTGATAATTGTCATTTAAGAAAATTCCATTAGAAAATCTTACGCAATCAGATTAGTCAGATTTGGCTTGGAGGCATGCAGAGGGAGCGTTCAACTGTAAAGTGTTCCATTAAACTTCTGTTGTCATTGGGGTTAGATTTTTCAGTTTATCTTTGATGTTTGTGTTTGTTTTTTCAAAACTAAAGCTTCTTCTAGCACAAAATGCGAATAAACTACGAATTTGTAGCAAGTCATTCGTCAATACACATATTCGTTTCTATGCTATTCTTCGCTGTCACTGACTAGGACAGATGGGGAAATTCAGCAAAAAAAAACAGGTATTCGTGCATATTAAATGCACCCGAATGCATTTCCCTTTTTCGAATTTGATGCGCAGGCATTCTGAAGGAGTACAACAATATCGATATTGCGCACACGTCACGATTGCAGCGATAAAGGATTCTATTCAACCTTTGAAAATGTGCAGCACTCAAAGAAAAACACTTTGTTACTGGTTGTTTGCAGGCCAACCACAAAAGAATAATAAATAGAACGGTTAACAATGCATCCACTTGCTTTTCGAAGTCCATAATAGATACATATGGAATCAGTAATCACTTTCAATGTAAAGGAATGATTACCACAACAATACACAATGTATGTAAACAAAAGCGATATAGATGGTTAATTTACTTAGGTCACTTAACATTTTGGCTTTTTTCATTATTTCCAACACCAAAAATCCATTTCTAGTTTCAAGTGAAACAATTCATTTTGGTATTGGCGCACATTTATCGCACCAGAAATGTATAGTGCAACTACTTAACACTCAGCCCATTTTCCATTCATTGAAAAACAGTTTAAAATATGCGAATCACATGGCGAACATATATCATGAAGTGTGAAGTGTATTATCGTATACGTGAGCGATACTTGATATTTACAGCCATGAAATATGTATTTAATTATTGCCTGATGTCTGAAGCCTGAAGTATGAACATCATAACAGTTTACGGAAAACAGTTTTGTGAAAAGCGCCACTTAAATCATCTAAATGTATATTTGCTGCTGTGAAATTACCAGTTGTGGTGCATAACACTCCAGACAACATAACGACATTTCAAATACCATCAATTGGAAGACTTCCTTTTAAAATGCTTGACAACATCATTTTACTGCTATTGAATTGTATTTGCAAATTTGCTTCGATCGTCAAGACAACACATTGAGTAGATTTTCGAGGGTTTCTTTTTCATAATCGAATATCTATTGAATTGAACGCGCCATTTGCTTCGGATTCTGGTCACTTTATATGTGAAAAAAAAAAACAGACAATTCAAAAAGTCAACGGTTTAGGAGTATTGATTGACAAACATTTCTGTGCAGAATTCAGTTGATGACATATATAGTAATGTTACAGAAGGAATCCTTGCCACTGTCATAAATCATATTATATTGCATAGATATGACTTTCTATATCGATCTCTTTGTAGCATTCTACATTTCACAATTTGTAGAAGGAAAGATTCTGTTAAATAAACTTAATCAGTGCCAGTGAAACGAACAGAATTCATGAAAGTTCAATTTGTTTACACAAAACGAAGAGATTTTTCTTACCCGCATGAGAAATTAGATGACTCATTGGTTTTGGTATAATACTTATTTTTTCAGTTAAATTTACTAATTTGGTACCTGTTTTGCGTTCTGTGTTATTTGAATAAGTCGAACATTAATTTACGTTTTTTTTTCTGCACTCGGGTCACAGTACACAATACATGATAGAATTCGATATTTCCTTCTAGTTGATTTAAAAAAAGTGTTTTTCAAATCGAAAAGGCAAAATGGAACGTTCGTTTCGTAGAAATTCATCGTACATGTACGAAAAAAAAAGTTGGAAGTCTTTTTGAAAATACTTGATTGAGGTATATTCGCATGAAAGTCGATCGGAAAATGTAATCAACTTGAAGTCTGTCAAAAGAATCAATGCTGATATGCATGCTGTTTTTAACGTTTCAACATTGCACACATCTGTTCCAGAAACTTGAAGGAAACATACTTACATACTCAATATAAAATGTCTTGCGGGAGTCTCTGTCTCTCTGTCCCGATGGGAGAGTGAACGAGAGGCGAAACTTTGTTGCAAGCATCATTCGAAACAAAGTGCCAAAGTGTATCAAGCACATTTCGTGCTAGACGAAAGAAGAAGAAGAAAAAAACCAGCACCGATTGATAGTCATGAGCGTAAAATGAGCTCTTAAACATTCATTCGTTTATTTTAAATCAACTGATATTGAAAATATTATATGTTTACGTTGTCTACGGTATAGTATACTCTACATTAATGGTCATGTTCTGTGTGTATATGGAAAATGCCCCTCATTTCAACATTTTTTTTTCCAATATATTTCAATTGTCACATTTTTAAGCTAGGCGATACGTGCTTTTCAACGGAGCAAATTCGAACGAGTAAGCGAGAAGGAACGACGACGACACAATAATGGTTTGTTTACGATTTCCCCTTAATTCATTCCGAAAGTTTAGAATACGTTGCTAGCGGTAGCTTCTTATGCAATCGTGCCAACGAAGGGAGAAATGTGTGTCCGCTACAGTGTGGATAAAATACACAGCGTATAGAAATAAGCAGAGAAAAAAACACACTATATAGTGTGTACGTCGGTAGCGAGAGAACCGAGCGATTCAAATTACCAATGCAGTATTTTCAGTCGTCATGCTTGTTCAGTTGCAGAATTCACGTAGACCGTATAGCACCTTCATTGCAGTAATTCCGTCGAATATTTTAAAATAAACCCATTCGAATATTTAATATATACATACACGGTATTTTAGTTCTGTTTCATTTATCTGCGTCACAAGCTTGCACCGTACAAAATTAATTGCATACAAACTGGAAAAAAGCATTGAATTCTACGTTCAACGCATCTAAACAAATCATAAAAGTACCAAATACAAAAGGTTGTACGTGTTCTTAAAAATACGAAAATCAATTCAAGAGAATTTACCATTATTTTTTTCTTTTCATTCGTAAACGGTGAGAGATGCACGAATGAGTTTTTCAGTGAATGAGTGAGAAAACAAACCAAAAAACTATTAAATAAACGCCAAAGGAAACCTAAATGATGAGAAAAATACTGTGAAAAGTTTTGTTGTTGATGTTATTTCTTTTTTTCTTCATTTTTCACTTTACTTTTGCTGGACCAATACAAATACTGTTTCGAATACTTGTATGCGGCAACTCATTTCTTTTCGGAAATGAAAACTCGTCCACGGTTTTAATGTACATATAGATGCAGTAAACTATATCGCATCTAACACCCCAGGCGCATTTTCCACGTCAAAAAAGATTTTCATTTTTACAATATGACTAAAAAACAACGTGTGTTTTTCGTTGCGTTTTGATTGTGAACAAAGTCCATAGTTTATTTATTTCCTACATTAAAGTGTCAGACGCTGTGTTGTCGTTGCCGTTCACCTGGATTTCTTTTGATGCTTTGATGTTTTGACTGGCTACTGACGTGCCATTGTTCTGTCGTCTCTCTCTGTGAATCAATACCGCATCGCATTCGCTTTGTCCGCCTTTCGTTTTATATTTCAAAGTTTAAGTGCATTGTCTCATTTTTTCCATTTTTGAAAATGAACGAATGAAAAACGAATGAGTTTTTTCACTGTGCCAATTAAATTTTAGATTACATAATAGTCTAGATAATAGTGCACACAACCGTGTTCGGTTTTTCTTTTTTCAGAAATTTTCGCTTCAATTCACATTCACGTGAAATACAATAGCCAGATCGTTCAAATTGTTGCTATTTTATCGATTTATAGCTCTTTCAATTCTTATTTTATATTTATGGAAAACCGAATGAGAAAGAAAAAACCAACATATTTTCAATGCGAATGCACATTTGATTGCTATCGATTACGGAAAAAATATTTCCATTTTATGTTAGCACAAAAAGAATATGACAAGAACAATCGACAATTGAAAAGAAAAAAAATGTGTTGGATGGAAAATAATTTTGATGTTTTCTTTTCCTTCTCTTCCAGCTTTGTGATACGACACAACAGTCAAATAATGTGGGAAATTCAAAGAGAAAAATGAACAGCATTGAGCGATGGATTGAGAACGAATTCTTTTGCAAAAAGTGATAGAATATGACGAACTTTATAATGATCAAAAATATCAAGCAAATGTTAAAAATATCGTTGAAAAACCAAATGAGAAAACTTTTCGCCCGATGCCGTAATTGATGTAACATTTTCAATTCAAATAAAAGCTCAAACACGAGAATAGCATTAAAGTGGCACAACAAAAATTGATGGTTTTATTAAAGATTTCTCCAGTGAATACATTGTGAACACGCGTACGCTCTTCACTTGATGAATTTTTGAAAAGTACGCGCCATCCACGAAGATAAACAGACAGCGAGCGCGCGCGCGAGAGAGAGAGAGAGAGAGAGAGAGAGAGAGAGCGGGGTTGACAGAACGAAAATACCAGAGGCAAGCCTGAAAAGTGCATTTACAAAAGTGACCAAAATCAACAAAGGACAAACGACGACCAAAACATCATGAAGAAATACTTGCACAAAAGGATCAAGTTTGTGATTCCGCTACTGTTGACTTTTCTGCTGGGAATTGTTGGTGAGAAATAACATCATATTTTTTCACATTTCATTTTCGTTCTTCTTACAGCTTTATTACTCAAAATAATAATAATAATAATACCAACGCAGTTGCAACTGTTCTCAGAATATTCAACAGTTTCACAATATGTATTTACTTTTCATCAAATAATAAAACAAGCGCATATTTTAAAGTGCTTCGCCGTAGATGTTGGTTGTTGGTGTTTCGTGAAGATGCGATTTCTTTCTTTCAAATTTTCCATATTTCGATTTCGATTGTGTTTGTTTTACTTTTGTTTTGCAAAGAAACAAAGCCACTGTTAAATGTATATTATTGTTAGTGATTTTGCTTGCTTTTGATGCAAAACAACTAGAAAATCGAATTGGCTCTGATGTGAATAATTAATCAACCGCAATTGTGAACGTCACTTTGGTTCACCGTACTGATTGACTTTTGCTGAGTTTGCCCACTTTGTTTAGCATCATTTTGGCATTATACTATATATTATTATATTATACGGTATGCTGTATAAAATCGAAACGTTTCCAGCAAAAATGTGCATCAAAAATTTGGAATGTCATCAATGCGGTAGTCGATGGTATCCAATGAATATATTCTATGCAATGCTTTGCATCGCATCGTTCGCAACACAAAAATGATGTTCAACTTAAAACTTGCCTATATGTTATGCCAAATACGTTGCAATGTCGAATGCTACGAATAGTTGCTATTATACGACTCTACAATGTACTCACATGCATCGTTTTGAATTCAAAAGTCTATTATTCTGGAACGGAGGCTGAGGATAGGGGTCTGATATTTGATTAAATTGCCAAGCAATGCATGATTCTGTTCGTGTTGCGTTTGAAACTAGCAAAGCCTCAACTGAGATGATGTGAGACATTTTCGGTTTTTTCTTCTTGGAAAATCTCATATCATCGCAACCGCAAAAATGTCGACTAACTAAAAATGCTTAACATTGTTCGGGTAAAGCAACTATGAAAGCAAACGAAATTTAATTTTCAATAGAATTCAAAAGAAATGAAAGTCAGTGTGCAGATTTTCATATTCTATTCAGTATTCTGTATATTTTCCATCTTTCGATATGTCATAGTTTTACTTTTACACAAGATGACAAACTCTTATTGTTGTTGTTTTTCTTTTTCTTTTCGAAACGTTTTTTCTATATTTTTTTTCTCTCTCTCTTCATTTCTCTTGTTCTCGTTTAATTCCAGACGCGGCTGAATGGCGTACCAAAGGTAGGCTCTAGTGTAGCCCCACATTTCCATTCAAAACCCCATCAACTTGTAAAATTATACGTTTTTTTTATTGTCAATCTTTCAGTCTCATTTTCTTTCGATGTTCTCTTACCAAAATTATATGAACGTGACACAAAAACATGTTTTTTTTTCTGTTAAAATTTTTTGTGCATGCTCAAAAATGACAAAACCTCATTTAGATTATGTCAATCCATCTAAGACGACAAATTTGCGCACACACACACACAGCATCTGATCTCTTATGAAATACTAGTTTAAGTACGGCAATCAACAAAAAAAAGCAGTCAAGTTATTCATACACTCCAGATTGGATTTACTACTTCATTCCACTCGAACCGCAAACAAAATTATCATTTCGATGCCATTAAACTAAGATTATATAATCATCAAGCAAAACATTTTATTTTGTTATTTGATACCCATTTTTATTCCCTTCTGGCAGCATCGTAACTCACAAAGGCACATACACACTCAAAAAAAAGGCAACAAGAAAATTGGCAAAATCCATTATTTCATTTCGTCATTTGTTTCTGTTATTTTGGTTGAAGTTCGTTCTGCTTGCGTTTATTACATGCGATATCACGTCCTTCAGAGCAAAACAATTCGGCAAATAAATAACTATGGCATTTGGCAGAAAAAAGGCAAAAAAAGAAGAAGAAGAATAAAAAATATCGCGCTCTCAAGGACTCAAAATTTCAAGTTCACGGCTTGCAGATCTTTTACATTAGCATAGTTGTTTTTTTATCCTCTCTTTCAGTGAAATCGTTTTTCCGCAATGTTTATTTGCTGAGACGCTTTCTTTATGCATGACGATCTCGAGACATTCATTTTTGTTCGTTTGTTTTCGTTTCAATTTCAGCCACATTAATATTATTTTTCTTAATTAATCCACGTTATTAAAATATTTCGTTTTCGAAATTTTTTATTCGGTTAGATGGTGCGGAAGAAGAATGCACAGATTTTCAGGGAAACTCTGTCCAACATGGTTTACTGTATGTGCCGGGACCGGGAGTTTGTAGTTTATGTGTTTGCTACCATAGCGAACCCCTATGGTGCAAGGCGATATATTGCGACCCCCCTTATGTGAGTACTGAGTATTAAATCAGAAGTGTTTGTAGAGGGTGGGAGGGTAGGAAGGGTGTTTAAACCAAAGAAAATGGAAAGAAGAAAGGGAAAAAATGATCTGAACATAAAACAATTTGTAAATTGATTCTGAAGTGCGATTACATTATCAACGAATCAACAATGATTTGAGTTTCCGAGACAACGAGTCACAACGACAAATTCACATGCACATTATAATCGGAGGAAAAAATAATCGAATACACGGTGGAAATTCGAATGAGAATTTAAGTTGCACTTGACATCGTTTCGACGAATGCTGATGAATTTGATAATAAATAAATGAACGAAACGAAATCCGGGCTCATTCCATCAGGTTAGCATAGAAAAGTGCAAATGAGTGAAGCAGTGAATTTTGTGCAAATTATGATGTCAAAATGATGACTTCGAATAAACATAAATGGTAGAAGCAATTAAAACTAGCTTTCGACTTAAAAATGTTTTATCATGAATCGCAATTTGTAAAATAGTTCAGCTTAAAACTCCGAAATATCGTTGCTATTCCAAAAAAAAAGTGAAAGAGAGAAAGGGAGAGCGAGTGATGAAATACTATGGTAGTGAGTCGCAGCACACCGGTCTATCATCTGCAGTGCATTGAAATGTTTTTTTTTTGCGCTTGTCATATTGGTGTTAATAGATTCAACATCGACCCAGCTTTCGAGTGAGCTTGAAATGCTACGGTCATTGTTCCAAAATTATAACGCGTAGAACATAATCAAATTCAATTGAAATTTATGTTATTGAAACAATAGAAGCGCCGCTCGTTTTGTATGTTCCCCCCGCATTTAACACATTATTTTTACCGTTTGTTATCACTTGTTTTTCATTTTAATATACACGCAATTGCGACACGTATGTATCGTCCGATTGTCTGGCGAGAATGACCATAGGCTATCGGTATGCTTTTTTGCGTCATCAATCGACCAAAATTCTCCAAGTTGCTTCACATTTCCTTTCTCATCAAAGTGCTAGCATACTATTTCCATGTAAACATATCTACTCTTTGAATTAATGTTTATCATTTACATTCCGTTTAAATCCACTTTGTTGTACAAAACGCACACCATATGGGCCGTATTTTTCAATGCCTTAAAATAGAATGTGGATAGAAGAGCAAGACTCGCTCGATAGATTTATTACAGTCGTCTATCAAACGTGACTACTACATATTATGCATGATATGTACACCAAAGCATTATGTAAAATGCGCATTAAATGGTATAATGATGGTGTCGGTGCAAATGAAAAAAAACTCATTCGAATTGATTCCACTCAACGAGGTTTGTTTAAGGTCATTTCAATCAAAAATGACCGAAACTACCAGAGACAAGAACATTGTTATATTTGCGGTATAGAAACGGATATTTTGTGACTCGGATTCAAACAGGATTGATTGTTAAATCACAATTTCAATCAATTTCAATATACACGAATTTAATGTGCACTATTTAAGCTATTTTTTACGTTTGCTTTTAGTGAATATAAAAACGGAATTAATTTACATTGTTTTAAACATGCTGTTGTTGTTGTTTTTTTTGTTCTCCTTTCGTTGTAGTTTTGTAAGAATTTTCGTGTCGGTGAACGTTGTTGCGAGTTTGAATGCCTCGATCCGCCCGGTGAAGATAATATGTATCAGGTAAGCTCGTGCCGGTTTTTGCATTTTATATTTTGTGAATGAAAATAAACATGAATACATTTTCCGTGTCGGTATACTATTGCGAACAAATTTTGTTTCTTCTTTTTCTATCTCCTTTTTCTTATCCATTTTCCATTCTCCATTGCAGTGGCGACTAAAAAAGAGAGATGAAATTCTTGCGGGTATTGCTGACGCAAATCAAATTTTAGCCAAAGCTTTAACATTAATTTTAAGCATTTCAAGCGTTTTTATATTGAATCAATTTATGTGTCGACGATCGTCATAGCCAGGAACATGGTTTTTCGGATACCGTATGTCTGATGCTGAATTTGACTGAACACAACATGACAACAGCAACAAAAAGAAAAGACACAAGTTTCAATTAAATTGTAAGCGAAATGCATTGATTTTTGGGGGGAGGAGGAAAAGATACAAAATTCAAAGTGAAAATTATATAACAATGCATCTGTAGATTCTATTTGACATTTTAGAATGTTCTCGCTGCGATATTTTCAACATAACAAAACATAGAATGCATTCTAAAAGTTTTTAACAAGGAAAAAAAATACACATTAGTGGCAATGAGAGAGAACATTTCAAACAAAAATCAACCGAAATGAATATAGCGTTCGGTTTTTTTTCGCATAGTTTATCAGCTTTTCTGCGTTAAACACCGAACATCCAATTACTCTGATCGAAAGCAGTTTATTGGGCCAAGAACTAGGGCAAAGTGTAGACAAGTATGAAATCAACTATTTTTGATAATAACTAAAACTGGTTTTAATTCATAAAGTTGTCAAAATAAGAGACCATCTATCTCTTATCTTTATTATAATTAAATGAAATTTGGCGAGAGCATTTTATGCAACAATTTGTATGAATACGATTCCTTTTTCACACTTTCTTTCTATCGATAAGTTGAATTTTCGTTTGAACGAGAAAAAAATGAAGAATTTTAAAAATTTGAAAATCAAAATTAAAATTTGATATGATATTTGATAATGTATTAGAGCGGTGGGCGCTGGTGAAGCACTTTTTGTATGGAAATATTTGTTGAAAATTCAACAATACGCCACCTATTAAAGACAATAAAGATTTTCGTTACTACTGCTGTCTTGACACAGCTCTAGCGAACTATATAGCTGTATTGCAAACGTATTAGTACTGACATCGATTCTGTGTATGCGTGTGTGTTGTAAATTTTGCACAAGCAGGTACGGTTGACGACTGAGTGCAGAATTTGCAATACAAACGGACACACAAAATCAGAGTCAGTGTGTTCTTTAGTAACAAAAATCTTTATGTATTTTAATAGATGTCGTATTCGTTGAATCTTCAACAAAAAATCTTCGATACCAGCGCCCACCGTATTCGGTGGTAAAGAAAAAGAAAAACGGCGATGACATATAATGTATAAGATTGGTGAGAGAGAGAGAAAATAATACCGTTTTTCGATAAGTAATTTTCATTGATCGAATGTATACATATGCATAGATAGATAAGAATTCTTAGGTAGACAAATGATAATCGTCAGCTGGTTTCAACTAATTTGGTTGTACAAACAGCATTTTATCTTCAATTTGAATCGATTCTTCTGATAATTACAAATTGACCCACACAAGAACAAACAATTTTGACGACGGAACAAAAATTTTAAAAATAGCTCTTTCCACACATACACACTCGTTCAGCTAAATAAAATAGAAAACGTTCCACTTTTTCCAAACAAAATAGAATGCATTTACTTAGCGCATCTCTTCAAATCGATTCTTTTTCATCAACATATCATAAATTAGAATGAGCAGCTATTTTAGCCAATAGACAAAATAATGAATTTAAAGAAAACACACATGAGACAATTTCTTATTCAATCTAATTATCCTACTTCGAAAGCAAATTACTATTGATCCACTACAAAAAATAATGACATTACTATGCAATGACATAACGTCCTTTTTTCAAAAGCACTGAAAAGCGATGAAAGTTAATTGACTCAAAATGGAAATGCACAATTTTTTTTGCATACAGACAAATTGAAAGGGATAGAAAAGTTTGCAATTTAATACTTTAATGCGTTTTCAGTTGTAAATGCCCTCTACTCTCCAATACTTTTGAATTCTTAGCGTAATGCTAAAGCGTTTACGCATACATAATTCAAAGATATTAAGAAGATCAATCGATATAATGACAAGATATTGAAAGTCATATGTGTACAGTATTAAAAATCGATTTCTTAGTCATTATTGGCAACTTGTCATATTTTATGGTTGCAAAACAAAACAGATCAAAATTCTTTTGGATATATATTTCATTTTTTTTTGCTTGTCGATTCATTTGGATACGAAGAAAATCGTGGTTTTCTTTAAGTGCAGTATATTTTTTAAGACAATAACAATGAATCAGTTTGTTTGAATCATTTTTTTTAAATTGGTTTTTTTTTTGAATAGTTAAAAATGCCAAATAATAAGTAAATTTTCTTAATTTGGTTATCTATTAAGTAAACCTAAGTGTTAATTATTTGCAAAAACGAGATCTTATGCAGGTTTAATTTTTTTAATTGAATAAATGAGTTTCATTTGCCTTCTTCTACCAATTATAGTCATTAAGTCAGCTCATTACAATTCGAACCAAATAAATTTAAATTGAATTTAAATCATCAACAATTTTACGTTTTCTTCAAAAAAAAAAAAAACCACAAGACTTTTTAGTAAAGAGGAAATATTTTATTTGGTTTTAACGATTTCGTCGGAATTTATCTATTCAAGTCTAGATGGCGCTTAAGTACTAAAAACCACCGCTTGCTCTCATTCTCTCTCACTGACATTTCATGACGTTTCTTCCGTGCGAATAGATAATCATAACAACAACGAATACAAACAAATTTTGAAATGTGAGTACGGTTTTATTTAATTCATTTCAATTGGTGAGTCACATATTTGCTGGTAAAAATTAATTTCTTCAATAGTAAGTCTCAATACAAATGTTAATTTGATGTACTGGTGTAGACAGTTGCCTTTAAAAAATGACAAAAACATCTGACTATCGTCAATCCGACGGTCAATACGGATACGCTTCCTTCAAAATATCGAGTTTGCGTAGTGCGAATTTTCACTCAGTTCTTGGGCATTGTGTGAAAAAGGCCAATTTTATTTTAACACGCAGAAAATGATGGTGACGTAGACGAAGAAAAATTATGAAATTTTAAAATTTTACAAGATTCTCTTTACGAAATTTCGTTTAAGTCATAGTGCGAAACAAACTTATGCGGAATATTGTGTAGTTTCAATCGTTTTTATGAATTAACGAACCAACAGAGTGCAAGTGAATCATGAATGAAAGTGGTATGTGAATAAAATTGAGCACTCTTGTTATCAATATGGAAAATTCTTGAAAATCTACTTTTTATTTATTTATTTACTTTTTATTTATTTATTTATAATCAATTTCTTGAACATTTTCAATGTTTTCATAATTTTTTAAATGCAGTTGGCCAATTGAAAATGTTCGTCAGTGTCATTTATCGATTTTCCCAAATTCCGAACGCAATTGACTAGTACGCTCGTGTGCAATGGAATGCATAGCAGACACAACAAAAAGCCATTGCATGTATAAAATCCATTGATTGCAGATTAATGTACTTTAATGTCATTTTAAGAGCGACGACACATTCTCTACTTTTTTGCAAGCATATTTTCGGTTTTTCTAATTTAAATTCGTTTCGTTTTCTTTAGGAGAAGTTATTACACTAGTAAATACGGCCGTTCAATATCCAAAGGATGAAATAAGCGGAGGAAAATTTATAGACGACGCCACGTCAATACAAGCAAATTTTTTGCAAACGAAACATGAAAAACATTCGACAGCGATGACCAGTAGCATAGCTAGTGCGCTCGACGATTCAACGCCAAGTGACAGTGGTGTTCAGTTAATGGATTCAATGTCAAGTGATATGAATGAGTCATTTATGTCGAATTTCGGAATGGATTACGATGGTGTGACACCCAATGGATATAAACAGGGCTTGAGTGATGTTGAAGAGGTCAGTGCAAGTGCATCGATTTTACCGCATATTGTAATGGAAAGTGAATCGGAATTGATCAATCGAAATGCACGAAATTGCATGGATATTGACGAAATTGCGTTGACAAAAAGTGATATTGATAATTCGAATATTGGTATGAATTTTTTGCATCGCGATGACAAAAATGACATTTCCGATGAAATGAAAATAAGCGTATGCTCAACATTCGATACGGATGCAATTGTTTTTCGACGAAAGGTGCGCAAACCACGAACCAGTTCAACGAGCAGCGGCGGTGGCAGTGTTAAAAAACGCGTCTCATTTCACGAGGATATTTTGAAAAATACCAAAACCGATAATATTCACATCGAACGTGGTTTTGTTACGTACAAGGGAACCATGAAAAAGGCACCATATCGCTTTTTGCGAAATTCATGGTGTTCACAAGGTCAATGTGAAGATTATGGCAGTGATGTTAACCATCAATGCTATCGTAATGCATGCTCAGATGTATTGGACTATGGGCAAGTCGAAGTTTTTGATCACAATGATGACGGAATGGTGCAATTTGATAATTCGGGTGTTTTTGAGTATGTGCCAAGAGAAACAAATGTTTCGCCACCATTTCAGAAACACAATCAACCACCAATGAAAAAAGCTGCATCAAATGAAGAGCGTGCATTTTACCATTGCAAATGCTCGGATTCAAATTCCAGCCTTGAGTCAAACGACAATGCAAATGGGAATGATTGCAAACGTACCGATTATTCGAAAACAAAATCGAATTCATGTGATTGCATCGGTCAAAATGAAAGCAATAAAATTAACAATAATGGATCACCAAATATGATGGATAATTGCTATTTCTCGGAACCGTGCATTGAAACAATGGACGAATATGATGTCGAACCCAACCAACCGAAATCGGTATGGTGCAAAGAATTAAAACCGAAAAGCAGTTGCTTAAAGAAAACGGTACGTGATACATCGGTTATACTGGAGCATGATGTCAGCGCAAAAGTTAAAAAGTTTAACGTTCATCAATTGCACAAAATTAACGTTCATCAATTGCCCGATGTGAATAATTTAATTGGTTCGATTAAAAATATCTTTTCAACGATTCCTGAACGTGGGGTGCCAGAAGGCTCTGAAGATTTGCACAATGTATACGAATGTGTACCCGATTCACCGATAAAAACATTGATCGAACAAACGAAAATCCAGTTAACATTTACACCCGATCCAGAGCCGCAAGCCGAAACACCACCCGGTTCAGCGTCGAAACGAAAACCAGAATTATCGCTCTTTCCAATACCAACCGAAGACGATATGATGCATGTCACAATTGCCGATGATACCATTAACATGGAAGCCGAAGAAGCTTCACCATGTCGACCAACAGCATTTCGCAATAAATTTATCGTCAACTGTGAAAGTACGGTGTTTGAGCATACGGGAGTTTTTGAAAATAACGTACAAGATATACCGGAAATTCCAAACTCTAGTTCGAATTGTGTGACACCACAAAAACAAAGCAAATCGATTTTAACATTTTCCACCGCATCGATGAAACAAAAAATTGGCAGCATTTTCTCATCGTTCCGTAGCAGTGGCAGCAGCACAAAAACCAGTTCAATAAATAATTCACCAAAATCGGCATCAACTCATTGTTTGTTCGTTGAACGACAATTACAGCAAGAACAATTGCAGGCTCAATTGAAAAAATTACAAGAAGAACAAATGGTCAGATCATGGAATTCATCGTATGATTATTACAAAAGTAATCCGGCTGCCAAAAATCCATTTGACGGCGGCGATGGAAGCATGACGTCCAGCATCATTTCGAATTCAAGCGATAAAAACTCTGTGATGACAAGCAGCACAATGACCACATCAACAAACACCACATCAAATCCAGAGTATTCGAATGACCAACGTTTCAATTTACCAACGTTTTATGAACCGGTACCATCAACATCGGATGCAAGTCCACCATCGAAAACAAAAACCCGCCACTTGGCATCACCATTACGACGGAAATCATCCAATTCGAATTTTGATCGCGCAAATCTATCCCCTGATCTATTTTGTGGCCAAAAAACAACAAATCAAAATCCAATGGTCTTGTTGTCGGAAGAATTTGATGATTTGCTCACTGTGACCACCACAACTGACACCGAACAAAGTGAAAATGATATTGAAATCGTGGACTATTCGACGGCAGTGAACGAAGCTGAATTGGTTGCCGCACAATTGAAATCCGCACAACAGCGAAATTCAAATCAATTTTTACGACCTCCATCCACCAAATCGTCGCTAATCAATCGATTTTTACGTAATGTCACACAAAAGAAAATCAACGATATTGCCGTGAAAAAGAATATTATTATGTCAAATAAGTACAAGGATCGACAAAAGATCTTTAATACTTTGTATGTGAAACCAAAGAAACCAATTAAGGTCATACAAAAGAGCATCATGGCCGATTTTAATGCGGAAATCGCACAAGAAATGGAAGCCGCAGCCGCTGCTGCTGCTGCTGCAGCCGCTGCAACCACCTCTACTACTGATGTTGATGCTGATGCTATGGACGCAGTTTGTGAAGCAGTTGAGGCAACTTCACCTACAGATGTTGGACCAAAAACCGAAGAGGAATATGGCGTCGGAGTTGGCGAAGTTTCTACCGAATTTTTCGACATTAATCAATTGCACATTTTGAGAGATGAAAGGGAGAAACTAATCAAAGTATGTGGATGGACATTTTTTCTAATCTTTTGTTTAACGCTTTCTTCTTAAAGCCAATAATTCAACAGCTTTATAAAACCGTATCAATTGTTTCAGGTCTTTAAATTGTACACTGGATACAATTTACACGGTTATATGACACCAGTGCTCGTATTCTTAACTGATCGGACGTTGTATGTGACGGATTTGGTGCGTAATCGTCTGTGCAATAAGTTTGTATTGCCCTACACTGAACTGGATGTCATATTGGTTCGTATTACACAGCTCGGTGAAGAAAGAAAAATAAATTGTTAACTCATGATTTTTATTTTTTTTTTTTCAAAAAAATAGATTGGTCCACATGGAAATACAGTTCTATTGAGTAATAGTGCCCGTGACATGCAGCAAGTTTTGCTTGCTGGAGGTCCTTATCCGGCAGACGGCCTCGTCTCAAGTTTAGAAATTTGTGCTCGACGTTCTGGTGCTGCTTTGCCGGCTATTGGACAACTTACATTCGATCATTTGGCTCCGCTGCAGAAGTTTGTCAGTGAACACTGCTCAGCATCAAAGGTACATAGTTTAAAACAATTTACTTCCATTGATAATAATTCTTTTCTTCTTAACATTGCTGTGAATAGAACGACGCTTGGATCTATTATGCAGTTGTGAGTGTGCCAGCGAATGTGTTGAGCCATGAAGATGAGCCGCTTGGACCGAACATAAAAGGACCCTTAATGCACCGTAGTTTATCGCTTGCAGGCGACATACAGAATCAACCCTGGCTGGCTGGCTATTTCTTATTAAAGTGAGTGAAATTACATTTTTTACAACTGTTTGTAAAATCTACTAAACGATATCTTTCTCTGCAGAGCTGGTGTATTGTATATGTTTGCTGATTCGAATAAGAAACTTCCATCAATGGTGATTGCTCTGAGTGAATGTAAAGGTGCACGACGAGCCGTTTGTTCGGCACGACCTCATTGCTTTGAAATTATGTTGAATACAGGAATTCTGCAGTTGGCCGCACCAGATGAATATGTTGCCTCCGACTGGTTGATCTCAGTTGTTCAATCAGCTAGCGGATTGTATGAAAATCATGAACGGCATAAAACACTTGGTTGTACATTGATTATAACCTCAAATCACTTGATAACGCTGCGCGAAGATTTTTCATCGCCATTACGGCGATTGAATTCAAAGGGCACAGTGCCGCCGGCTATAACAAGACCGCACAAAGGATCTTCAACGCCAGATCGAAAAATGAGCATATCAACGGTGTCAGATGCAACATTTAATGATGTAATAAGACCATCACAGTTCCCAATAACATTTCTAAATCTGATTTTTTTTCTCGTCCAATTCGATAATTTTCTAGGTAAGTTCAAATTTGAGCACACCATCACGATGTGAGTCAAGATTTACAACGTCGAGTCGAAGTTCGCCGATGCATTGGCAACCACAGTCGCTACTGCAACCGTGTGAAGAGAAGAGCTTTTCAAGTATTAGCAGTATTTATGGCAAGAATTCGGGTGTTGAGATAAAAACATGTGCTTCACTTAAGGAAATGGTTAGTGTACGGATGCCGAATAGAAGCGATCAATGGTGGTGCATATTGGTGAGTTTGAAATGAAAATGTCCACTGGCAAAAATGTCAAATTGAATTCTTTTATTCCTTATGCAGGAATTTTCATGTCAAGAAGTGCGAGATTCATCCGACGATATGGTCATATTCTTTGCCACAAATTCGGATATGAGACGATTCCTATCGATTTTGGAGTCAATGTGGCAAACCAAAAATGTAAGTCTACTCATAATTAGCTTCATATTTTTACGGTTCTTTTACGATTGAACGAATTAAAATTGTAAATGTTGTTGTTTCCAGAATGGTTCATTCCCAATATCAACACTACCGGAAAATGACTACATAACGGCTCATGGTGGCAGTTTATTTAAGAGTTTAAATAGAGCGTGGGAACCATTACTATCGGCTGCCCTCGGTTTTCCCCAATAAAACCACATTGAATCGACAGCACGTCCGATAGCCTCCAACTCGAAACGACTGAACTGATTTTTGTATGCATAGATAAATAAGAAGCATTGGTCGACTTTTGGCCTATGCACTTGTAATCAGCAGAAAAAAAAAACAAATAATTTTGATTTTGTATTTAAATGCGACGAACGCCCAAATGGTGTCATCGAACGCAAACGGCAGCGCAAGTTCAAATCGGGTAGAATATTTGTATGTTATGTATGCGTAAGTGCGAACAAACAAAACATAACCATTTGGAAAAGTTAAAATTATACATACACACTTATGTATTGTAATCAAATATATTCAATAATACCATGTGTTATACCATTTTCCAATCTATTCAACTCAACTAAAAATGTTTAAAACAAATAGTTTGAAGAAACAAAGAAGATTCTTGCATCACACATTGAGCAATCTATAAACTTAGAATAATTTACGATACTCCAAAGAACAGTTCAGTTTAGTTGCAAATTTAATCTTTAATTTAGCACGCTTTTTAAAAAAAACTACGTTGCTGTTACCTATATTCATTGTGATATAAAATGTTTAATTTAATTTTAGTTATATTTTAGAATCTCAATGAACGATTGAGCTCGATCATACTAACAAATACAATATAACAAGAATTTAGTATGCTCAATCAGTTCCATCGTTCTATAAAGTATATATTTTTGAGTTCATAGGAATCCCAAATATCAACAAAGTTGTGTATATAATTTGTCACTGTGCTATTATTTAATTTTCTAAAACAATTTGCAAAGAAGCGATAAGATTACTGCCTAAAATGATCAAAAATAAAATTCACATATAGTTGGTGCCACATTCTATGTAATAAGCGTATACTTTCCACTTAGTCCGTTGCAACGGAAATGTGAATTTTATTTTTTATCGTTTTAGGCAATAGATCTATGATTTTCTTATGGTTTCTTTTGGTTGCCTTCAAAATCATTTTTTGCGGCGTGATTGTAAAGATTTAGGCTTTGGTTGGCCCCAAATTTAGAGCTAAGGAGGACATTTAAAACATATAGAACAATGAAAAGGCGATATATATTTCTAAACAAAAGATCTCGTGTTTTTAACACAACAATATTCATATCAAATGTTCCATTGCCGAGCTTGAATTTCTAATTTCTATAAATATGCAAAAACAGAACCATATATGTCTACGTTTTTATAATGGCAAAATCGAATAAGTTAACATTACATCTTGGACCATTGCGCAAATCCCATTTGATATTTTCGTTTTAGAAATCACAAGACGTTACCATCATTCATAACATAGTTTACCACTATTTAATGTTTTGAATTGATCATATAAGTGTCATCATCATTCATAAAACGATTTGCTTCATTTCGATTACGCATTTGTTTGATTTACTTCAATTTTCAAATATCTCCAAACTAGATCTAAAATACTATATACGTGCCCATCCATTACCAAAGACAAATAAATAAACAAAATTGAATACATTTACGAGGAAATATTCATTTATAAAACTGTTCCGTCGGAATAGATTTACAATATACTATACTGTTTCCGTGAGAATATTATAATCAAATTAATCGATAATATGAAATAAAAAAAAAATCAAAATTCCAAGAGGTCAAAGAATAAATAAACGAAAGCCTGATAAGTCGAACGAATTCGTTCGGTAAAATGCGCTTGACATAAAACTCAAAAATATACTCATTCCATTATTATTGTTTGGATTTATATAGGACATAGAGAAAATATATAATATTATAATAAAGGAATCATTCCAAAAACAAAACAATGTGTTTTTTTTCTATTTTTCATGAGGTTAGCCAAAATTTAATTGCGAATAAAATATTTATTCAGGCGCAGTCGAACATGAATTATTCCATCATAAAGTGTCCACAGTGTGCAGTGCTAATCGATAATCTGAAAAACAAAACATTAAAGAGCACGACTGTCAGCCAATAACATCGCTTGATTTCATTTGAAACATGAGTAGGGGTGCACCATACACTACGTGTATGTATCGTTTTGGCCACGCCCTTTGACTTTTGCCTACGAGCACTTTTCGTTTCATCACACTTTCCACAATGTTTGAATGATTTGTGTATCGGTTATAATTCATGTCTATTTGCCATTGTCGAATCAAATTATGCCTCCATCATACATATGTACACCAAACATCGAACAAAGGTTGTGATCTAGCGCTCGACGAGTTCAATCGTGGTTACGCTCTAACTGCTTTGCAACAATTTTATTTAGTTACAATTTATCAGTCGGCGAATATTGTTCAATTTTATTTGAACGGTGATTGCATTTTATCGCGATTTTATTGAAACAAAAAATCATCTACTTAAAAAATCAAGTGAGTGAAATCGATTAGAGTATTTATTTATTTTTTAAATAAATGGGTGTTTTTAATTTTTGTGAAATAAGTTAGATCAGTGATTTTTTGCTGAAAATTTTAAATATTTTTGTGGAAAAATATTTTACAGGAACTTTTAAAGATATTTTTTTCTTTTTTTTGCACAGAATCTCGAAAGAAATGCTTCAAAAATAAACATAACATTTGCACACAAAAGATTAATACATGTTCATTTTGTCTCAATATTGCTAAAAAACCCTTGTGGAAAATTACTCACCAGTCAGAGAAATTGAACAGTGTAAACACACATGTTTGTTGTGTATTTCGCCCATTTACACTACCGTTTCACACACAGTGTGAAACGTCGAATTACCCACACTACAACAAAAATGATGTGAATTCGACATTTTACACGTCAGTGCAAATCGTCATTTTACACTTTGATTTTGCAAGTTCAGTGTGAAATGATTTTTCGTAAAAAAAAAACTATTTTTTTCAAATGATAAATTTTGTTTCATGTTTTTATTTTATTCTTAAATATTCAATGAAAGATTTTAAATATAATTTGATTTGAAATTGATGTGATTTATAGTGATATTTTGCTCTAAAGGAAGTTTACCGGTGTGTTTTGAAAATGAAAAAAATCCGTATCTCACGCTTATAGTTGCGATAATTTTTATTTGTTTTTCATCATTTAATCGATTTTGCATATTGAAAGAGCCAAAAGAAGTGATATAATTAAGTTCCAAGTGAAGTTTCTTCAATCTCAACTTATGTTTATTTGAACAACGTCTGAATGAACCGTCGCACATTTTCATACACAAAAACAACACTTTGATCATTTCGTTCTTCGCTTGAAACATAATTATATCAGACGACTAGGTAGACGACTTCAATTCAACAAAATTCAATTTCAGTCGATTGTACTCGTTGCTAACCAGTTAGTCAGTCAATTTTTTTCCACAAGGGTATCGAACACATTTTTCATCGTTTGAAAATTCGAAATTAAACTACGAATTTAAAAATTTACACGCTGATAATACGCATGTGAAATATATGAATTTTGATTGTCGGATTTTTTTTTTTTTTTTTGAAAATACCATAATTTGATATTTTTAATAACTGCATAATATCATATATAATGGTACAGACCCAAACATTATTTTCAAATTTTAGTTTTACTGCAGGAACATTGCAGAATCTGCATCCATAATTTAAGTTTTTAAATTGAAAATCAACAAAAATTATGCATTTGCAAAAAAAACTATCAGAGTAAAAAGAATCAGAAGTAGATAGTTTTATAATCATTTGGTGATTTTATTAATTTATTTTGTTGAGATAAATATGATTAGAATATCTTCCATCAAGTCATGTTGAACTTCATAAGTTTTTTGTAGTAGTTATCACACCGTTGAAAATAGAAGATACAGAACGAAGAATAATCACACATTTTCATGAGATTAAGTTCATCTTACTAGAATAGAGTAACTCAAAAAGCAAAAAAGCTTTTGTACCTTTTTTTTCAAAAATAATAGGAATTATAAATATTATCTTCTGAAAAATATGTGTTCTTTCAAATTAACATAATTTTAGCCAACAAATCAAATAAGAGCTTCCACTTGACCATTCGGTTATGCTACAAGTCAAATCCGAAAGGAGATAACTCGTTGCACGTGCACATTCACCTATGCATATGCACTTTATAAGGAGAGAAATTGTTATGCCTATAATTATATCGATATTGATGATAATTGTAGTTCAAATCATGCGATTTATATGGCACTTCCGTTTTGTAACACACGTTACCGTTTATCATAACATTTACCGTTCTCTCCAATTTCACCCCATGTTTATAGCTACTGTTTTTTTTTCTCTATAATTTTGTGTGTATTTTTTCCTGTCTGCGATTATATCAGCAATGTCTTTTTGACTTTTCTGCCGACTTTCTCTATTTATCCTATTGGAATCAAATTAATTTATAATTTGTGCATACTATAATTTATTACGGCTGTGCTTCAAGTGGGCTGATTTGAATTTTTTTCTTTTGGCTTTTGTCGCGTCAAGTTTAGAAATAAAGGACCCTTTTTTGTAAAACTTATTGTTTTCAATGTAGAAAAAAAAGTGAATGTTGGGGGAGAGTTTATGCTTATTTTACAGTGGTTTATTATAGGGAATTGATGAAATACTTTGCTCGGAAGCATTTGGTTGAGCTAAAAGAGTGCTCATTTCTAATAACATAACCCAGACTTCCATCGGAAGTCCAACATTTGCATAGTGCACATATTTCTTCGATGTTCGATGATTGATTGCCAATCAATATTGAATTTTGAAAATTTTAAATTTCAAACTGTATATCAAAATTACTTCCAATTCAGTGGACACAGGCCTATTTTAAGGCATCACCGTTTAATATTATCTTTTCGACACTGTCGACGTATTTTAAATCAGTGTCAATTCAAAAAAGGGGATTTCTGCCACTAAAAACCAAATCCTTACTATCTAAATCAATATTTTCTATATATAATAAGAAACATTGAAATAAACGTAAGGCGTGTATTTAAAAGAGCGAATAGAAAAATAACTGGTAATATGGAAAGAAGCAAATGATAAGCGACGATTTTAATTGTTATGTCAATCACGATATTATATCATTCGTTGAATTATGTATTGAAAATGACATTTGAGGTATTGAAACGATCTGAATAGCAGTTTGCCCATAAAGACCGCAATCTTTCGGTTCGATTTGTGATAAATATTAACTTCATGTTCGCGTGCCTTGCATTAATGATTGACCTGTATCGGCTGTACCTTATTGGCTTTAAAAACCCCGTATACCGTCGCAATCAATTATTAATAACCCTCTATTCATTGTGTCCAAGCAAAACCACCATGTAAATGTAAATATTTTCGACAGAAAAGTAATAATTTCATGCAGTGAAAAAAAAGAACCGTAGACAAATGACCATTTGACATATGACATGTGTTTTGTGTCTCACCATTGTACATTGTACACGCACCATAATTTGTTGATGTAAATAACATAATATGTTGCACATATAAATTCCTCGTCAATTTCGTTTATACATATTGAAGTCAGTATTTCTGCTCGATTTTCAAATGAACGAAACTCTCTCTTCAATAAAGAGTCTTTATCAAGCATAATGTGTGTATTGTGATTGAAGACAGGTTCATTGTTCGAAGTTAAGACTATAATCTTCAAAACTAAAATATCAACGTTATTAGTCGCAATGACTTAAAATTAGTTTGTGTACATGTTCCGTTTATCAAATGGCACCGAATGGAACATTTCAAATGCATATTTTATTCAACGTTCATAATCTATTCAAACTTATTCGTTGCAATTTAATGTGACAAGAAGCTTCTTCCTTCACGTACACCATTTACGGATAAATGAAATATTCAAAATACGACCACAAAATTTGCTCAATCCAACTTTCATTACCTTGAATTCCCATTTAAAAATAAATTACACATTGACAATATTTGTACACAATGTTTATCAAAACCCAAACTACCAATTTTAATAATTTACTTTTTAAACCACTGAATTTAGAACAGATTACTTCATAGGGATTGTTTACATTCTAAAACTGAATCGAACGCAACAAATATCAAATTTTTTTAGAAACGGTTTTTAATGCAATTAAAAGCAATTATACCTATTGATTGCCTAATTGCGAACCATTCCAATCAGTTATTTTATTCGAAAAAGATAGTTCCATCCAATATTGATGATAAACGTTTCACAAATTAGTATAGTATGCAATTAAAATGGTGAATGGTCGTTGAAAGTTTGTTATTTGAACTTTGAAGTCCGGAATGAAATACCAAAAAGAAAAATAATCATCGTCCAAAAATCAGCGCCGGTAAAATTATATGAAATATAACCTAAACCACTGTTTTCAATTTATCTTTCTAAAACGCCCAACATGTGCTTTAACATCGATTCAAAAATTATTTTTTTTTAATTTTTAATTCTTTTCATATGACACTCAAACATATGAATAAATTTCATGCAAATGAAAATTGAACAAATTGACGTATTGATAGATGAAAAAAAATTTGCATACGTACAAAATCAACACCATATTGTTGTACTAAATGATTCAGCAACTTCGAGATAAAAAATTAGCAGCTGCTTTTTTTTATAATTCAGTCTATTTATATTACTGTCATCACTCACAGCCTGTTCGAATTTTTTTTAGCACTGCTTTTTTTCTATACTAGTGCATTATAATATGGAAAAAAATTCAGAAAAATTGTTATTCGAATATCTTTCAAATTCTCCAAAATTTTAGACAAACGGCGAATAAAAATGTCTGAACAAAAAATAAGAGGTCCGCTACATGGTATCAACAGTCATTGCAAAGTATGTGGAGACCGAGCGAGCGGGAAGCATTATGGTGTACCTTCATGCGACGGCTGTCGTGGCTTCTTCAAACGAAGTATTCGCCGGTAACATCATCATCATCATCATCTGTTCAATGTGTGTGATCAAAATTTCAATGGTATCGTTTTGTATTTGATTCAATTTCAGTAGAAATTTGGAATACACGTGCAAGGAAGGTGGAAAATGCATAGTCGATGTATCGCGCCGGAATCAATGCCAAGCGTGTCGTTTTGCAAAGTGTATTGCAGCAAACATGCGACCTGAAGGTAAGAACGAGTACAAATTTATGTCTTACATGTTCGAAAGATGTTTCTTGGATGGAACATCTTGAATCGTCGAAACGAATGATGAAAATGTTATCTTAACACATTTTTCGTGTTGTGTAACAAAGAGTTTTGTGTCATGTTCATGCAACATTTCCGAAATCAAAAGTTCAATATTTTGTTGCCATTAAAAACCGCTTGAAATGTTGAAGCATGTAAAATGGCAAATGGATTGTGGTTATTGATACACATAATACACCAAAACCACTGCCAAAAGAGGGAACATTAAGCCATAGCTTTTCAATCTGCCGTCATCGTCCCTAATTGATTGTATTTTGTCAATATTGACTATGTCACCCTACTCCAATTATCACTTCCACATTGAGTTGAATAACAACCGAAAAGAGCCATAAGGGCTAGAGGGAGGGAGAGAGAACAGGAAAACCGTTCAACAATGATTGTGCACTTTTGAATCGTTTTATTTACTCAGATGTAGAGGTTCACGTGTGCCACTTCGACAAATTTCGGCGTTATACGACTTAGATATTTGGTGCCACTTCATCTTTTGTTACAATTTTTGGGTAGTTTTTTGTTGTTGTTGCAAGAGACAACACGACGAACACTTTGTGGTGACACACAATCAATCGTTAAGAGCAAAAGTATGTTCAACCAATTGACGCTTCATGTTCAGAAGGACTTTCTTCATCGTCTTCATTCAATTCGACAAGTGGAAACATAGCATTTTAATAGCTGCTCTTCGAATTTTGTGTTCGGTTTCCAAATGGTGTGCTCTCTTTAATTTCAAATTGCGGTGCGAATTATTTACACATGACAAACGCAAACTCAATCCCCATCGATGGCGTCATTGTTGTAATATTATCTATGGAAATGATGGCTAAATAATTGTTTAATTGTTCGATTTGTATTTACAATGTAAACATTTCGCAATGAAAATACAGTTTAGGAGGGTGCGAAAAAAATTGGTTGTTATTGTTTTTTTTTCAAGATCCAAAAATCGTAAGATAATAATAATAAAATAATGAAATATTTACTCGTGTCTATTTTTAAATAAACAAATCAGCCGTTCAGCATGAACGTGCCCCACGATCTTGTGTACCAAATTCGCATTTGGCCGGTGGACTGGGAGCGGTGCATCGTGCATTTTCACCGATACAACACATGCCATTTCCACACCATCAATACCACAATGGTTTGATACTACCGATGCCGCTTCACATGTCATCAGCATTTTCAACATTGGACTCACAATTACCGCGACATTATCCACATTTAAGTGCTTTTGACTCATTACATTTTGCCACTTCGAATGGTGGTTTACTGTCAACGTCGTTGCCACCACCACCGCCGCCGCCGCTTATTTCAGCAAATACAACATTGCAAACAAAATCGGTTTTGGACGCAAATCCGTACTTGAATCGATACGTATCGTCAAAGAATGAATCGGAACTGAGTCCACGAAGGCCAAGTCCATTTACTGTACCGTTACTGTTGAAATCGACCAAAGACATAACTGGAAAAGAGGATGAAGTTAGTAGCTCAGAGGAGATTTTGCCGGCAACAACATCATCAGTACCAATCACACAAGAAGTCATCTTTGAATCGGCCGCAAAGCTACTGTTTTTAGCTGTGCGATGGGCAAAAACCATCCCATCATTTGCTCAACTCAATGTAAATGATCAAAATTTATTGCTTGAAGAGAGTTGGGCTGAATTATTTGTTATAATGTCGGCACAATACGGATTACCAATTCAAAGTAAGCAAAAAACCATTTTTGTTTATTACATTTAAATTGATTTTTAATGATTTCGCTTAGATCTGATGATTCCGTCAAACGAAATGGTAATTCATAAATTATACAAAGCGATTCATCAAATTTTGCTCTTGCGACTGAATCACACCGAAATAGCGTGCCTAAAAACGCTAATTTTATTTCGACCGGGTAAGTTTATGTATTCGCATAAAGATATAACATAATGGGCGGAGCCTATGATGTCGTCTTCATACGTCAGTCTCGCCCACCAAACAATTGTTCATTTCAACATGTGGAAAATGTATATATATTCTGTTAAAATCGATTTGTGATATTTCCGATTAGATTGTGTTGGACTAACATCCACATACGAAATCGCCATACTACAAGACGAATCGTTGAAATTATTATCGGAATCATGTGGTGGTGGTGCTACGCGTATGGGTCATATTTTATTGACGCTACCATATATCCGTTCAGCAGCCGATCGAAAGGTTATTCAGGTAATTCTAACATTGCCACATCAATCGATGACTAAATATTAAATAAGTAATAATTCCTTTTTTAATTTCTTTTCAATATTTTCACAGGAATTGTTGTTCAAGAAAACGGTCGGCGAAGTTGCAATCGAAAAGCTTCTATGTGAATTAATACGAAATTAGATTTTTTTTACACACGCAAGTCATTTTCATACCACACAACCAAAATTAATAAGTAATTTTTCAAGTGAATACTGAATATTATTATTTTATAATCGACACGATTTTATGTAATATATGTATACCATATTAATGTTTCATTTAACGTAGAATATATTTATTAAAGAGAAACTGCATCGATTTTATGATGGGATCGAGAGTAATCGCTCAAAAAATTACCATATTATTTATTAATGCATCAGTTTTGTTCATATATGAACGCCGACATCTTTAAATGAAAAATTTCAATCAATAGAATAATGTTTTTATTCAGTTTTTTTATGACTTCATACCGCACTGAATGATGATTTTTTCATGTGCACGTTTTTCGATGTTTCAATATTTCGGTGGAAGTTAAATAGAGTTCTTGTTTACAATTTGGACAACTATAAAGTTTTGAATTGCTATTCTGCGGTTTACTATTTTGCTGATTATCTGCCATCGCACCACTTTGGTCATTCGAATCATCGATTTCTGGTTTTGGTTTACATTCTGCAAAGAATTTAAATTTAATACGGTATTATTGTCATTTTTGTTAACAAAATCGCATCTCTTGCGTACCATTCGTATGTTGAAGTTTTTGAATCCCGGTTAGATAGAAAGTTCCTCCACAATGTGTACAGTTCCATTCTGTGGTTACAATTAGATCTGCCATTTCACAGCTCCAGTCCGTTTCTCGAACACTGTTTACCATGAAAAATATTTGTTTTTTCGGTTTGTTTCTTTAAAATGTTTTGATATTTACTCACGCAGCATATAAAATGTTGTCCGTTATCTGAATCCCACCCTTTACATCATTTGGCGTGCATTCAAAGTCATCGGCAAATGGATTTGGCTTGAATTGTGACAGTAATTCGCTATAATCGTCCATTGGACCGACATATAACGTCTGTGGATTGAGAAGCATACTTAAAAGTCTCTGTTTTGTCGTCAATTTTTAAAAAAGTTTTTTTTACCTTCAAGTCGGCTGGTAGAAGTCGCTTGATTGTGTACAGAATTTCACTATTCATGAAAGTAGCCAGATTGGACCAAAGTTCATTCTCCAGTTTCTTGGATTCTACTTGACGTTTATCCGTTGCCAGCTCAGACTCCACGCTTTTTGTCATCGATTCCAGTTTATTTTCCAATAGTTTGGTCCAAGTGAGACGCAAATTTGATGCTTTGAGAAGTAAATTTTGACCACATTCCGGCTGTGGAAACTCTAATTGTAGCCATGAATCACAAATTATCCTGTAATTTAAATAAAATCATTTTCAACATAATTTCCATTTCAATTTGCGAATAAAACTTACTTGGAAAATGTTGAATTCGTGTCGATGCTGTGTGAAAATAGCAAAAGTGTTTGAGCGGCAGGCATTCGAAGCGTATTCATTAGATATGGTTTTGTTGTTTCCAACAGCGACCTGAAAAAAAAGATGAGAAGTCAAAAAATGCAATAGACAACATTTAATTCTTGAAATAGAATGGAATATTTACGTACAAGTAGCATAGCAACTGATGTCGCGAACTCAATGGTAATTTTGAACGATAAGTTCCAAATGGCTCCGCTATTTCTGGTTGTGTCAATTGTAAAATTTGTGGATTATTAGCGAAAAAGCCCATCGGATGAAGGGATGTGTACGGTTTTTTTTCGGTATGATAGAATTGCTGTCCAGGAGCCTGCATTTAAAAATATTCACACAAAATTATTGGTGATGAAAAAGGAAAGATGACACAAAGAAGAACGAGGTCTCAAAACGAATGTACCTTCAAGTGATTGATTTCATCGGAAATAGCGACTTGTGGATACAAACCACTGACTAAGATCAATTTTAAAATGATCAAATCTCTGTAACTGCACGCCGTTGCACCGCTTACTAGATCCTGTTGGTAACAAAATGAATAAAAAATAAAAAAATATGAAAATTTAATGAAAGTAAATCCGTCGACTTACATCGATTTTCGATGAATCGTTCGACAGACGAAAATCAACATCACGAATATCAACGCTTCCATCGTCTTCGTCTTCATTTTCATTCGAATACAATGTCATCTTTAATTTCCGTCGTTTTGGTGCTTCTTGCTTATGTTCACGTCGCATTTGCTTCAATTGTCGCAGTTCACCTTTCCTAATAATTCTCTCGCTGGTGCTCATTTCTGAATTATCCACACTCAAAAGGTCACTGTCTTTCAGCAGCTCTTCGAATTGTCTTCGCAATTTGGTAATTTCATAAAAACGTTGTTCCTCTAACCCTGTAATTTAAATTAAACCAACCTTATCATAGCTTCCATTTGAATTTACAATTAAATCTTACCACGACGTCGGCACCATTGTTTTGTATTCTCATTTTTTCGATTAAATTGTCCTCGCTTCAGTTCAAGCCATTCTTTGTAAGCATTTAAAACGGTTATTGGATCGCCGTGATCAGACTCAAGATCTTTGCGTGCTGTCTATAAAAAAAAAATGAAATGAAAAATGTAATTATTTTCCAATAAAGCTTAACACGCTGACTTACTTCACATTCATGGTCTCGGTAAGCGCGATTGGTAAATGGTGTTTGAACACTTAATGCGGCAGCTAGTGTTAGCACCGGTTGAACTTGTTCGAATACACAGCCCATTAACAGCATTTTTCCAATTGAAATTTCTACCGGTAATTTTGAAAGTGCTCGACCCAGCGGTGTGACTTTTTCATTTGCTGTTAGTGCATCCTAACAAAAAAACGTTTTAGGCAATTTCATTTTCACACAATACACGAACATTTATTATTCAACTTACGTGTTTTTTGAGTGAAAGAATACCGTTTTCAATTGAATCGGCGGCTGGGGGTTCGATGAATGGAAACATTCGAGCGTCGGGCAGGCCCATTGATATCATTTGCAGCAATAATGATTCTAAAGGCACTCGGTGAATTTCGGCTTGAGAATATTCTTCGAATTCATTGTAGGTTTTTTCAGCATACAAACGATAGCAAATACCAGGTCCAGTACGTCCGGCACGACCCATTCGCTTCAATTAAAAGAATAATCTTTTTAAATAAAAAAACTTGTCAGCACATTTATGGAGATATTTACCTGCTTCGCTGATGCTTTTGAAATCGAAAATTCTTTTAATCGTTGCATTTTTGTTTGCGGGTCATAACTCATTTCTTTCATTTTGCCAGAGTCTACCACAAAGCGAACGCCATCGATTGTGACGGAAGTTTCCTTTAAATTGAAAATGAATAATTTATTAGGTGTGTAAAACTAAAAATTGTATATTTTGACATACCGCAATATTCGTGCTAACAATACATTTTCTCACACCGTCTGGTGGATAGTCGAATACTTTATCTTGATCTGAAATCGATAAACTGCTGTGCAATGGTAGAATGATCCAATTTTTATTTTTTTCCGCATACTCGGTGGCGGCGTCAACAATCGTTGTTATTTCCGTTAAACCACTCATGAAAATTAATAAATCACCTTTTTCAGTACCTAAGAAAAATAAAAACATTTGTGTAAGATGAAGAGACTCGGAAATGTGTGTAAGTGCGGGTAAGTGTAATGAGTTTTTATATATATTTCTTACTTGGATATTTGCCATCGATCATTTGCATTATCTGTACGTATGGTTCGGGGCTGAGTCGATCGGCTTTACTTTGTCGTCCGCCAAAATCTTCGATCGGAGGCCGATAATGCAATTTAATGGGAAACAAGCGTCCTGTGTTTACAAAAAAAAAAAATTCAGTTTAATTCCGAAAATGCTACAACAAAAAACCTAGGGGCAGAGCAGTACTAGAATAATAATTTTTGTTTAAAGTAATTCTATGTTGTGAGTAGTAATCCATATTAATCCGCAGTAATACACACTTGTGTAAATTCTAACAGCGTGCAATGACGTTTTTTGTGTACGTTGTGTATGACATTTGCTAGGCACAAAGCGATCGCCCTATATTTCGGATGAGACATTCTATTGTTAAAAAATGGAAAATAACGAATTTAATTTAATAAATATCGAATAAATTGTTTCAATATACGACGATCACTTTATTCCTAACGAATGTAATACACAACGTACACATGAAACGTCATTGCACTGCTGTTAGAATTTACACAAGTGTCTATTACTGCGGATTAATATGGATTACTACTCACAACATAGAATTACTTTAAACAAAAATTGATATTCTAGTACTGCTCTGCCCATAGAAAAAAACGCATACCTGGCACTTCGATAACATGTACTTTTTCTTCGATAAAATAATCTGCAAATAATTTCACATTGATTGTGGCTGACATCAGTACCAATTTCAATTCGGGTCGTATTTTCAGCAAGCACTTTGTTACACCAAGCAAAAAGTCCCCGTGCAAGTGCCGCTCATGGACCTCATCCAATACAATAACATCGAATTGCGTGATAGCTGCTTCGGTCGACAATTGTCGTAACAGAAGACCTTCGGTCATGAAAATAATTTTTGTGTCTTTATTCTTGCTGCGTTCAAATCGAATTTGGTAACCAACTTCATTGGAATGTTCGCATTGCATCTCATGAGCAACCCGTTTTGATAACGAGATACATGCAATTCGTCTAGGTTGTGTGCAACAAATACTCTCATAGCCTGCTTGACGCAAATATTGTGGAATTTGCGTCGATTTACCACAACCGGTGTCTCCAGCAACCAATATGACCTGTTCACGGGCCACTGCCTCAATAATTTCGTCTTTGAATTTGGCAACGGGTAGATCTGCTTGGGTTTGACGCAGTTTTTTTAATTTCATCAATCGATCATGTTCCAAAAAATCCGAGTATTGCAGAACGATTGTTAGAAATTGTTTTACTTTGTACTTTGACAGTGGGATCTTTCGACCGTGCGAGGATAATCGCCCGTAAAGATTATCAAATGGCACTGCTAATTTAACTTTAATGCAATCGGATGGATTTTGTGGTTTCGCTGTGGTTGGTCCCGTTTGTGGATTTTTCTCAACTTTTTCAACAGTCACCGATTCATCATAAATCGGATCGGGCAATATACTTTTACCAGAATTTCGCAAAGTTGTTTCGTATTTTTGAAGAAATAGCCAAAAATCTTCAACATCTTCAATTAGTTTATCACGCGCTACATATCCGGACAATAGCTTGGATAATTCATATTTAAAGTCAAAAAATGAAAAATTCACCAAATTTGTTATTTCCTTTTGATTATCATCGGTGTGACGTTGTGGCGACAGAGATGAAGAACTTGAAGAACGCTTTTCACGCATCGGGGAATGATTTTTTTCATGACGTATCGTTGGTGACCGATAACTACTGCTGTGACCATAGTCTCTAAAGTCATTTTTGCTTTTAATTGGGATGCTCTGGTCTCTATTTTGACCTCTCTCGTAACTCTTTTCGTTTCTGTGTTCACGGTTTCTGTCTGTGTTGCTTCGACTGCGATCTTTACTTCGGCTCCTCTCTGTGCTTCTACTGCGACGACGTTCCCGACTACGTTTTCTCTTTTGATGTGACCGATCATGGTCCCTTTCTTTCTTCATTTCTTTTGATTTGTGTTTATGCTTTTTATGATCGCTCATTTTGATGCGCTCTTATGATTCTGAAATCAAAAAACAATTTGAAATTAGTGAAAAGAAGAAAACAACAATTGACATTAAAATATGACATAAGTTTAATTTATTCAACAAAACAATTTGATACATCTTTGGTTTCTTAAAACAGAGTCTATGTCCATGGTAAAAAGTTACAAAATAACACAGTTCCAATGACAAAATATCCAAGGAACCATCCTTTTATAAATTTGGTAATGCGTGAGCGTGGCTGAAGAAATGCTTTCCATGAGTTTCGTTGCATTTCCCGTTGGAAATATTGTGCACAAAGCCAATAAATGTACGGCGTTGATGAGGCAAGCATTCGTGTTGACACTTGAATATGAACGAAGAACAAACAGAAAATGCTCAAGGCAAATGCGTGAACGGTGTAAACAAATAGATTGAATTTTACAATTTGTACGTTACTCTTTGGCTGTAACAATCCAAGTCGTAGTGCAATGGTTGGATTGGCCATTATAAATTGAATCGAATGGTAAATGATCATGATCAAAATGGGCGATGCAAGTACAAAATTTGGAATTTGCTTGAACTCATAATATTTCATAAAGCCAACGTTCCAATAGTGACTTTGCAAATAAGAATATGAAAATGGTAATGGATATGAACACCAATCGGCCTTCCGTTCGCCGGCCAAAAGGTATTTTTTAACAATTCCATAATTTTTTACCGCTTCGCTCATTTCAAATGTATCATTTTCACAGTAAAGTGAATAAAAATAGGCTTGCACAACGCCAAAAGCTGCCCCAGCAACAATCGCGCACAATAAAACTTTGAGAAAACTTTTGAAGAAATGCATCCAATTTGTTTTGCCATTCGTCCAAATGTCACGCGTTACATAGTATAAAATGAAACCGAAATTCAAAAGACCATTGGATCGACAGCATATGCCAGTGGCCAGTGGTAGAACAGCAGCTCCAATTCGACCTCTCGCACAGTATAACATAACACTGAAACTTAACCAACAAAAAAGACTCTCAGAGTATGGCGCAGTGAAGAAAATCGACGCTGGATTGAAACAAAATAATGTCGTTACGATTCGGGCCATACTTCGATCATTAAATATTTCCATGGTGAGTTGATATAGAACGAGAGCGGCTTTTGTAAAAAATACTGTGTTCAATGCAATGGCAATAATCAGAGCTAAATCGCGAAATTCACAATTGGTGCCGATTATTGTTTGTCCCAAATTCGTAATGTATCGCACACAAAATGGAAAAAGTGGATAAAAAACAAGCATATTTTCGTAGGTGTATCCATGTTCGGCGACATGCAGAAAATATTCACCATCCCAGCGTCGAAAACCACTGAAACATTTTTCGACTAGTGAATGGCACGCTGATCCATTTAATGTTGGTGATTTCGGTGAAATGAATACGTTCGCATCATGATCGGGAATGAGATAATTTGAAACCAACTGAAGTAAAACGATTAAAATACGCGAAATTATCGCAAACTGGATCACAATTTTCGTGTCACCCATTTTAAATCATAATACTATTTTAAATCAAATAAGCCGATACGCACATCTTCTTCCGGAGAAAATATTTCTAAAAATATATGTAAAACGTAATACGTAATATGTAATATGTCGGTCTATTTTTAAAGTACAAAAAAAAATATTTTCAATTATTTTTACCCAAATTTCATCGGTAAATGTAAACACACTCACATTTGACACTTCAAAATCACTTTCAAATTCGAAGAAGAATCCATGCATATTCACGCACGAACCATTGTACTAAAGAAAAACACATTTTAGTACAAATCTCTGTTTCACTTGATGGCGCTGTAAGTCTGAGTACGAGTGAGTCGTACCCGAACAGAAATATAACGGACCGCGTACAGATCGAATACAGTCTAAGTCGTGCGACGGCATGGTGTTGAACAAAGTATTTTATTTGCGCTTTGACTTCATTTTAACTAGAAATTGATTTCTAGTTCTAATTACATCAATAATTGTATAATTAAACCGGATCAAATTTTTCACAACTCGAAACACATAATCATTTGTTTTCTATGAATTTCCTATTTAGAAAAATCGTTTTTTATCAAAATTCGAAGTGAAATTTTTTATTGGTTTGACGCCATTACAGCAAAACTTATAAGACGATTCTATTGGAAACAATACAGAAAATCGGTGCATCAAATCATCCAAATCGGCTGGTGATTACCAAACTATTGTCAAGACAAAAACACACTGTGAATCTTGTGCCTTTGAAAAGTCTCATGTGTGATTTTGTTTTTCAATTTGTTTGATTAACAGTTCGGACGATTATTTAAGTTGGCGTGGCCATGAATTTCGCCATCGATTAATTTAATGTGGTAAATAAGTAGATTTTCATGATATCATAACTGAAAATTTGACTATTTTGCGCACTAAAATGATTGACACCCGCAGCTGGCTTAGGTAAATCGCACAAAATCTCAAGTACAGTTATCGTAGTCAATTCGGACTGTAATCCATAAGTAGATTTTCAAACCATCGATCGAGCGAATCGCATTGGTCAAAGATAGATGCATTGAGAATACTTATTTTTTAACTTATTTTTGTGTAAAAAATTCAATAGAAACTTTTCATGCTAAAAAAAGTAAGAAAAGTGAAAAAAAAAATCATTAAAAATTTCATAGATAAATCGGAATTTAAATTTTTTTCTTTTTGAATTTATTCAATTTATTGTTTTTTGTTATTTTTGTGTACACTGTACAGTGTACACAGAGCCATTTTACTCCAAAATACGCTTAGTCATCGCGATCTAATTTTTTGTATTGTGCAATTTGTGTGCACATAACGTTAAGAACTTCTTTAGCGGTCAGTTTTTGATTTTCGTTGACCACTTTCAAAATTTGGCCACATTCAAGAACAAAATACTCCAATTCCTTTTCGTCAACTGGCGCCTTGTTTTTTTCAGCAACTGACATGCATTTATTTGTAAACTGGGTTAATTGAAGACGATCCGAACTGAATGCTTCGTCTAAGTCATACAATTCCAATGGCGGTGGTGGTAGTTCACTGAAAATCGGTGGAAATACCTGTAAAAAAATGACATTAATTACAATATTTATGGCAAATAAACAAAATAAAGCATACCGCCAATTGCAACTGTGGCAATGGAATCTCAAATTGCGGTTTTATCAGTTTCAATGGCTCGTATTTAATATTCAGTTGTTCATAGCATGAAATCACTTCTGGCAACAGGTCATTGTTGATGGAATGCAGTCTCATATCAAACATATCTTTAAAATCTGCAGGTAGATCGAAATCAATGGATTCGGGCAAACAGATTTTTGGTTGTTCAGCCATAAAAACTGTATCCGGTATCAATGTATTATCACTTAGATCGATATCAGCAAAATCATACGAAGAAAATTTGTGATTCGGATCAATCATGAGTTTGATCAGATATTCCCAAATCGCCATGTTTGTTTCTTCACTAATGTACTTGTCCTCAAACATATATCCCGATCCGATGGCCAATATTTTGCCATTTTTGTCGTTGCAGTGGTATCCGGCTATTGGTCGATTGAAAGGGTAAACGGCGGACCCTGTGGTCATGAGTATATTAGCAGGCGCTCGAACATTAAGCGTCGCTCCGTATGGATACACAAATTGAATTTTCAATTTTTCATCGGTGAATTCATACGGAATGGTTGTAATATTTTGATCCAATATCGCACGGCACATTGCAGAGCAAACAACTCCGCCGGAGACCATACTTTCTTTCGGATGGAAATACTTGCAGTAGTGAGCTCTTACCTAAGGAAAGAATCACAAAAGAATTGAAATAATCGAAATATTTGAAACATATAAGGAAAATGAAATTGCAAAATAAAGTGAATTCGTATTTAGTTTAAGAGCAAAGCAATGACCACACATTTGCAACAATATTGTTTGGATTTGAGATTTTTTCGTATGTCCGTTCGCCATGTTGTCGATGTGACGTTGTTGATTATTATTTCTTTTATATGTGTGTGGTCAAGCTATAGTTTCTTTACTCACTCATTCACCCCCCGACAGTGAACTCTTACCGTTGAATCTGGAAGATAAAAATAATTACACAAACATATTGGCAAATTTAGATGGACATTTTTCATCATACCATTGTTAACACTCATTCCATAATCTTCAAGTAAAAAATTCAAATTAGTATTAAATTCGGCTTCACCGCCCTCACCAAGCAAAATCATTACGGCGCCACCATTATCAATGTATTCCTATAGAGATATTAAATTCTCATTTCTTGTGAGCAAGCATTAAAAATTTACGCAGTATATACCTTTAAATGTTTAAATTCATCCTCTGTGAATTTGTCATGTGTTCCAGCCAGTACAAACAATTTCACCTGATTGAATACTTCGGGGCTGATCTCGCTATGATTTCTAAAGGGCATTTAATGAAGAGATTAAAAAACCAAAATAGATAGAAAATAATAAGAATCATTGTAGATTCAATCTTATCAACCATTTAGACTTACACTTCAACGCTGTACTGCAGTTTCAATTTACGATGAATTGTTTTATAGTTTTCGTTCAATTGAAAAATTTCATTTTTCGACACATTGAATTTTATTAAATTATTTTTCTCAATCATTTTGTTTATTTTGATTTTTATTTGAAAAAATAAAATAAAGACTCCACTAATCAAAAGCCGACGTGGTAAACTATTGTTGTAGTTTACGGTAGTCATGGAAACGATATCGCAAATGCCTTGAATTAAACATATTCAATCAATTTGAATATTTTCGATAGGTGTCGTTAGTGGACAAATCAAAACAACGCAACAATTTTTAAATGTTTAATACACATTTATTCAATAAAAGATTTTTCAAAAGATAATATCTAAAATACTGCGTTTTATATAGCGGCCGACAATTTTATCTCCTAAAAATATCTTATGCGTGAATCCATTATTGCTGGATCCACTTTTTTCTTCGGTTTAATTGACAAAAATATGTTTTCATTGGAACTTTTCAATGGACACTTCAAAAATTTGAATTTAAACACATTTATTAAAAAAATATATAGGACAAGCTCAAATCAATTTTGATTCAAATATGCTTGAAATGCGATTGTTTCATTAAATCTGAATATTGTTTTTATATGAGATTCTTTGTATTCAATTTTATTTTAAATAGCTGCATGTATCAGCCCTGGCCTGCAATTATTGCAATCACAACATCTTTTTAACTAAATCCCAACTATGATTCTCTCCTGCGTCACATAATCCCAATTGAACCACAGCACCCGATATCGGTTGTTTGACATACAAACATGTTCCGGCGGCCAAATTATAAATTGGTGTTTGATTCGAGTTACCATGCTTCCACGATTGCTCACTTCCCATTTCGTTGCATTTGTTTATGACTGGCGGTGATGAGCTTGATGCACTCGCTGCTTCTAGACACAGAAGTTGTCCCAGCACCAATTCATGTTTATCGGTTTCGTACCTGAGGTGAATAACAAACATTTGCTTAGTTGGCATTTCTTTTTAAAATTCGAAATAAAAAACAAAATCAAACTCACCAAACTTGACTTTTAACACGTAGACACGGTGAAAGTATGACGTTGGTATTTCGTTTCCAAAAACCATTTTCTTTCTCTCCATTTGCCGATATACAGAGACTGCTGTTGGTCAATCGGATCATGTAGTTGTCGGTGTAGTTTCGCTTTCTGAATGAAATTTTTGCAAAATAAATGGATTTTTATATTTTCTCTCTATTTTCAGCGATTGTCTATCTTAAATACCTGGAGTGCCATGGTTGATAAACTGCTTTTTCCAATGAATTTATTTTCTTTGTATCGCCAGGAATTGGAAGTTGTGGATAGACATTTTGTAAATACCAACTGAATGGTTTACAGTTCAATCGCTTTCGCAGTGCAATTCGGTCACTAACATCACCATAATCGACTTTTCGAGCGGAGTTTTGTTGTTGCAAGAAATAATCCTGAAAATATATTGAACAAATTAAATCAGCATCGTTGTTGATCGAAATCTTTTCCAGGCGGACACTTACAATGAAATCATCCATCCAGACATGTGCCATACGAAGTGAGTTGCGTACCATTGTGTCGGTGCCATCGGTTCCGCTATACGGTCTACGCTTTCTAAACACATGACCTATGCGTGAACAAGGAATTATCTCGAGAGATCCTCCGCACTGCCATGTTCTGAATGAAATCTCTAGATTTTGAAAAAAAAAATTGTTCGTTCACTTTCGAAAAAATATTGTACAGGAAAGTACACATCTTGTAGGTATTTATTAATGTGACAAAAGTTTAAATACTGACCCAGATTTTCTGCTCCCCAGACGTCCATACTGATTAAAAGACAAAAAAAAATAGAATGCAAAATAAAAAATGGTGAATCGATCACTTACCCCAAATCATATTCGCCAATTTCAGTGAAATAAGATCGATTAATTGCAAAAAGACCTCCAGCCATTGTGGGAGTCTTAAATGGTCCAAGAAAATCGGCATCTTTAACTAAAGTGCCATCTGGTAAGTTGTCCCACTTAAAATGCAACCCCCAATTGAACCCTCCACGCACCTGGACTTAAAAATTTCAGTTAATAAATTTGAGTTAATTGGATTTAATAATTTAACTGGATTTGAGTCCCCCACGCACCAATGGACTAGGTGTATAAGCGAATGTATCGGGATTGATGATATCAATCACTGGAATTGCGATCACTTTACGGTCGTCTTTGATACGATTTAGCAATGGTTCAACATAACCGATATTAGCTTCAATGTGACTGTCCAGGAAAAGTAAAACTTCTCCTTTTGCCTTACGAGCGCCCATCACTCTCGAACGAATGAGCCCCTCTCGTTTTTCATTTCGGATGATACGAATTTTGTCAGCGTTCAACACTTCAATTTCACTTTCTAGTTTGGCTTTTAGATCTTCCAAATCGCTAAAATCGTCGACTAAAATGATTTCCATCAGTAAATGGGATGGCGTACGATCCAATACAGACTTTATGGATCGCAATAACGTTACAATGTGTTCATTGTAGAAACAAATCACAATCGATACCGTTGGAAGATCTTTGATTGGATAATTTTCATGAGCGCATAGCTTATTTCGTGTATCCGGAATTTTTCGTGTTAAGCCAATTTTCGAGCTGACTAAAATGTTGAATGCATGACGTTTGTATCCAATATCGCGCATATATTGTTCTTCGGCATTTTTCACCATGCCAAATTCATCTGAAACTAAAATTACGATTTAAAAATGGCCCAAATGAAACGGATGATAATATATTATTACCGGAATCTCCGTTTACTTCAATTGGTTTCAGTTCATCTCTCAATTGTTGACTGATTTTTCGAAATTTCTTTTCCTTTTTGTACTTTTTGTAAAGATTGTCTTTTTTCTCTTGGATTTGCTGCTGTTTTTCATCGTCGACCAATTGATTTGGTGCATTGTTATGTTTTAATACTGCATATTGTTGTGCATCTTGATTGGGCGACCAGGAGATTTTATTTGACAAAACATCTGAATCAACATTTTTTGTTAGCAACCAATACATATACAAGCTGAAACACCAAGTTGTTGATGCAACAATTATACCATACAAAAACGACCGATTCATTTTGATGTATTTCATCGGACGTTCAAAGTAGCCGAGCACATTTATTTCATTGCTTAAAACTAAATGATAAAAAAATGGAATTGATTTGTTTGAACAAAATAATAATTCAACCGAACAAAGAACAACAACGAATAAAACACGGAAGCACCAATTGACTGTGTCTATTATCGATGATATCGTTAAACAACTGAGCTGTCACAGTATGTCAGTGCCAGTGTGTACGAACGGTGTTATTTTTAGTACACAGACTTCGTGTTCACCATACCATTGAGTCACAATTACGTATGTATTGTGGTATTTGTGACTGTTGTAAAGTGACAGTTTGCATCACTTTTTTTTCAGCATTTTCACTGATATAAGCTGAGCAAAGCAAGCTCTTTTGCATCTATTTAGCAAATTGATTTTATTATTTGCACTGTGATTCTATACAAATATTTAAACTATTTAAAAACCATTTAAAAATTTAACGACTGCTAAGTCTAGGCAACTAAGAGACATTGTTTTTAAGAATCGTACATTATTTTAAAAGAGTTTAATTTGTACACAATTAAATCGGCGTCTTAAATAAAACAGTTGAATTATACCCGTGGCGCTTGTCGAGCGACACACAATCAGACCGAAAATATGGGAGTCCCGAAATTCTTTCGCTATATCAGCGAACGCTATCCCAATTTAAGTGAATTAGTGGGATCAGCTGAGGTAATTTCACAATTGTGCAAAATATTTGATTTGATTTCACATTGTGAAATTCACAATGACCTCGTGGTATTGAGGAATTTAGCGCGCATAAAAATGTTTTTTTTTTCGTCAGCAACAACTTCTGATTTGATAATAAAAATTTGATGATTGTTTCTTTTCATAATGTAGCTACCACAATTTGATAACATGTATTTGGATATGAATGGAATTATTCACGTTTGCTCGCATCCGGACGATTCAAATGTTCATTTTCGCATGAGTGAAGAACAAATGTTTCGTGATATTTTGCACTACATTGATACATTATTCCACATGATTCAACCGCGTAAATTATTTTTCATGGCTGTTGATGGCGTTGCTCCACGTGCTAAAATGAATCAACAACGTAGCAGAAGGTTCTGTTCAGAATATTTTTTACACCGAATTTTTATTCTCATGAAATGATAGCACTTATCTAAATTTTATATCAACATTTGGTGATTAAAACAGATTCCAATCAGCCCGAACTGCTTTGGAGTTGATTGAAAAGGCAAAGAAGGCAAATGAAAAGCTACCCGAAGAGAGTCGATTCGATAGCAACTGCATTACACCGGGAACTATATTTATGGAAAGACTTCAACAGGCTTTCAAGCATTTTGTTAAGCTAAAATTATCCACCGATCCAGCATGGCAACATTGTCGCGTTATTTTAAGCGGACACGAGGTACTGTAATGCTCTGTCAACTGTCAATATTTTTATCATTTTTTTTAATTGCACAATTTATTTGGCGTGGAAAAAAAAAAAAAAAAAAAAACAAAAAAAGTTCAGAGATAAAGTCTAATGATGGAGTTGCTAATTTTTGTTTACTGTCAAGTCTGCAATTACTGAAAAAAAAGTACACAGTCAACACATAATAAGAAAAATGCAACGCTGTTTATTTATTTTCTTTAAATAAAAAGTCAACAAAAAGCAAAAACATTTTTTTTGCACAGTTGTTTCTTCATGAGCATGGCGAATTTGAATTGCATCAATTTTATTTTATTTTTATAGACGCCGGGCGAAGGCGAGCATAAAATCATGGAATACATTCGGTATTTGAAAGCACAATCCAGCTATGACCCAAACACACGTCACTGCTTATATGGATTGGATGCCGATTTGATAATGTTGGGTTTGTGTACACATGAACCCAATTTTGCGTTGTTGCGCGAAGAAGTGAGTCTGTCTTTTTTTATATTTATATTGACTGTTCTTTTTTGTACTTGTGACGTTCAATATAATGTAAAAAACAAAAACAAAACGAAATGATACGATGCGATGATCAATTTCAGGTTAAATTTGATAAGAATGCAAAGCGTGCACCATCCGTTGACGAAACAAAGTTTTATTTACTGCACTTGGGATTACTCAGAGAATATTTGGAACTGGAATTTATCGAATTGAAACCTGCATTATCATTTGAATATGATTTAGAGAAAATTATCGACGATTGGATTTTCATGTGTTTTATGGTTGGCAATGATTTTTTGCCACACTTGCCAAATTTACATATCAACTCCAATGCTTTGCCAATCCTATACAAAGTGTACAAAACAGTATTGCCACAACTTGACGGTTAGTAGAGAAATGGTTATGGTTCAGGCATCATTCATAAAATCATTCATGATTATTTTGAAATTTATACAGGATACATGAATGAAGTGGGTAAACTGAACTTGAAGCGATTCGAAGTGTTTATGGGTGCAATGAGCGATATTGATCGCGACCTATTCCGTGAAAGATATGAAGACCTCCAGTATATGGAGTCAAAGCGTAATGACGCCGAAACATTTGGTACCGCGACGGAAGAAATAACTGCCGAGACAAAGACTGATTTGGACGAACTGATTAGACAAACCGTATGCAACCTCTTTATTCTATTTAAAAAAAAAGCATTTGATTTTGAAATATTTGCCAATTTTTCTCTGTCAAATAGAATTTGGACTTTGGTTCGGGTACAAGTAGCTCGGATGATAGCGGTGACAGTGACAGTGAAGGTGAATTCATGTTTGATGGGCAAGAGCGGGAGGAAGTTTTTAAAGGTTGTGAAGAAGAAGACGAACTTTCCGATGACGAACTCTTCGAAAAAGAATTTAAATTGCACAAACGCGATTATTACATAAACAAATTAAAGTATCCGGAAATGACCGAGTAAGACAGATTTAAACATTGAATTGCCGAAACATTCCGTTTGATTTTGTGTATTTGATTTGAAAATAGGGAAGTATTGGCCGAACAAACAAAGTGTTATATCACAGCATTGCAATGGACTTTAGGTTATTATTATCGTGGTGTATGCTCTTGGTCATGGTATTATCCGCATCATTATGCTCCGTACATATCGGACATTTCAAATTTTGCGCACCTCAATTTGGATTTTGCATTGGGTAAACCATTTTTACCATTCGAGCAATTGTTATCCGTCTTGCCGGCCGCCAGTAAAGAGTTATTGCCAAAGGTGTACCACAGCTTAATGACCGATCCGAATAGCAAGATTATCGATTATTATCCCGTTGACTTTGAAACGGATTTGAATGGCAAGAAACAAGAATGGGAAGCACTAGTTTTAATTCCATTTATCAATGAGATGCGATTGATGGATGCTATGAATGATTGTAATGACAAACTAAGCGAACATGAACGTATTCGTAATTCACACGGGCCAATGCTACAGTATGATTACTGTGCAACTAATCAAGGCTCGCAGCCGGAATGCTTGGGTCAACAAATGATTGGTCACGTTTTTTGCAAAGAAACAAAAATCGATCGATCCGAAATAATTGTACCTGAAGATAAACTAGTGTTAGGACCATGTCCACGCGCCCAAAAAGATGTTTACTTCCCCGGTTTTCCAACAATGAGACATTTGAAACATTCGGTATGTTCAAAATTAGTTATGCCAAACATGTCAGCCGAATTTCGGAAAAAAATGTTTTTTTACTTAAAAACAAATTTTTCTTTTAAATCACAGGGAAAACTGGAAACAAAACGTGTCAAAGTATTCCATCAGCCAACGCGTAATGAATCGATGATCATAAAAATTGACGAAAAACCACCACATGTCGATATTCAAACATTGGCCCAACAGTTCATTGACAAGGAAATTTATGTGGGTTGGCCACACCTGAGGGAAGCAAAGGTATGCGGTGTAAGTGATGCCAACACCAAAATTGAAAAGACAGGAATTGAAGTATTTGATGGTAAAAATGGCAACCCCAATTCGAATAGCGAATTTAAATTACTGGTCAAACATGTTAAAGACCAGTACGTATACAATTTTGAATAATTTCTTTAGAAAAAAAACCAACAAAATAACGGTTTCTTAAATCTCTTTTCATTGTGCAGTCACTTGACGCGGCTCGGCGTCGATTTGGGTGAAACAGACCAATTGTTACACGTCTATCCGTTGCTAAATCGTGAATATCTAAATACGGGCGATGGCAAACTAACTCTATCGAAAAATTGGTCAAAAATTCCATTGGCCATAGCTCCAATATCGGTTGTACAAAATGTAGTTGTATTTGCAAAGGATTTAGAGAATTTTAAGCGTGTTGAAGACGTATTCACTAAAAATTCGACCGTTTTCTTAATGAACAAAGGCTATTATGGATGCCAATCGACAATTCTTGATGAACATTTCTACAATGGTCGCATAAAACGTATGTATTTGTATGCAAAACTGAGAGTTCAAAGCATTTGACTTTTATTTGCTGTTCGCATTACAGTGACAACTACGGCACATCCGGTGCCCGATTTCACCACAGCCAAACAATTGTATGAGCATGAATTGCATGGATATGTTAATGCATGGATAGCCGGTTCCCAAAGTGGTGTATCGTCGCACTTATTCAATCGAATCACTGGTATCGTTTTCATTTACTATGGAGAGCGTCGCTATCCAGTTTCAGACAATGACAAGAAGATCAATGTTGGACTTCAATTTAAACATTTTAAACAGGTAAACTCTCTTCGGGCATTTTGAAAAATATGGACGTTTTATTCATATCAATTGATTTTCAGAATGAAGAGGTTCCCGGCTATACAAAAAGCTTCAACAATCAATGGCTCTACTCACAAGAAACAATCAATGTGGTTCAATCATATGCCATGAAATTTCCACAGCTATTTCAATTGATGAATAAACAGGGAAAAGCACAATCCGATCCAATATTTGAGTCCGATTTAAATGCTGACAAAAAGGTGAATTTTAAAAGTGACAATTTTGGATTCGATGTACAGATCAATGTTTTAATGTGTCGCTTGTTTTGCTCAACAGGAGGACGAGGAGAATGTTCTGAAACAAATTCAACAATGGCTCAAAGGTTTACCGTGCAGAACAATTGCACGACAACCATGTGGCACTCAATGCCTCTCACGACAAGCAATCGATCAAGTTGCAAAGATTATTGACAATCTACGGGTAAAATCGATTTTGACTGTCTTAAATCCGAACGGTGTGATAATAATCATTTCCAATTTCAGAATGAACCAATTCGAAAAGTTAGTCTACAAGTAAAACCGCATCTTTTATACAAGCCAAATTTGAACGATATAAAAGTGTTGCCAGATCCATCGGCCACATTTGAACTATTCGATCGCGTTGTCATAGCCAGAGATCAATATTCGGTGCCATTGGGCTTGCGTGGAACAATCATATCGATATTGCCACGAAATGACCCAAATCCAATTCGACAAGAGAATATCAATGTTGTCGATTACATTTATGAAATATTGTTCGATGAACCATTCGAACTGGGCACATCAATTCCTGACATCGCCGAAAAACGCGTATTCAAAGTACGCAAATCGGTATTGATTAATATTACTCATGGTGCAGGTGAGTAAAAATTACTTTTTTTCTCGAATTTCCATTTCTTTAAAGATGAAAAATAAAAATCAATATATTTTACTTTCATTCAGGTCGTCCGATCAAAGAGCAACGATCATTTGGAATGACTCAACGCCAAAAGAATGGTGCAGTCAATGAGCCATTACCTCCGCAAAATGCATGGCGAGTGAAACCGTTTGAACCAAGGTTTGAACGCAAAGAAGTGCTCGCAAAAGACGTGCTGGTAAAACCAAGTGAGCCACCAAAATCGTGGCGAGTGCCCGATAATAAAGCACTTGAACGCAAAGAAAATGACGTCACACCTGTAAATGTAAATCCCGTCGAACCACCGACAGCCGAATTTGAATTGATTAATTTGGCTGACAAAGTAAATGCAAGGGAACGTCAAATGCGAACCATTTCCACAGAAGAAGATGTGCTCAAAAAAATGCTTGGCTTAAGTCAAAATAAATCCCTTGCCGAAAGTCAGCCAAACGGTAACGGTAACATTAATAACGATATGCATCGTATCGATTTGAATGCACTGTTTGGTAAAGCAGAGAAGAATGCAACCGATTTGGGTAATGGTCAATTGCCATTGCCATTGCCGACGCTTTCTAATCTTCCAAAGCCACCGGCATCCTGGCATCAAAAGTCGAAAAATAATGAAACGAACAATGCTTCACAGCAATTTTTGTCGCAATTACAACAACCATCACAACAGCATCCACTATACGCGCCAAATGTGCCAATGAATATCCCACCACCACAAATGCATCACCAGCCATTTTTCCCACCGCATATGTTACCTCCAACGAATATGATGCCATATGGTCATGAGATGTTTACGCATGGAATTCCACCGCCACCGCATGTACCACCGCATGTGCCACCGTACATGTATCGGCCTCCAATGTACATGCAAGCACCGAATTATCCGATGCATCAGATGATGCCAGTTATTCCAGGGCCACAACCATTCAATCATCAACAAATCCGAATGTCAGCTCATTACGATGCATCCCATTACGATGCATCACATCGACAAATGAATGAACCGACAACCATTAAGCATAATTCACCCGAAGGTCCACAAAAATTAAAACCAAAAAATGGCACCAGCAGTGCTTTCATTCCACTACAGGCTGCCAGAAAGGGGATTAAGGGAAAATCCAACGCAAACACTGACTTGGCAGCGAAACAGGATACAAATTTAGATAAATCGACAGAAGAAGATAAAAATGTACAGGTAAATGAAGAGAGAATTCATTCAAAGTTTATCAAATTTTGATTCGTGTGTTTGTCTTTTTTTCCCCACAGAGTCCAGAAGTAGAAATACTCAAAAACAATGGCACACCAGCAAAAGCGGTGCCACAAATCAAACAAAAATCCGAAACTAAAAATAAAGAAAACAAAAAGGATGCATCCAATTTTAAGCCGCCACCAAAGCGATTGGCTTGTAACTTTTCGGTTACAAATAATTAAACAGAAAATCAAAATGTTCAAATTGTACGATAAACTGTACATTTCAAAAATTCAAGGAAAAGAAAACAGAACGAATAGGGTCAACAATAAAAGCAGTGACGTTTTTTGCCATTTATTTGGCAGAAAAACAAAAGAACACAATTGTAGTTTACTTTTCATTTCATTTCGTGTGTGTCGTCAACTTGTCGGTTCAAACGTCATGCGTGACTTGAGGTCACCCAGCATCATGAGATACTAAAGCATCATTAGCCTTAATATATTTGAATATAAATGCACTCATTTTTACTTTCGTTTTTGAATCTAAATTTATTTATTTATTTTTTTACAAATGAACAACTAAGTTGATTGATGAATTCCGATGAATTCTTTTCAGTGAGACAAAACGTGTTTTCCCTTCAAAATACGTCGCATGATAATCAGTCGTCCACCTCTCGTTTTCATTCGTTGATGGAAACCGTGTAACATCAATCTCTTATTTTCTCGCGGCTTAGGAAAATGATTTCGAATATTTGTTCGCACGGAAATTAAACTCCATGCACCACCAGCTGTTGGTTGCATCGATGTTCCCTGAGCCAATGAGTGGAATCGTGCAATTGATTCCATTGGCGATGCAAATACACTGCAAATTAGAAAAAAATGTTCAATTGTATTTACAAAATGTTCGTTGCCAATTCCAAATACTTACCGCACTGTTGAAAACAGCTTTGACACAAAATTCAATGCCATTCTGAATTTTGAAGAAATCGCTCGGCAAAAATAATGTTATCAACACAAAATGTTAGATTTTGAGGTTATGTGGAATGAATGACATTTGTGAATTGACAACACAAGGTACCACCAAAAAAAAATTATTAGAACCAACAGGGCATGTGTACAGCGGGCGATTGTTCGATTTTGAATTTTTTTTTGTATAAATGTCGAACGGTATCAAATGACGAACACGGAACTTTTGTTTTTATTTCAATATGAACTATTGCTTAAAGTAATATGAACTTATGTACTTCCTCTTCGATTCATTACATGTACTTTAATAAATAATCAAATTATTTAATCAAAAACACTACTTCGTTTAAACGTATAAATTTTTACACTTTTTTTCTAATTCCATGTTAAATAACACAATAATAACAATACAATAACAAATGATTCGAAATCACTTTCATTACTTAATAAATTTATATGAAAAACGGTTCATAAAGTTGGTGCACAAAAGAAGTTTCACTTTCATACATCATCTTATGGCTGTGAGATGAAAAGAAAATCATTGACATTCACATATTTTTAATTCGTTTGTATTCGTTTAATAATTTTCCAATGCATTAAAAAAAATCTATGCAAACATGGAACGATTATCATGTTAACAGTGCGGATCAGCGGCAAGCAGAACAATAACTAATTATGATAACTGGTTTCTCGTAGCATCTGAGGCCGTGCATAACAATCGAAAACGGCCACTTCACAATATACCATACAATATCGCCCTGTTTCATTCATTAATGAATGAATGACTTTCACTCGAACAGTCAACAATGCCCCAAACCGTTATTGTCACATAAACCGACGATGATGATGTTTTTATAAGTTTCGTGCGTTTACCTATAATGAGCAATGCTCACGTATGTACGCACACACATACATTCACATGCAGACCGAACCAATTAAAAGAAAACCATTTCTTCGGATTCTCTTTTTTTTATCTGTTTTGTTCGCAAAGTATTTCGCATTTTGCAAGTCACAAAAACCATGAAGTGGTGGTAAAATGCTGACGACAGTGTGTGACTTATCACAGATGTGTCAATACAATATATATATTTTTTCCAAAAGAAAGCCACCTGAGTACTGTGTTACTTCATTATATTTTATTCGGTTTTGCGTGAAGCAATTGAACAGTTTTGTGCGCGGAATTTGACTCGAGCAAAAAAATAGTTTTTATCAAAAAATTTTGCATAGCATTCTTAAAGACGTAATATAATAGTGATTATGAAGCAATTTAATAAAATGTTATTTCATCCAAGCAAATCGTTTAAATTCGATTTGATTTGGAAGATAGTGTTGATTTGTTCAATTTTTATCACACCTGCTCATTTATTTCCACGACCTGAAAATGTTCAATTAAAAAATCAATCGGAAGCAAGTACGATACCAATTACATTGAAACCAATTACAGATTTAGAAACCTTGAACTCGAAATCAATCAGTGTCAATGTGCAGAACGATGTGGAAAAACCGGTATTAAATAGCACCGCTGCGAGTAATATAGAAAGTGAAAATAGTGTAACAAATGCATCAAATGGTTCAAAATCATCACGTCAGCTTACAATTCCATTTATGGCTGTTCCAACCAATTGGGTGGCCACTTTTGAACCGTCAAATGCAGTGATACTCACGCAAAATATGCCGCTACGCATTTGGGCCATTGGTTCTGTATCGAAATTTCCATCGTTTTTGGAACGTTTTATTCAACGTGTTCAAAGCTATTATTCAACCTATAAATATCACGATCTGAGTAGGCCAGCATCTTTGGCCATTATCAATCCGCAATACCATTTACAAGATACCAGTGGAAATACCCAAATCGAATCGATTGATCATGATTTGGTGGAAGAGGACACTGAACTACCTAATATCGACTATTATGATACAACAACCGATATAAATGGAGGTAATGATGACAACGACGATAACGACGACGACAGCGATGATGATGATATCGATGAAACCACCGAATCGTACACAAATTATCAATCCGATGAAACAGCAACAACATATTATAATTAAGTCATACACTCATTCTCATCAATATTTATTACTCATATCATAATATATTTTAAGCGACAAAAAAAAATGAAAATTGATTAAAATTTTCTCATCGTGATAAAATAAAACTCAAAACTCTATTCAATTTAAATTTACTTTTCATTTTCGGGAAATGTTTTTTTCTTTTCACATCAAATTATTTATTATTATTTAAAATGATTATTATTATAAGTTTTAAACATCATCGTTAATAAACTATTTTATGTTTCCAAAAAAAATGTGTGTGTCGAATAAGTTTTTAATTCACGTTTTTTTCGTTTGCATGCCCATTGCTTGTTATAGATGGAATTTCCGTGCTTGATTCAATACTCCTTGGGTCTTTTTGCTGGTTGACAAGCCTAACTCTTGGAAATGTGATCGAATTGCTTGCAATGTATTTGGGAAATATGGGTGGCCGTGCAAAAAGATCGGGTTGGGGAAAGTAATAATTGAAATCGGGTGCCGGAGGCAAAATATATTGATATGGTTTCGATGGTTTTCGATCAATTTGATTTTTGTCCGTTGATTCTTTTTGGTCTTGCTCACCATCCGGGTGCTTTGTATCGATACCAGGAGGAATTACAGCACGAAGTGAACCACCACCGCCGCCAGAAAAGCAATTAAATACATTGGCCCAACTAAAAGAGTCTCCTTCTCCACCTTCTTCACCTTCTCTTGGCACCACCAATTGATATTGTGGATATAACAACACGTATTGTTCAGATCTGAGGAGCGAAAAGTTTGGAAAATATTAACAAAAATATGAATGACACGTCTTTGATGTGTCAAAAATTTACGGTTTTATTGATTGAAATTGTCGTTGTGGCGTATAATAGAGCGGACCCTGGATGAATTGTGGTGCACCGAATGTTGACGCAACGCTGAACAATGCTACTAAATAATGTATTTGCCACATTTTCACTTGAAAAAAGTGCACGGAACCGGATGACACAATAGCAAGAACAAAACTGATCTCATCGCAACAAATTCTACTCTTTATAACGTCGCATTTTTTCAGAGAAATCGATTTTTTTTTTGGTTTAATGGATTTAAATAATAAAATTACAAAATCATAGTCCAATTGATCGCTTTAGGTGGTAAAGGCATGGCATTTTATGGTTTTCGTCCATTATTTCTCTTTATTCGTATTTGAATCAAAACCAATTGGAATCACAATATGATTCAATGGAAACTTCCTTTAACTTTACCTATTTTTAGTCCTCTTTGCACAACTTTCTGCATATTGAACCACTCTTAAATGTAAATATTATCAGCCGATCAGCCGGTGTATTGTTTTAATTGACACATTTACGTTGAACAAAAATACACAAACTGGATGCATAAATTTTGAGCTTAATACTGAATATTACCAATTAGTTGAGATTCTGTGTTCATACATGATTATATTATACTTGCAACGAAGTCATAATAAACATTCAAATATTTGAAGCAAACCATGTTCTGTGACTTGAATTACGGAAAATATATATGAAATGTATTATGGGTTATTTTCGTTTAAAGTTTTGAACGCCATATAGTATTTAAATACATGTTCAATCAACTGAAATGAAAATAAAATTATCTAAAGTAATCTTTATGGTGTACTCTTAGAGTCTTGTATTTACTGTTGTAAATGTTTCCAAATTCAAGTTACAGAGATGCCATCCATGGAACGAGATTAATCTGTTCATATTGATATTCATGAGAAGAATATACTTTTGTGTGTCAACTGAAAGTTTCCACCAATCTGATTCGTACAAGCTATCGGCCATCTCTTGATAGCTTTCCGTTGCCACTGTACCAAAGTGACAGTATAAAAAAAGATTCAATGAACTTACAAGAGTTGCCGATAAAATGGTTATAATATTTTTATCGATATGCTTAACTTGCTAAAATATAGAAAAAAAAAATGTTTCAAAAACTGAAAAAAAAGAGAAAAAATATTACTCTCTACCAAATCCAGTTGAAAAAGAATGCAAGACAGGAATAACATGCTCGAAGCCAATTGAATAAGAACTACATGACTGTAAACTTCTGCTGACTCTAAGAACCAACTGAAAAATGAACAAATCACTAAACTTGTTTTTGATCTTTTTTTCGAATGCACTCACCTTTTCACTGAAATATGAAAACGAATCAAGTTGCAAAGTAGCTTTTTGTGATTTTGTGTGTTATCGCGAATGTCCAACTTGTTCAATGCATTTTGATACATTTTACAAAAAGCACGGTGATGGGAACACATTGATATAAATAGTAAAAGTAGTGCCCCATTATCGATCTGGTATGCTTCAATACATGTCAATGAAACACATAATTCGCCAATATATCCAAGTGGAGTTTCCTGCGCCCATGGTAAACTTAAAATGGATTGTTTTTTTATATTCAATTTTCTTTTTTTTACAGAAATGCACTTGACTCACGTAAATTTATTTGGACGATATATAAAATTCGAATCAAAATATCCTTTTGTCATGTAACAAAATGTAGACGAAACGGTCGACATTACAAAAATGTATGTAAAAAACCCGCCCATGCAGAATTTAGAGTAAAATTTCCACATCCGTTCACTTTGTCTGTTCATTTGGGGTAAAAGTATGAATTCGAAAGTTTCCCCATTTTTGACTGAATCCAAAGGGAATTTTTATTATTTTCAAGTTTGTCATATATTTTTCGAAAAATATACCTGAGTCATAAATTTGATGCAATGTGTAAAAAATCGCATAGAATCCACGGCGTGAAAAAATTGTCATTACGATTGTATATAAAATACCAGCAGCAGCGAAGACTTGAGAAACGGCAAAAAGAGCAGTTTCGAAATCCGATTGGTAATATTTGAAAAAGTAAGCGACACTTGCAATCAAACTGACAAGAATCCCCGAAAATACGATAAAACTGAACACAATATACATAAATTGTTTCGATTTGGAAGTCGTTTCATTGGCTGGATGGACACAAAGCCACATCAGAACACGACGATTCGTTTCTAAAGGTGTCATTTTTTATATGATTTTGAATAAAATGAACAAAAATTTTATATCGTCAAATGTAATCAGATCTAATAATTTCTGAGGAAGATTCGCTCAAAAAATTTGAAATCACCACATTTCACAACTGGAACCGAATCAAAACTGGACTTTATTTTCATTTCTTACAGAACTGTTGAGCTATCGATAAAGTTTTTCACTTTGAAGTTTCCGATTGGAACTATTTAATATATCTTCCCAGGACAATTTTAAAGTTTGCTTAGATCAAAGGGGTAATATTAAATCTTCCAACACGTGTGTCTCTTATATGCTTGTGCCAGTTTCATTAGAAAATCAATATTTTTTCAAATGACATCTACCATACTTTACAAGAGATGAGAGTTCTAACACGTGCATCGGGCATTTTAACTTTATTTGTAAAACAATATGAATTACTTCGATTTTACGGCGTAGATTGAAAATGTTCAAACCACCAAAATTAAATGAATATAAAAACTGGAACATTCTTAAATGTTTCTAGCACACACAAACATATATGTATAAATCCAATTCCGGTTATGCTACTAAAAAGAGTTAGTAACGACTTTATTGATCATAATGATCTTCATTCACTAAAAAATGCCAATTGAATGTGATTTGAGAGATGACGCAATGAAGAAAAGTGTTTGCATAAGAAAAGTACTGTTCAAGTCATCTTAAGTATCATCTAGAAGAAAGCAGAACGTTTGGTCGCTTTCTTTATTTTTTATATCGGTATTTTTTTAAATTATTATTTATTCATTCCTTGTGTCGAAAGTACTTCTTTCGAAAAGATTCACAAATAAAATGGTTGTGAAAATAATGAGATGGACCAAGCTGGGTCTTCATTCAAAACCTCAATATCTCACAAGATATTGATTATTCTTGTGAGGCGACACAAATTCCAACAAAGTTTTATTGTTATGAAAAAAACTCTGATGCATCATCATGGATTCTGCGCGAAAAAGAGTCACTCTCATTGTTTCGTTTCATATTGGTGAGTTATGAAGTGTTCTCATCGGCTGTTGCATTTGCTAGAATAAAGAGGGAAACAGGCAAAGTGTAAAAGTTGTTTGGAATTAATACCTCGGGAAACCAATAATTGCAAAAATGGATGAGGCCTTGGAATATGTATGCGATGAATTGGGCAAGGAAACGATAGTTGATTCTGGGAATTCCAATGCTGTAGCTTCACCAAATGACAACCAAGAATGTACAGAAGGTAAATGATAGATTTTACCTATTCCCATTTTCCTCGATGGTTGATAAATTTGTAATAACATTACCACAGGTTCTAAGAAAATGCAATACTTTTGCAATAACCCTTTGGCCTCGATAGTATATTGGAAAAAGGTGAAAATATATGAAGGCGAAGATTTAATATTGCATCCTAAAGCAATTGGACGGTGTAACTATGATATAATATGGGCAATTGGTAAATACCTTAATTATTAGGAAAGAAACTAATCCATCGCTATTCAATTCCAAGTGAAGTGGCTTATTCAAATATAAAAAAATAAGAATCGATAAATATTTGCGATATTTACTCACATCTGATATGTTTGAACAGTGTTCATCTCCCATTGTTCAATTCAATTCTCTATCTTTTGTTCGTGATATTAAAATCGTGCAAAATTGCTTCATTTATTTTTTTACACAAGGTGCAGGTGAACATGAATTTCTATTAGCTGAAAAACGTGAAATGACTATTAAATGTGTCACATCTAAAGACAGCAATATTTATTGGTGCTATGGAAATAACAAGAAAACTGGGTTGACTGAGTATATAGAGAAGTATGATGTGAAGGTGCAGCCAAGATTAAACTTTTGTCATCAATGTCGTCGGTCTATCAAAGATTGCAGAAAAGAATGTAGATTTGGTTGCTTGGTATGTTTCATTCTATGTTGCACCGTTTTAGACCAAATGGTTTGTCGACACTGTAGAGAATCAGAGGATAGCCCTGATTATGAATAATTTCCATAAAATGTCGTTTAAGAAAAATAATTATTCATTATTATTTCGAAACCAAAATTCAAAACACAAAACTTTTTATATCAATTTTGTGACGAAAATAGTTGGTAGATAGTTCCGTGTTTGTGTTACATTTTGATTGAAAAATTAAGACATTGTAATACCAAATAAAATGTTATTGAAGAAGCGGTGTTTCATTTTGAACATTTTAACTTCATTCCTACAATATTTCCTGAAGAAATACCTATTAATAATGCTGCAAACTACAATGCATACATGTATAATGAATACTTGTTGTTTCATATTGAAAGATATATTTCGAGAGGGAAGCTATAGATCGTTGCAGCGAAGAATAACTACGATAAGGGTTCGATACGATCATTAAGTGATAAGAAGGTCCTTCGAAAAATGTTATTAGTTTAATGATATAATTGGTGCGAAAGGACCAGATGTTATACTCAACATCATGTTTTCACCTTACTTAATGTAGTAAAAAATAGAATAAGTCTAGGAATAAGTAAAATAAGATACAAAAAAATCCACTTACAGTCGATTAATATTTCAAAAAAAGTATGTCCATAATGGATATAACTTATAACATGTTGCATTTTTTTAATTACCAGGAAATCAATATTCGAATTTTCAATTTTCAAATATTAAAAATGTATGAACGCCATTCAATTTATCCTTTTTTTAAATCAAATTTCGAATATTTTTTGCCTGCATATAAATAAGCTAAGCTATTACAAATCCAAGTAGATTCATATTTAACACTGCATTTTGGTTATGTGTAATTGTTTGTAATTATCAAATCGACGATTAAAAAAAGAAATCAAATCACTCATTGAATGCAATCACGAAATAAGTGGTAAGTAAAGACTGTATTAAAGAAAATTGAAACGTGAATGAGACTCGAAAACGGTTAATTAATGCATCAGATATTGACAAAGTGTTTTGCGATTGTGACGGACTTCATACACGGTGTCATACACATATGTCTGGCTCCTGAATTTTTAAATTGTATCGTTAGACATTTTTCGATTTAATTGATTGACAAATTAATTGATTTCAATTTGAACTCAATGTTTCACAAACATCAATTAGTGTCATTTACGAGAATGAAAAAAATGGACTATAAATATGATGCATTGTGAACATTGGAGACAGTTGCGTTTATGGATTACGTTGTGAAGACAGTTGTCCATTCTTTACTGTTTTTTTACCCTGCAATTGGAAAAGTGTTGTGCAAAATTTCTTAAATAATGGAGTTTCTTAAGGGAACCAAGAAAATTTTATGGTTTCTGGATGTATACACAAGATCATCTGTTGATTTGGGATTTGCAAAGATCACAAGTCGATTCATTGAATATTTTGTATTCATATCAATGAGCTTGACAACCATACCAATCGGCGCATTTTGCTATGTTAATCGCAAGGATTTCAAAGTTGCTTCAGCTGGTGTTTTATATTTTATCGCCAATTCATCAATCAAAATCATTTATTTGGCATTGTTGCTTAAACGCAATCATGTAATTGCAGCTATCGATCACCTGGAGGAACTTATTCAAAATCGTAAGATCCGTATCAATTTGAAGTATGACTTAAACGTCATCGGATAAAATTCTTTTATTATGCTTGACTTTAATCGAAACAATATCGTAAATTGTGTTCTTTTTTTACAAGGAATTCATTTAAATCCGAAAATGGCAAATTTTTATACGTCTCGTGAACAAGCTAATAGTAAACTGGCTAAAAATTTACTTCGAAGTGGAATTTATACGATATTATTCTTTTTTCTACCAAACGCTGTGCCACCGTTCACACACCTCGTATTTGGATGGCCGAAAGATAATGCTTGGAATTTTCCCTTTTCTGTTGTGTACGCTACTTTTCGCCAACTTCATTTACTTTGTGAAATTAATTTTGTTTATTCATTAGGTTACCATTTAATACAGAAACGTATTTTGGATTTTATTCGGAACTTTTTGTGCAAATGTTTACCGTACATTTTTATATGTTGATATTTTCGAGCATGATTTCGATTTTTTATGCATTTCACCAATTCATCGACGGACTCGTCGTCGATTATTTTATGACCACAGAAGATTTTAACGCACGTTTGGACGATGAAATTCAACAAAATTCAAGCCGTAAGAAAGGTATTCGATTTGAAACCAGAAAATTTCTCAAAGACTCGGTCGACTTACATTTCGGAGTTTTAAGGTAATTTCAATTTAATTTTTTTCAAAAATAAATCTTGCGAAACGAATTCTATGTACGACTCCTTTTTCCGCAGAGCAATGGATAATCTGCAATGCATTACAAGCGGCGCTTTATTCTTCGAACTCTTTACATTTGTGGCATTCTTGGCGATCAATGTTTTTGTCTTCGATAGAGTAAGTCGATCTAAAAATAATGATAATGCGTTGTATATAATGTCAAAAATAATTTACAGACGTTTCGTGAAGAGGGTTTGAATTTTGAAATATTCTTAAGTCTGAATAATCAGCTCATTCAAACAATTTTTTGCTACGTACTTTGCAATTTTGCAACCAAAATAACGCATATTGTAAGCGAAGTCTCTACCATTACATATGGTGCAATGTGGTACAATTATTCAGTGACAGAACAACAATTCCTAGTGGTAATTCTGCAAAGATCGCATCAGCCGTTTCAATTTAGTGGATTCGGAATCATCAACTGTACAATGGCCACATTTTTATCTGTAAGTAAATACTGATGTTTTTGTTTCAACCAGAAACATTTTAATATGTGAAAATCATCTTTTCTATTTTATTCAGCTTTGTCGTACTGCCTTGTCCTATTATCTCATCCTAAGGAAATCTAATTAAATGCATATGATTACCACTAATATCAATCACATTATTTGACATAAAACTTGATTTTCTTATTCATTTTTAATTCACAATGTATCCCATGACATTTTAATTCGAATAAATATGGAAGAGAAATTATTCATAATTAACTTTGATTTATATTATGCAATGAAAAAAAGATAACGCTAAGAATTGAAATGGGAAAAAAAAGAATCGAAAAAAATAATTCCCCTACCGGGAATCGAACCCGGGCCTTCTCGGTGAAAGCGAGATATCCTAGCCACTAGACCATAGAGGAGATAGAAGTTAAGTCGCTAGTGGCATTCATATCAAATTGTGTTGTCCTCCATATATGGAAAGGCAATGAAGATATCTCGCAGCAAGTGGAAACACCATGAAATACATATCTGTAAATAAAGAAATGTTCACGTGGCGGTTCCATTCAATACACGATACATCTTTTAACTACATTTAGGCGGAATGATCTGTTGATTTATTTAACGTTTATTTTTGGAAATCGAAAGGTAAAACATTGCGTAAATTTCATTCTTTTGGTATTTCGAAATTTTCTTTGATTTATTTGCTAGAATTTATTCAATTTTAAGTTCAAATTTTGAAGAAAAATGATACACACAAAGAATGTAATATACGTTTATAGACATGGCTTTCTATTTTTTTCTTAAATATTTACATAGAGATTGAAACAATATAATAAATAGTGAATACTTAAGAAAAGTGTTCCAATTTCATCATAAAATGAAATTGCATCAAATGAGTGAATAATATAAATGCCACTAGCGACTTAACTTGTATCTCCTCTATGGTCTAGTGGCTAGGATATCTCGCTTTCACCGAGAAGGCCCGGGTTCGATTCCCGGTAGGGGAATTATTTTTTTTCGATTTTTAAATTTTCATTTTTTTCATAGCCTATCGCTATTTTTATCCATTTTACATTTTAGGTGTTTGAAAAATTTTGTCAGATTGTTGTTGCAATGCATCAAAATAATTTTTCTTTCTACACACTACATTTTTAAGAGAATAAGTTTAAAAATGTTCGAAAACTGTACTTCAATCTAAAATGCTCATCTTTTTCAAAAATTTGTATGATTAAAGTTTTATGCAACACATACACACCATTGCTGCAAAGACACTTAGTTATTAGCGCCATCTAGTTCGTGCGAGAAAAAATCTTCACATTTCACACACGTACTATTGAGTTACTTCACTATGCAATACAGTGAGGGCGCCAGTGATACGTGTTTTGCAGCAACCCAGTGAACACATAATTATATCGAATGAGACTTGAAAGAAACGAGCGATGTGTACGATATTAATTTGAAGCGTATTTTTGATTTTTGGACATTTTGCATTTCACATCAAAACGAGTGAGAAAATATCGTTCAATCGAAAGAATAAAAACAATTTTACTGCATCAGTCGAAATTGAAAATATTTCAAAATACTTTTATAAATTGAAAGAAAAAACAGACGAACTTAATGAAATAATTTGTTGAATTGGAATGGTTGAAAATGAAAAAAAAAAAAAAATTATTGCATCGGCCGGGAATCGAACCCGGGTCGCCCGCGTGGCAGGCGAGCATTCTACCACTGAACCACCGATGCTTGTGAAATAAGATGTTCTCATTCCGAACATGTCGTCGTGATCATATCGCCAGCACGTCAGTTCAAGCACGTTTTCGTATCAATTTTATCTCCTTCTCTACTTTAATTTAGACTTGTCGTCTATTTATACAGATGTTGTAAAAATAGTAATAAACTTCAGTGGATTTTTTCATTATTTATTTTTGTCACACACGTCGTAAGTTCATTCGCATTCTAATCAATATCTTAAAATAATTTCGGTGAACTGTAAAAAAAATACATCTAATTTCGATTTCTTTTCGTTGAATTTCATGAATATCTGTGCCATCATGTTTCTATTGAGCGTTCCTCCTTTTTAGAAATCCATTCGTTCATTTCTGTCATAAACTTATCTTCATTTTCATCGTCTGCTGGCGCCTTCTGAGATTTAATCAATTTTAGTTCGGTATGGCGATACTTAATTGGCAATAATTTTCGAACACATGGTGATAGCAGTTGAGCGTTAAATTTTTTAAAATCTTGTCCACCTGTCAAATAGCTGATAATAACAGATGGAATCCACATTGAAATTACACCCAATAATGGGTACCTAAGGGAAGAATCACAAAAGAAAAGAATCGAATTAATTTAAAATAATCGAAAAATAATCGAAAAATGGGTACCATTGGAAGGCAATCTTATAAAATGCAAAGCCCTCATTGTTGTCATGCGATAGAGTTGATGGTGTTCTGAAATTAGTTTGAATGTCATTTTGAATTTGCTTTAAAGTTAAGCTGAGTGTGACTCACAATTTTTGGGAATGAGCGATAGTTTCATTGTTACATCCATCAATTCTTGTCGGCAGTATTTCATAGTGGAAATTAACTTGTGCTGCTTGATATTGTGCGTTGATAATAATGACAAGCATAATAAGCATACTTATTATCATTCCAGATAAAACTCCCTATTTATATCATACAAATTTTAATTCCATTTGAAAAGTTGGAGTGTTTGAAAGAAATATTTACTTGTTTATTTGCGAATGGATATAGCATTCCTAATGTGAATACACCAAAAACCGCTCCGGTTGACACGCCAGCAACGGTGCTCAAAACTTGAAATATCGATTGAAATTGTTCTACAACAATGCCAGACGCAGCACAAAATGTTCCCAATACAAATATAATGGAGCCCATTGTTAGGTTTGCATTGGCATCGGTGTGGGCGAACCACTTTTTCGGACGAATGTAGTCATTGTAGATAACTCCAGATATTGAGTGTAATCCAGCTGATATTGTGCTTAAAGATGCACTGAATACACATGATATGAATATACCTGACATCCCTGTTATGTGCCCAGTTACCTCTTGAACAAAACGAGGCATCATTTTGTCATACTTTGTGACTATTCCAGCACTGACTGGATCACAATATTGATAATAAGCATACAAAATTATGCCTGTACCGCACGTGAAAGACATAATAAACAGAAAACCGAAGAAAAATACATAGACGGACTTCTGGGCTGCTTTCAACGAAGGCAACGACACAAGTCGCTGAATGCAAGATTGACTAAATCCAATATTGACCAACAAAATAATAAATACGCTCGATGTCGTATTCCAAAATGTTGTGCGAGTTACAGAATCCAATACAAAACTGTGGAATACAAAAGGTGCTTCTGTTTATTATGTGGGCAGTTTTTATCTATATTTTTCTTTTTACTTAGGTAAACTGATACGATTGCCGTTTACCGCACGATTCCATACTTCAGTCAAACCACCAACATTAGAGACTCCATAGAAGGCCACCACAACAACGGATGCTATCATCACAAATGCTTGCAACACCTTTCAAAAAAAAAAAAAAGTAAAAAACGTAATTCATGCAAAAACAATACAAACGTACATCGGTCCAAACCACTGCCTTTATTCCACCCAGCATAGTGTAAAAAACGCAAATGTACGCAACGATCGTGTTCACCACATGGATATTATGTTTTGTCACTGAAAAAAAAAAACGGTTTGTGATTTATCCCAAATTCGAATTGAAGTCATCGCGTGCATTTACCTTCGACAAATGAAGCTGATGGAATGAACATAACGACAGGCAGATAGAAAAGATAGAGAGTTATGAAGAGCAATGTAGTAAATTTTCGAACCGATTTACTGAATCGTAATTCTAAATACTGAAAGAGAAATCATATTATTCGGAGGTAGTGGCATTTAAATCGTGGTCATTTGAATATATCAATCAGGTCTATTTCGTTGCTATAGCATAACTAAAATTCCATTGAGATCATGTAACACTTTTCATTTTGTGAAAATGTTTCATTAATTTGCGTCAAATTAAGCGCGTATAATTTATGTGTGCATTGTTTCGGTGACCAATTGATGACGGTCAGTCTAATGAGCGAAAAAATGAAACAACATGTCATATGCCGTTTAAACGGTTCCATTTTCCATTTCGCAGACATGCCATATGAGATTTTGTCTGTCACAACATTTTATCGTTCACCATAAAAACCCACATATTTAATTAGCATTTGATTCAGATCACATATCCCCGGTTGCATGAGATTACGGTAATGGTGACTTTTTATTTTATATAATTTTTCATGTGAAATTTTTCGGTTTATTTCTTTTTGTTTGAAAGACATTACAATGGAAAGCCACCGAGCCAGTGAAAACTAATGGACTGTGAGAACGATTTAATTGTTTGAGCCCAATTTATGCAATATGTTTTTGATTTGGTAGGAAAAAAGTACCAATCCTCGGATTGAATCGAAAATGTTGAACATTTTTTCTTGATTGGTAACAATGACTTATTAAAAAGAAATCTCAAGGGTTTTGTCATGAAAAAATTATGAGTACTTCGATCAAGGCGTTCAATTGAAACAAGTATTTATGATCGATAAGTTCGGTACTTCAAATCGAGTAATAAAAGGTCTGACAATTTATTTTTATATTTGTCTGATACAAAGTCCGGTTGATTGATGCATTATTATATATAAGATTACTACTTACCGCATAGCAATTATCGATATTATTTTGATAAAATACTGGCAAAAAGAGAAAATTAATTGAACAAACGACGAAAACCATCGTCGGAATAATTAATAAATATTGCCATCCAAATGAATAAATTTCGGCCGGTATGGCTATTATTGAATAGGCAGAAATTTGACTGAAAATAAAGTAATTTAATTTAACAAATCATAAATTGTTTAATTTTGCTACGAAATAGTGTAATATTACCTGGCGACAATCGAAATAGCTACGGGAATAGATTTCATTTTATGACTACCAACAAGGTAGTCTTCAGCAGTTTTTAGACTATCGCTGAAACATCCAAAGTACACACCGATCCCCAGAGAAAATGACAATATGATGACAAGTATGCCATAGTCGGCGCCAGTAAAATTATCCACTTCCGAAATAGTGTCAGTAATATTCATATTTCAAGTTTAGAATGTAGAACACATTGATTTTTAAATTTACAACGAACTCACACGACAGATTGACAATAACTAAATGACATAAGGGTAAATTAAAACTTGATCTGCGTTCTTATCGTAATCGATACAGGCTATCAAGTAACTGATGTTATTTACACAGCAAAGTCAAATATCAACAGCAAAGAGTTTTGGCGTAATTTCGAAAAAGAAAACAAATAAATACACATTGTAGTTATGAATTAAAAGATATGTTTGTTTACATATTCATTGTATTTTGGATGCTCAGTATCTCCGCGATAGCTGAACATATTTGGCTGCACAGTTGATCGCCTGTACGCAACTCAAATTGCTCAGCCAAATATGCACGGCTATCGCAGAGACACTGATAATCCAAAATACAATGACAACATACAAATTGCAATGTGTCTATTTCTGAATTCATCACGATACATGCAGTAAAATATTTCCAAATTGAGTCGAAGAATTTGTTTACTTACTTGTATTTTCATTCAATTGTTATCTGTCGTACGTTGATTTAAAATAAAGCGATACAAAACAATGACTGTCATCAAAACGAGACAAATATATATAAATGGTGACACAAAGTATAATTATTAAGATTTCAATATCATACGTTTATAATCGTTTGTATCTAAGCTTTGTTGTCTTGCATCTTCAAAAACAATATTAAGACTAAGATTAATTCTAATTATAACTAGAGCATCTAGTATCTGACACCAACTTACATCTGCCGTAAACTGGTTTCGTATTTGCAATGAAGCGAAAACATATATCATTTCAGTAATATCACTTCTATATTCATGTAATCTGTTTTTATTGTTCGTAAGTTCTATAACTATTTACAATTAAGATAAATTATTTTCAAACATAATTTTAATTTGATTTATTTTATCATCATTTTGTGTGATTAATTCGGCTAATTCTTGTTTCGACACAATCTCTTTGTCGCCTTCTTCATGATTTGAGATCTTCTTTTCAATCGGTTTGAGTTCAGTATGACGATACTTCTTTGGCAACATTTTTTGTACGAATGGCGATAGTAATTGTGGATTGAGTTTGCTTAAATCTTGACCACCGGTCAAGTAGCTACCAAGTACTGCGGCTACCCAAAAAACCACTGACCCAATAAGAGGATACCTAGATATGAAAAAAGATGGAGGATTTAGGCACAAATTAATTTAGAAGTCTCGTTTTTTTGATACCATTGAAAAGATATTTTATAGAATGCAAAACCGTCGTCGTCTTGTTCATTCGGTGGCAGTGTCCAAGCGCTAGAAGAATTTGAGAAAATTTTGGAAAAATAATTCGTAAAATTGTCACTATTCATAAATTGTTCATGACGTACGATTGTGGTATATGAGAAAGTGTTTCGTTGCTACATTTATCGATCGACGTCGGTATCACATTGTATATCAATTTCCCTTCAGAAATGTAGTATTGCGTATTTATGACAATCATTAAAACCACAGCAACAGAAACGATTATCCCGGTCAGAACACCCTAATGATAAGATATAATAGTAAGTTTTGTAAGTAATAAGAGATTTTTTTTTCCTATTGTACCTTTTGATTTGCAAATGGATACAACATGCCGATTGTGAAAACTCCGAATTTTGTTCCGACCGTTATTCCGCCGACAGTGTTAATGATTTGGAAAATGGAATGAAATCGTTCAATGAACACAGCACCAAATGCACAAAAACTACCCAATAACATTATAATAATACGCATAGTTCGGTTTGCATTGGCATCATTGTGTGGAAAAAAATTAAATGGTCGAACATAATCGCTATAAATAATTCCAGCAGTTGCATGCAAACCGGCCGAAACGGTTGAAAGTGATGCACTAAACACACAACTTATAAAAATGCCAGACATTCCCGGAATGTGACCCGCAACATCTTGTACAAATCTTGGCATCAATTTATCATATTTCGTGACTGTTCCAGATCGCACTGGATCGCAACCATGATAAAATGAGTACATGATCAGTCCAGTAGAACTATTTATGCCCATCATAAAAATAACACCAATGAAAAACACAATCATCGCTCTAAAAAAAAACATCAATTAACGGATAAGTTTAAATACATTTGAATGCATGAACACATTTGAGTCGAACCTTTTTGCTTTCTCCAAAGTTGGCAACGAAATTAAGCGTTGGGCACAATTCTGGTGAAAACTTATATAGCATGTCCAACCAACAAATTGTGGCAACACTGAATTCCAGAATGTTATTCGCGTGGTTAAATCCATTGACATGCTGAAAGATTTGTTCTTGTTTGAATCGAAAGTGTAAAAAATCAGAAAAAATTTGAAATAAAAACTATTTACTTTGGCGGAAAAAGGCGACCACCCTCGATGGCACGATCTATAACTTCATAAGTTCCGCCTGTTTTTTGAACACCAAGAAATGCAACGATAACACATGAAGTAACCATTACGAATGCTTGCAAAACCTGTCAATAAACATTCAATTTAGATAAGGTTTTGAAGTGTTCAATCTTGAACTCACATCAGTCCAAACCACTGCTTTTATTCCACCGAGCATCGTGTAAGTTACACAAACATAAGACACAATTATATTTACATACAGAATATTCTGCTTTGTAACTGAAAAATATAAATATTCCGAATTATAAAATCGGTTTATTTAAATTCGTGGAAACTCAACGAACCTTCGACGAACGCCAATGATGGAATATACATCAACAATGGAAAGAAAAACAGACCAAGAATGATGTATAATCCGGTCAGAAGTCTTCGTGTAATTTTCCCAAATCGAATTTCTAAATACTAAAAATTGACTTTGCCGATAAAATAAAAATATCTCAAAAATCTTGAAATTTTACACTTACCGCATAACAGTTTTCAATATTATTGCAATAGAAAACAGGCAGCGATATATAGTTTGTAACAAGAGTCACAAAAAATAGCGTAGGTAACAAAAATATATATTGATATCCAAATGAATATATTTCCGCTGGTAGTGCCATTATCGAAATTGCAGACAGTTGACTGATTACAAAATAAATTGATAAAATCTATTATTTCGTCATTAAAATCATGAGATCAAATATTTAACCTGGCAATAAGGCTTATGGCTACAGGAACAGGTTTCATATTGTGACCGCCAATCAAATATTCTTCGGCCGTTTTAAGTTCTTTGCTGAAAAATCCAAAATATATCCCAATTGATAGTGAACACATTAGAATTATTATAAAAACACTATAATCTATAGTCGCAAAATATGATTCTCCTTCAAATGAAACACTCGCATTCATCTTGATGATTTTAAATTAAATGCAATTTGTACAAACAGACTTATTATTTTAATTTTTAAATGAAATATTTGCACAAAACAATCTGTACACCTATAGAATTTTCAGACGACTGAACTTTATAGTGATTCTAAAATGCAATTATCATTTTCATTTTCTTATCATTTTGTCACACACAATTTTAAAAAAGGTGGATGAATTGACTGCGCTCAGCGACTGTTATTATAAATCATAATCAATCTGATCTTACCAAAAGCGATAACAGACGTGCTTTGGATAGGTTCATGGACATGTTTTCTTCAGCACAAAATTGAAAAAATGATTAATTTCAAATGAAAGCAAAGTTTTCGAATAAAATGGTGATATTTCGCGAAGAAAAAAGTTAATCGGAGATTAGAAACAAAGCTTTCGGCTCGCCAAGATAAGACAAATATCAAATACAAAAGTATCAAATTCTTAGTAATCACCGATGAAATTTATTGCTACTGATTAAAATTGAAGTGCACCGGCTTCAAAAAAAAAAAAAAAATTATCAGCAAGCGGATTAAAACCACTTAAAATGCAAGTATGACTTGCTGTTTCGAATTTCGTCATTGCAACGAAGTAAAAACTGAGTCATTTAATATGTTTTACACAAAGAAGGATCAGCAAAAAAAAAAAATGAATAAATTTTTGTTCCAAAAACTACGAATCAAATTCTCCGAACTTAAATTGAATGTGGACGATTTTGTAAATGTGTTGTTGTTGTCGGGTCTTGAAAGAAATGCATTCAGCCTTTCACAATTAAGTGTTTTAATAAAAACATTGTTGCAAACCAAGTCAATCTAATGGATCTTTGTTGTGATGTTTTGCTGTACAGAATAAGAAGACACATTTTTCCATTGAATCAAATCAACTTTCTTTTTTGTTTTCAAAGTTCAATTCAAAGATAAAAAAAGCCCACTAATGTAATGTATGGCATTCATCGCGTTGTAGTTCAAGTCGATTAACAGAAAAAGTAGTAATAGTATGTGCAAATTGAAAGAGATTCTCGTTTGTGACGAAATCCTCGAAAATAAAATAATCGTATAAGCGAATGTTTCTTTTATGTAATCGAAGTGCGGTGCCATCTAAAAATTTGCTTCAAGTCTTGCGGCGTACGTACTCACGTACACACAGTGCACATTGAGTTGCAAGCACGGAAACAATTTTTCAACATCATATGATGTGATGGTCGTGAATGCAGCCGTGTTTATCTACCGCGCAAAAACCAAGATGAAACGAAATGATTTGGTCCAGGCAACCAACCAACCAATTGAGAGAGAATGCAATGTTTGAACAATTTGAATGTGTGCGAACAATTGTCGATTGTAAAACAAAAAAAAAAATCGGTATGTTTTTTTCCCTTTCATTGCAAGAATAAAAGCAAATGAATACGACAAATCGATGTCGTCACTGCATACATTACTGTAGTATTTTCATTTGGTACATTTGGTGGCCGATCGCAATGAAATGGCACATAAAATGTAATTTAATAATTTAACAACAGTGTAATGACAAGAATAGTGCGGAAAATGTGCCTTATGAAACTGGTTTTTGAAATGCAGCATGTGCGGAAAGTGAAGATGCATGTGCTTTGGGAAAAATGGTTGTTAATTTATGAAGCGATCGCTTTTTTTCATTTTGTTTTCGGTATGATATGCAAAAAGTGAACGGTTAACAACGTTTAAACATTCCAAAAAAGCGCTGCATCGCCGAAACGATATCGTTTACTATAGTATACGAGTCGTACTAAGAGAATATATGCAAACAATTACAAAGCATTTTCTCTCTGTGTGTATGTGGATGTTATCACTTGGTGAGATACATACATATAAACAAAGTACACACCGGACCACAACCAAGTATGAATCATCGTGAAATGTGAAATTGAATACACTACGTTGTCAAGCAGATAAGTGCGCGATGGCATCGACCGTCGTATGCACCTTAAATAACAACCAGAAGCTTCAAATATTATCACTTAGACTGTTATTTATGGGCTGGTGCAATTAGGCATGACTGAATACAAGTGTCAAGCTTAACTCTGAAAATACTCAGTTCAAACTTAGTCTATCGCCAATAGAATGTACGAAGAAATGTGTGAAATTTCCAAGAGAGAAAAAAGAAAACGCGCAAAAAAACGTATGGTGCCATTGTGGTGAACTTGTTAATTTGTAATTGGTTGACCTGGTTACGCTTGCCAAATAGTGAAATAGAAGATTCATTGTTTGAACGAAAAAAAAAAATTTGCAATGCAAAAAAGAAAATTACTCGAAGGTCGATTGTATGACTGAGCTGTATGTATGGAGCGGTATGAAGGAATTCAAATCCGTTAATTAGTCGAATGAAATCGAAAATTGGCGAGACTTATTCATTGGCAATTTTAACGATTATTTACAGCTCATCATCGCGTTGATTACTGTTGCTCTATAATAAAATAGCAAACATTATACCGGACACACCATTTGATCACTAGTTGCAAATCGAAAACGACGACGGGATGTTTTGTGTTTAATGGCTTACTTTTCTTGCATGATGTACTACGGACGTCATGTGCTTTTGTTTATTCATGGTCCATCGACTGCTTAGATAGAAATGTAGCCATTTCTTCCGTTTCACTCGCATCAGTATCCATTTGGCACAAGTGCACAAGTCGTCGATGTAATTACTTGTTTTATATGTCTCATCTTGTTTTTAAAAGAAAAGACAATGGTGAATAACGGTATTCTAAGGAATCGATACAATTAATCGGTTGACCACGTTACTTCACACATTTAAAAAAACAATTTCATTTAAATTGGTCAAATGAGTTGTTTTTATGTCAGAAGAAGAAACAACAAGAAAACAGCAATTGGACATTCATTTGAAAAAAGATTTAAAACCATTGCGAAATAAAATTGGTGTCGACTAATTAGAGAGTTCCAAGATTAGAAAAACTCAAAATTGCTCCCCATTTATAGTGTTGAAGTGTTGCGATAAAAATCGTCACAATATTAATATTCATCATGATTTCGTAACAAGTGTCATGTGTGGTTAGTTTTTTCTTCTTCTTCTTCGCTTATGTTTCGTTGTTTTTAACATCACAATTGACGAATGATACAAATCGAAAGTGGAGAAATAACAAGAAAAAAATTTGAATCTAAAATTGATTAAATTGATGTACGACCTCTTACATGTGAATTATTCATTTCAATTGTACATAACAAATGGACAACAGACTTGGACAGTAAACAAGCCACGAAATCAGTTACACGACGACTAAGTCAATATATGCTGCTGGATGAAGATGAAAATAAAAGTAAAATTCGAATCAGATAAAGAATGGATGATTTCATCATTTCTTCGTCGTTTACATTTGCAGAACGGGTCAAAGTCAAAGAGTTAGAAGAGCGGCAACCATGTAATGTGGTGGTGCGTGTGGCGCCTCATCGAAACGAAAATAGTAAATTCCCATCTAATCGGTTGAGCGATTTCGATTTCTATTATGAAACCAATCCGATCAACCAATCCATGTCAAACTGAAATTTAATTACATCGCATCTTTTATTTACCTTCGCATCTAGCCTGGATAGTACAGTAGCGACAAACTCCAAAAATTATTGCTTTGCCGTTGCATGCATCTCGCACACAAGATTCGAGTGCTTTTTTCAATATGTTCGCCGCACAACATAATCGATTCGCAAAACAATTAAACACAGCATGGTGTTGGTTGTGTCTAGTGAACGGTTTGCCAATCGCAACGAAATAAAGACGAGAAAGAAAAAAACATTGTTGGACAAGGAAGAATTCAAATAATTTTGCACAACTTGAAATGTGTGTGTGTGTGTTGTTTCTTTTTATTTTTTCTTGTGTGTTGAGAAAGATAAAAAGAACTGAATTCAAACTCTCTGAACAGTGATTTATACTATACTTTCTCTCGAATGCTTAAAAGTAAAATCAAAGAAGATGAACCTAAAATGCAACCAAGTGAATTCGAATGGAGTACACCCGAAATACAAAAAAAAATCCATGGAAATCATGACTAGTTTTATTGTTTCCTGATTTGGTATTCAATTTTGCATTTTATCTTTTGGATTAATATTCATCGACATCGGTTTGCAAATCGGTGACCACTGAATTATACGATTTTGCGATCGGGAACACAATTAATTTATGCAACTCATCCATATTTTTCAAAGTGACCGGTCCATGGTGTTTTTTCTCTCTCTTTTCTTTTTCGTTTCTAATCAATTCGATGACCCGCTAGTTTAAAGACAAAGAAAAAATCTAATTGGCTTGAAAAAAGTTTATGTTCAAATTTGGAAGATGAAAAAAAATGCCATATTCATGATGCAAATTCATATGATTGTCTCGATCGATTACGAGGTGGCTGAATACACAAACCGAAAATCATTGTCCAATGCCTTTCAACTCGGAGCCCGGGTCAAGCGAAAGTACGGCCTTGGCGGATATCTCAATTCATGCGAAAAACATATATACTAAATAAAATATATATATACCTTTTTTTAATCAGTGATTTTATATTTAAATCGAATATATTCGATTCGAATGATTAAACACAAAAAAGAACCAGCAGCAATTTCAGCGCCGTAATTTGCGTGACATCACAATGTGTGTATATTCCCCATATTCACAGAGAAAGTGTTATTTAAGGCGAAATAAATGAAAGATTTTTGCATTAATGACATGGCATGAAATCCATCGTATGTCTTCAGATTGTTTTTTTTTCTCACTCGTATGCAATAAGTAAATTTGTCGCCGGCGACTAATTTCTTTTTGTTGGCCGTCAGAAAACTTTGTGTTATCACCGTTTTATAAATGACTTCTGGTCAATTTATGACAAATTTTCCAAAAAATTTCTTTGAATTCATTAATAACAATAATAATTCAAGCCAGAGAAATGCAAAGAAGAGTCGCGTTGAAGTATCATAAAAGTGCAAATTTATGGCCATATTTTTTTTATAAATCGCATAAATTAATAAAAAAAACCTATATAGATAAAGCAACATTGTTTGGCATGTATATTTCGGTTGTTGGATGAATGACCGTTCTCCTTTACCGTGTA